AGGCAACAGTTTTAAAACAAACCTAAGGAAGTACTTCTTCACACAACACACAGTCAACCTGTGGAACTCATTGCTGGTGAATGTTGTGAAGGCCAAAAGTATAACTGGGTTCAGAAAAGATTTAGATAAGTTCATGGAGGACACGCTAGTAAGCCAAGGTGGTCAGAGACGCAATCCCATAGTCTGGGTGTGCCTAAACCTTGGACTGCCAGACCTGGGGCTGGGGCTGGGTGACAGGGGATGGAACACACAATAATTGTCCTTTTCAGTTCATTCCCTGTGAAGCACCTGCTGCCAGCCGCTGTTGGAAGACAGGGTACTGGGCTACACGGACCATTGGTCTGACCCAGTATGGCCATTCTTTTGTTCTCTTCAGCTACATTCCACAGGTGTATAATGGGAATAATTTTCTTTATAAAGCACTTTGAAACTGACAGATGGAAAGCAATAGGACTGTCATTTTGTGATGTCAGGAGTGTAACTTCGAAACAAGAGTTCCTACTAATTCCCATAAAATTCAACCCCAGGATATTGTCTGCATGCAGGAATTATTAAGAGACATTCTCTGACATGGGTTATGTATGAGGTCAAATGTGATGGTCATTGTGATGGATTTGGAGCTGTTCTGTAGTAAGTTATCAATACCATGTACTGACTTGGTTATTGGGGTGTTTCCTGTATGAATATATTGGTTTAGCTCAATAGGGGCTGTGTGAAAAAACAGGCAGGAAGGAAAAGAATGGCTCAATATGGTCACCTCTCTGCAAACACTTCAGAGTAGTTAAGGGAGAATGTCAGAACTATTTATTTCTATTACTGTAGTGCCTAGGAGCCGAAGTCAAGGACCAGGCTCCACTGTGCTAGGCACTGTACAGACACAGACAAAAAAAGATGGTCCCTACCCCCATTAACTTTGATGATTTTGTCTCCGCCCCAGCCAACATAGAAAACTGCTTGTGACCAGGACAGAAAATGCCTGCCAACACAAGAACAACAAAAGAACTGTGGGAGGATTAAAAAGGGACACTCTCAAGAGAGAGGCAACAGTCATTCAGGAGGAACCAGATGGAGACAGAGGGGCCTGCCAAGGGTGTCTGAGAAGCTAGGCCTGCCTAAGCCGCCCCCAGGAAGCAACAGGGCTCAGGGTCAGAAAGAGACGTATGTGAACTGTTTGTGGTTTTGAGATCTTCTCTCTCTAAAAGTGTTGTTCCTATGGTTCAAACTAAAAATACTTCAGCTTTAAGAAGGCTGTCTAGTCTAGTCACTACATTCCCCATTGGTCAGGGGCTCTCCCTAAATTACTTAACACATGAGGGGGTGGGTCCTTAATTTTGAATGTTTGTTTCAGTGTTGCAAGGGGCAGGTGGGTCTTGACAGTCACCCAAAACATGTTATGTAATTTAGGAACAGCCCCCACAACACCGAGACTCTAGAAGGGAAGAACTGCAGGTGCCCGAATTCAGTCAGACCTGCAGGATAAGAATGCTTAAAACCCAGGGTACTATAGCCCAAGGGCTGATCTAGGAGTGAGAGAATTGCAAAATTCCCTCCTTCCTCCTTGAGATAGATATAGGCATGAGCCTAAGACCCAAGCAGTGGACTCTGAGAGGGGACACAGGTGCAGCAAGCCCTGTAACAATGGCAATCACAATGGTCCCTTCTGGCCTTGAAATCTATGAGTCAGTGGTATTAGCATAGAGAATCATCAGACCTGGACATAGGTTTCAAGTTGTTCCTCTTTTTCATTAAGCTCCTAAATTTGCCCGGTTTGACCCCTTTATCTTTCCTTTTATCCCGAAGCAATCCCACAGCTCCTTCATGTCCTCCAAGCTCTCTGCTGTTTGGAAATCCCAGAATTCCTACTCATGTTTCCAGAAGTAAAACATGCCCTTGTAAGTCTAAAACTCTCCACGTCAGGCTGAGGGAAAGCTGATAAACAAGGAAGAACAAAAGCAACGTTCTCTTAAGAGAAAGCACAGCAGATGCCTCCTCACTGCAGGCTGCACCAACTCTGCTAGCAAAATGTCGGCTGGACTCTGCGCGCAGGGAGACTCCTCAGAAATTTAAAAGTGCAGGAGTCAGAAAACAGAAGACATCCCAGTTTCATAGCTACATAACTTACATAAATGAAGCTCTGATTACTCAATATAACAGCTTCTGGTGTATTTCTAGTTTTGACTGGACTTGCTCTGCCCTGTGCTCATTGGCTATTTCTTCTGCCCTCCCTCACTCTCTTCCTCTCAGTTCCATTCCACACTTTCCTTTTTTTCCTCTTCTACCTCACCCCCTTCCTTTCACTTTTCTTTCCATTTAGTTGATCCCCTCCTAACTAAACCTCCCCCCGCCCCAATGGTGGAACCAACATAATGTTTGCCACCCTGGCATTAGTCACTTGGCTTTTGTGTTTTGCCCATTTCCCCTGCTGTCTGTCTTGTCTACGTAGATTGATAGCTCATTGGGGCTGGGACTGTCTTTTTGCCCTCTGTTTGTATAGCACCAGATTCCAATCCCCTGCTCCAGTGTATCTGTAATTATTTATACACATTGCAACAGCTTCACTGGGAGTCACAGAGAGCCCCACACTAGCATAGCCCATAGCTCAGTGCTTAGGACATTCATCAGGGACCTGGGAGGCCCAACTTCAAATACCATCTCCTCATCACACAGAGGGGGGAACTGAACCAGGGTCTCCCACATCCCAGCTGAATATTCTAACCACTGGGCTAAAAGTCACAAATGGGGAGGTGGGTGGGCTGCTTCCTATGGTTTATGTGGGTTTAGGTGGGCTCAGAGCACACCTAATGGATCATCCCCAGGCCTCATTTGATGATCCCACTGCAGCTTAGGCCTGAGATAGGGTCCTGGGTGCCTAGATTGAGGCAGCTGTGCACATGCTCACTGGCAGAAACCAAGGCTCCTCAGGGACTTTAAAAGTGGAAGTTTAAGCACCTAGAGAGTTAGAAGGATTTGAGGATCTCAGTAGTGCTTGAATGTTGGCACCGGCATTTTTAAGAAGTATTTAGGTATTGAAATCAATGGGAGTTAGGCACCTCGATGCCTGTCAAAACATGGTCCCTTGCCTTTAGTCTTTCTGTGCCTCAGTTATTATTTGGTATATTACTTGTTTATCCATGTTCTGAAACCAGTAAAAGGTTTCACTAAAAGTAACTAAACACAATGACTTCATTTATTGCATTTTTATGGGGAAGAGAAGGTGTAATGAAGCCAAGGGCCAGGAGACAACTGGCTGGAGGTAGCTCCTTTACTCTAAATTTGGTTCTCTCCTTTTTTCATAAAGGAAAAACTGTGCTTTTAATGTTATCGCTTTGATTGTTTCCTTATGGTTTATGAAAGGTTGTTTCGATACAGAAAACCACCTTGAAGCAGCGAGTTTGATCTGGCAGTTGACATGATTATCTGAACCTTATCTCCAAACACTGATAAACTGTCTTAATAGGTTTATACTATTCCCACCCTGGCTTCACTAACTGGAAGACTTAACACCACGCAAAGGGTTGTGGCCACACAGATGGTTACAGGAGTTAATGTGGTGCAAGGCAAAGGTAAAAATGCTATAGAAATTCATTAAACAAAACACTTTAGCAGTATTAGTAATGCAAGTACTGAGTTTAAAATGAACTAACGGTGGGGCTGATCACGCAAGCTGATGCCTGTAGGCAGCTACCACCCTGGAAGCCAGGCTAAAGACGGGTCCCTGCTCTATGACAGGAGCCTGGTAGCCCACAGAGCTCTCAGGGCTTCTAAACTCTTGGGTTTGTGGTGTGGGACTCCCTGGGCTGCTCCTGGCTCCAGAGGTCTCCCCAGGCTGCCCCCCCCCACCGCTTCCTGGGACCAGTGCCTGGGAGTCAGGGGAGCTGGCTGCTTTGTTTCATCTAGAAAAAAAATGCAACAAAGTATTCAATTTCCCCCTGAAATTGTCAAGTTTCCTTTCCATGGGATATTTTGAAATTTCTATGTTTTGTTCTGAATCAGCCCAAACCCTTTATTGAAATGTCAGAATTTCCCACAGAATGGAAATTCCATGTTTGGACCAGCTCTAGTTCTAAGGTCCAAAGCTCTGTGCATCCTCACCGCCTACGACCCTGCCGAGCAAAGTCAATGCACTTCTTATTCTAGCTGTCTCATTTATTCTGTGGAGACTTCCCTTATGTTTTACTGAGAATGTGTTCTTGTTAAGTGCTTCATTGTGCTCTTTTGAAGACCTATCTAAAAAATAGGGAGAGTTGACTCTGTTGAGATGCTTATCAATAAGATTAGCATGTGCATTTACATGACCTAGAATGGAAACTGGGATAGATTATTGAGTGAGGTTCTTTGGCCTGCCTTACACAGGAGATCAGATTAGATGGCCATAATGGTCCCTTCTGGCCTTAAAACCTATGAATCAACAAGGGCTGCTAATCCCCACACTGAAGAGCATAAGGGCACTCATCCAGATGGGCTTATGCATTAACGTGCTATCAGGGTTGAATGTGACTATTACATCAGGCCTCCTCCTGTACTAAAATATGTTTGCCTAACCCCATAGATCAAATTACAGGTGGTTGGAAAGTAGTTTTCTTCTCCCCACCCAAATATTTTTTGTTGTTAAATTTTCAATCAATATTTTCAGGTTTCAGTGAAAACTCAAAAGCCTTCTACGAAAGCAGAAATCGATTGTTGAGAAAAGTTCTGGTGTGTTGAAAAAAACATTTCATTTATTTACGCTTTGGGGAAAATATTTTGGTTGAAAATTTTCAACCATGTCTTGCTCTACTATGTCTTGTGAAACAGGCTAAAGGCTATGCTTGGGCACTGACTATGGATACATGTGTCCAGGAGAGGCTTCTTTGACAATCAAGGATGGGAGAAATATTCTCCTCAAGGTGTTCTTGGGTGGCTGAATGGCCACTTCCAAATTCACCTGCAGGTTGATTAGTATGAGAATGTTGACTATCAAAAACAACGAGGAGTCCAGGGGTACCTTAAAGGCAGATTTATTTGGGCATAAGCTTTTGTGGGTAAAAAACACCACTTCTTCAGATGCTACCCCTCTTATACTTGACTATCTAAGTTCCCTAGAAACATGGAGTGAAGTCCTGGCCCCAAAGATGACAATGGGAAAAACTCCCATTGCTTTCAAGGGGGACAGAATTTCATCTCTGCTTCTTACACATATAATGCCAAAACAGTACGGGGAACTTTACAGATAATAAAGAGAAAAGGTCCCTGCCCCACATAGACAATGGACAGACCAAAGATGAAGGATAGAATGCAAGAAAAAAACAAGCATATCCAGCAGTGAAGTATAGCACATCTTATTTGTTTATCCTATTAAAATCTCTTTAATTATGTCATCTTTTTGTTCATGTTTCCATACAGCTGAGAGACTAGTGGTTTTAGGCCACCTGGAAGAAGGGTATTTTAAGGAGAGACTTAAAGGAGTGGGGGGAAATGGAAATATCATAGATAAGGCCAGCAGTTTCAGGTAACAATTAGCATTTTCAAAAAAAGAAGGAGTACTTGTGGCACCGATGAAGTGAGCTGTAGCTCACGAAAGCTTATGCTCAAATAAATTGGTTAGTCTCTAAGGTGCCACAAGTACTCCTTCTCTTTTTGCGAATACAGACAAACACGGCTGTTACTCTGAAACCTGTAATTATCATTTTGTAGCACTTCTCATTTTCAAAGGGCTTTAGAATGGTTAATTAATTCATCCTCTCTGAACCTCTGTGACACAAATAACTATCATCCTTATTTTACAGAGAGGGACACCAGGACACAAATGGCAACATTGTCAGAAATGTTCACTACTTTTAGATGCCCAACTTGAGCCACCTGTGGGGAGAGAAGCTGGCCCCAGAATTGTTTTAACATGCTGTCATTTGTCTTACAGACATCCTAATTTCCTTAATAAAAAGTATGGTCCTCACCCTGATTGTTTTATGATGATGTTTTAGCTATGAAATGCCTAGTCTACTGAGATACTTAATAGGACTAGCATCTATATTTACATGAGTGAGGATGGAACAGACAGGACATATATTAGGTGCATACAGTTACTCAGTGCACATGCAAGCTGGTCACTGTTTGCCAAACGATCCAAACTAACCCTAGTTGCACTGAGGTACAAAATAAGCACATGCAACAACATAACCACCTCCCCCACCAACTCATTGTATAGATTAACAGCATTTGTGGTGAAATCTAGGCCTCATTGAAGTCAGTGGGGACAGGATTTCACCCTCAGTATATACACAGAAATTGGTCAACAAAACACCCCTCCACACAGTACAAACGGTATCATTCCAGACATTTTCAAGATTACTCAGCCCCCATTTAAGGATCTAAATATGTGGCAAGTGTTTCCAGAAGCACTCAGCCTCCTGTATCTGCCATTACCGTAGATTTAGGTACCTCTTAGCTATTGGATGCTGAACTCTGTTGGAAGTCTGGTGTCTAGGTGCTGAAGTCACACTAAATACAGAAGGCCTGGTTTTCAGAGGTGCTAAGCATCCACCGCTTCCATTGACTTCACTTGTGTTCTTTGGAAGTTCCACTCCTCTGAAGATCATGTCTGTGTTGTGCAGACCTTGCCTGTAGGGGAGACCACATTCCTTGACTCTCATCCTGAGGCATGACTGTCATCTGACAGCACCTGCCTTTCAGGGACTCCATTGTTATACCTTAGATCACTAGGGGCTTGTCTCTTTGCTACGATGGTTTCACCTTGACAACAGTCTCAGTCCATCTTGCCTCACTCACACTAAACCCAGGAACATTTTTCTTTTGCAGAGGTACTTAAACATGAGAGGCAACATGGTCTGGTGATCAGAGTGCAGAAGTGGGAGGGCTACCTCTATTCTGTAACCGAGCTGCTGCAAAACCTTGGGTAAGTCACTTAACCTGTCTGTGCAACATAAGTCTCTCCATCGGCAAAATGGGGATAATATGACACCTTAGCAATGTATTTGAGATCCTAGAATGAAATCCACTATGACCATCTGGACTGGCCCATTCTGGATTCAATACCGGTGTAAATGAGAACTGAATCTGATCCTGGTACCACGGAGTAGAGGTCTGCTTGGGCTTAAGTTGTTAGCCTGACCCAGACCTGAAATGGGCCCACACCCATCCGAGCCAGTTAAGTAGTTTTCCCACCCAACCCTGACCTTTCCCCTGAACCAGAGTCAGCACCACTGCTGCCCAGGGGTTGGTGCGGCCACAGACACATGAGCTGGTGGCTGCCTGTCCTGCTCCCGTGCTGGGGGATGAGAGGAACTGCAACTCCTTAGCACGTTCACTCTACAGCAGAATGGCAGCATCCAGCAGGAATGGGGCATGCAGACACAGCCACCAGCCTCACGGGCAAGAGGAGTAGAGCTGACGTGACCCAAGGTCAGAGAATTGCATAGTTTTCTGACCAGACCCACCCTAAACACGACACTCATGGCTGGGTCCTGTTGGGCTGCAGGCTCTACCATGGAGTGACATTCACAAGTCTGAGGGTCATGGGCCAGATAATAAATTGCTTAGTCTCTAAGGTGCCACAAGTACTCCTTTTCTTTTTGAGAATACAGACTAATACGGCTGCTACTCTGAAATCTGGTATAAATGCAGAGTAACTCCAAAGAAACTGACTATTTTAATGTTTCCTCTCTCTGTAAGGGAAACCATGTATAAAAGCTATTCAACACAAACAGTCCTAATGGTTCACTGACACACCAAGGGATGAAGTACATAACATAAAGCAAAGGTTACATGAATCAGAAGGAGCAAAGTAAAATTCTGAATCACAGAGAAAATAGCCAAGCAGCAAAAGAACCTCCAACTGGTACCCATAAAGCAGGTTACACATTAACCATGACATCAGTGCAGGTTGTATATTGTAGTTTACATCCAATAATCTAGTAATCTTATAGAGCCTGAACCTGTGGTCCTTACTCAGGCTTCAGTGAATATTTTGCCTGCATAAACTCACTTGATCAGCTAGCTATAATCCTCCTATAGTTTTCACTTTTGTAGCAGTGCAAAGAAAGCCACCAGGCGAGGCTAATGTTCTGAGCTGTTCCATCTGAATCATCCACAGGAAGAGCCAAGGACAAAAGATACATGACCCAGGCCTTACAAAAAGGAAGGTCAGCCAATTTCCACTCTAGCACTATAGTATGTTTCACAGAAAGTGATGATTACAACCTCTGTTCAGCAAGGTCCTTAAGCATGTGCCTAAATCCAAGCATGTGAGTAATCCCACTGAAGTACTAGTTCAGTGAGATTAGTCACCAGCTAAAAAGAGTTTTAGCTGGACTGTACATTCCTTGGGGTATGGAGCTGTGATTTTAAATGGGTCTGTCATGCACCTTTGCTGCTGAAATAACAATAAATCAGTGGTCCAGTGTAGTGGGGCTCAATAAAGGGATTACAGCTCGGGAGGTCTCCCCTTCTATGCCCATGCTTAGATCAGTAGTTCATGGTACTCCCTCTTGAGATGCAACTTTGCATTTTTCTGTGAGCCATCCTGAAAGAAGCAGTTATCTCACTTCCTTTCAAATTGGCCAGCAGAGAATGGAAGTGTTTTTCCACAGCAAATTTGGGATCATTCAGAATGAAAGGAAATACATGCATGTAACGTTCCTAGTGTTCCAGACTCCTGGACCCAACCCATCCAACAGGAGCTTCACCAAGGAACAAGCCAGCAAACATGAAACAACATTTTCAAATAGCAGCCGGAAAGGAGAGGTCCTCCAACAGCTCAGCACCAACCATCCCTTGGGATTTGCCACTATCAGGGTCTCCTGGATTGTTTCGGAGAGGAAACCATAGTTTTAGTCCTGTGGCCCTGAGGCGATGGACTCCGTTTACCTGCAGCAGAAACACACAATGCTCATGGGTGGGTGCTGGAAATCCAAAGGGAACATAACAGGATTAAACCCTATGGTCTCCTCATTAGGTTTCAGAGACTCACCTTCTGGAGACGGAACCTCCAAGAGCCGTGTTGGTTTTTTGCCAGCCTTTTTGGATTTCACTCTGGTAGAAGAGACTTTGGAATCTTCCCATTTCCAAAGTTTAGCTTCAGAGAGAGGAGAAAAGCACTCTAATTTGGTAAGGTCAGAAACTTCAACACTTGTACCTCCATGGCACTCACTATCTGATTTCACCCAAACCAACCGTAGCACTAATTCTACAATTAATGTAAAGCACAAATAAAAAGGCCAAATAATAATAATAATAGATTAAGGAGGAGTCTAGTATAGTTATTCTCACAAGAGACTGGGAGTCAGGTCTCTTGGATTCTATTCCCAGCTCTGGGAGCGTAGTCGAGTGATTACAGAAGGTGGCGGTACAATGAGAACTCCTGGATTCTATTTCCAACTCTGCCACTGACTCACTGGGTGACTTTGTGCAAGTCATTCATCTGCTCTGTGCTTCAATTTCACTACTGTAAAATTACAACAAAAATACTGATCAGAAGTACTGGGAGGAGAGTTGTGGCTCAATTACTTAACATTTGCCAAGTGCCTAGAGATCTTCAGATAAAGTATTCCATATAATTACAAAATGTAATCAACTACTCAGGCTCTGAAGGTGAGTATATGCAGAATCAATAAATCATCTCAGACACTGATTGACATTCTGATGGACTATTATGTTGGCTACCTGTCTCGATCTGATCCAGCCATTGTGTCAAGAGCTCCACAGGGCCACAGCACTACTAGGTAACTGGTTTTGGCCACTGCAAAGCCATACGGGCAATCAGCAAGGCTGGTCTTCAAACAAGTTCTTCCTGCTCTTTGCAACCCTCCCTATGGTTTGCGATGTGTTAGCCAAAACACGTATCGCTCCCAGGAAATGCTGGGCTAGTTTAACTGTAAATTGAAACAAAGGAGCACACTCTTTCCCAGGAGCGGAATGTGTTGTCTGCAGCACGCAAACTTTCATTAATCAAGTAGGAGACAAGTCTGCTCCTGTCTAGGACTCCAATACACCACCCCAAATGGAAGGAAATTCAGAGACACTTTGGATATAAATGCCTGTAGAAAGGGCACCATTGCTTCCTAAGCACCCCCTTGCAACTGAGCATGGCTCTAGCAGGGGCAAATCTGCCCTAGGTCTCCAGGGTTTAGGAGCCTCTTCTCTAAAACTCCCTGGCTGAGGTAGGTATGGGAACCCAGGCCCACCCACTCCCTGGGTTCCAGCTCAGGGCCCTTGTTTGAAAGGGCTAGAACGAGTCCTTCTCCATCCCTTGTTGTCCTCCTAGCTATTTCCTCCCTCTCTAGTCTTTCTTCCCCAGCCTCCTAACCTGTTTCTCCATCTTTGGAGTGTTGGTTTTGTCTAGCAATTTCTCACCAGTCTGTTGGAAGGAGTTCCTCTCTGCAACCCCTCAGCAACAGCAGCCTTTCTGCTCAGAAGTTCCCTCTCTAATTGAGATCCTTAACCTTGTATCATGCCCAGGTGCTTCCCTGCCTAATTGACTACCTCCCAGTTACTCAGTGAATTAACTACTCCCAGGTGAATCTGAGCTGTCTCATCCCCTGTAAGGTAGGCCTGCTGCCCTCTGACAATGCCAATTTGGCTCCAAGAAACTGCACAGAAATATTTCTGACTGCAAATTTAAATCTTTCTCTCTTGGCTTGGGCTTTGATCCCTTCCTGAGGAATACTGCTGAGATGGTATCTTCTTTTATCTTGGAAATAAACCCAACGTCCTAACAAGCTTTGTGTATCAGTCTCATCAGACCATCTAACTCAGTAGCACTACTTACCAAGGAATTTAGGGTTAATAACTCCTTCATCTTTCAGCAGTGGTGTAAATACTACCTCTGAAGAACCTTCACCACCTGCAAGGGACAAAGGAATTTCATAAAGAGAGAAACATTTATCCTGAGGATGCACTGTCTAGTGGCCAGAATTGGGACGAGGCACCAGGAAATCTTAATCTGACAGTGACTCACTCTATAGCTTTGGCCTAGTCATTCAGGCCAAATTTTTCAGAAGTGGCCTCTGATTGGGGGTGCCCAACTTTAGACACACTGGACTTGATATTCAGAAAGTGATGAGCACCTGCAGCTCCCATTGACTTTGACTGCAGTTGTAGGTGCTCAGCATTTCTGAGAACATAAAACCGTAAGAACGGCCATACAGGGTCAGGACAAAGGTCCATCTAGCCCAGTATCCTGTCTTCCAACAGTGGCCAATACCAGGTGCCCCAGAGGGAATGAACAGAACAGGTAATCATCAAGTGACCCATCCCTTGACACCCATTCCCAGCGTCTGGCAAACAGAGGCTAGGGACACCATCCCTGCCCATCCTGGCTAATAGCCATGGATGGCCCTATTCTCCATGAACTTATCTAGTTCTGTTTTGAACCCTGTTGTAGTCTTGGCCTTCACAACATCCTCCGGCAAGGAGTTCCACAGGTTGACTGTGCATTGTGTGAAGAAATACTTCCTTTTGTTTGTTTTAAACCTGCTGCCTATTAAGAAATCTATGGCTTGGGTTGGGAAACCCCCAAATTAATCCTTATTGAACATTTCATCTATAACATCTCCTTGCCTCTGTTTCCCCATCTGATAATACCTGCTTTGCAAAGGGCTGTAAGATCTGCAGATGAAAGTTGCCATATAACCTGAAACTGTAAAGTCTCTTGTTTTTTTTCTGGAAGAGGTTACAGAAGGGACTGATCAAGAGAAGTCACTTTGCTCTTAAATGGAAACCTCTCTCACAATGCTGGGAAACACTCATGAACATGCTCGAAGCATAGATGGCACCTGTGAATAAGTCTGGGAAGTGGTCTGCAACTCCAGGACCCTTGTGGTAGGCTAGAGGTGTGATGGTGCCTATCCCAAAAGAGAATGGTCACCATGCCCTGTACCACATCTTGAGTGGCAAAGTATCAGAGGATGTAGGAGATCTCACCACTTCCATCTGGAATGCTAGGGATAGCTGTCACCATGCCCTCCAAGTGCTGGGCTCCTTTATAAACCCCCCCATATTCATCAAAACGTTAGTGGCCAAAATGCAGAGGCATTTTCTTCTCGCGGGACTGACAATGCTGTACCTACGTGTGACACTGAGGAGTACACAGATCTCTCTCTCGCTCAGAAGCTCTGAGGCATAGCAATGTTGGTTCTGAAGCAAATTCTTCGCCTGGCCACTCACGTCTGCCAGCTCAATTTCACCTGCAATGCATGGCACAGAGAAGGGCTGAAAGCCAGCGAGCAAATGAAGTCTGGGAGCAGGAGGAGTATGATTCAAGCCCATCTCTAAAATGAAAATGTTTCTTGTTCTGAGCATGAAATCTGCACAGGATCAGCTAGAATCCATAACAGGTGACTAAAATATACATCTTATTAGCTTATTTCATGGGATTTAACAAGCTCATGGGGCCTCCTTAGAGACATTGGCTTCCTGTTATGTCACACTGAGACCTTGGTAGCTTGGAGCCTTTGTATGCAACTATACATGGGATTATATGCAAGAGCACCAGAGGTTGGCCTCTGTGGCCTGATCTGAACTGGATTATCAGTAGAGCCACATGGGACTTCATAGTTACAATCTGCAGGGAGTTAGCGTGAACATTCTTTCAGACTTCAACCCTATAAGGCTTGACGACGCCCCCATCCTGAAAGTGAAAGTCAGCAGAAACCTGGTCTAGTGTCAAACTGCATGGTGAAGCACAGCTGTAACAAGATGGTGCCCCTGGAAAGGCACAGTAACCCACCATACCTTCATTCTCACAGCCACAGCAGTGTTTGATGCTCTCCAGGAGAAGCTGGACTTTGCAGTGAATGTTAAAAAGGGTCTTTTCATTTTCTGTTGAGAGACATAATTCATGAGGCAAAACTTTGACTAGTTTTGGCCACTGGGAGCAGGCCCATTGAGAAAAATATGGGGCTCTGGAACATGATGTTCACTGAGGCCCCACCCCTACCATTTTGCCCCCATTTCACCCCAGTTACAGATATTGAGCTTGGGGCCTCAGTACAACTGTCTCCCTTTCCCTACCTCTTGTCAGCCTGGCTGGGAGCTCTGCACAAAACCAAAAGCTTTCTCCCTAAGCTATTCTGGCTCAGCCTCACCAAACAGGAGTCACTTTAGGGGACGGTTGAATTCTGGATGAGGGGGGAAAAGACAGTTACCTTTTCCGTAACCGGTGTTCTTCGAGATGTATTGCTCATGTCCATTCCATATTAGGGATGTGTGCTTGCCACATGCACCGGTGTCGGCAGTTTTTCCCTTAGCAGTATCCATAGGCCACTGTGCCTCAATGCTGACCTATCAGATCGGGACAAGTTCCTCCCGCAGGACCCTGGTGATCTTTGGCATTTGGCATATCTGCATCAGTAGACTGGCGATCTATGCCTTATGCTGCTTGACCTGTTCCAGGATCTAGAGCAGGACCAGGAGTCAGAGTGGGCTGGTCGTCGGTAGAATCTCCCCAATCGAGAGGATTTGCGTCTTGGCGATGGGTGCCGGTGGGTGGGTGACTGGTGACCCCGTTCTGCTGATCGGTTGCAGGACCGGCACAGAGATGTTGGAGACAGAATGGGTCGGTCTCGATGCTCATGCCGGGGACGCGAGCCTCTGCAGGTTACCGGCGAGCCGCGCCTCGAATCCCGCTGTTGGTGCCCAGGGTCAAGAGACCGACGAGGGCTTCTCTGAGCGTGCCTCCCAAAGTCTGAGGCATGATGGTGCCGTGTGGGCGAGTGCTAGTGGGATGTCTCCTGCGACGGGGAGCAGTGCTGCTGAAGTAGGGACACTCGGAATGGCCCCAACGCAGGTTTACCCCTGGGTTTGGGTACCGCCGAGCCAGTGTGGGCAGCACCGGTAGCGTCAGGATCTCCTGAGCTGCCTGCAGGGCCTTGGGCATCAACGGGACTTCAAGTTGAGGGAGGCGGTCTTCATTGTCCAGTATGGCAGGCATAGTACAGGAGGGGCTCGACCGCTTGACGTGAGCTGGGGCCTGACTCCCTGACGGAGGTGTTGAGCCGCCCAGCACGGGTCTTGGCTCTCCTCTGGCCCTCTCCTTTCCCTTACGGGATGTGGGAGCTCTTCCTGTCACAGACCTCTTGGACTTCTTGGCTGGGGCCAGAGCCAGGGAGGGGAATCAGTGTTGGCTTGTAGACGGCACCAGCGGGGCGGTCTGTACCGATGCTGTGCTGCTCGGGGCCAGGTCGGACCTCTGCTCCGGTGCTGGGGTCAATGCCGGCTCCATCAGGAGTGCCCTGAGATGGATGCCTCTCTCCTTTTTCATTCTGGGTTTGAAAGACTTACAGATGTGACACTTGTCGCTTATGTGTCCTTCTCCTAGACACCTTAAACAGCTAATGTGCGGGTCACTGATGGGCACGGGCCGCTTACAACGATTGCATACTTTAAAGCCTGGGGACCAGGGCATACCCTGTCCCTAGGCTGTGTCCTGTCCGGGACCAACTAACTAGAACTAACACTAAGGGTAAATACTAAACTATACACAACTAGTTTACAAAGAAACATCCGAGAGATACATTGAACTAAGCGAAAGCTAGCTGAAGCAGCAGCAGTTCCAGCACCGTCACTGGCAGCAAGAAGGAACTGAGGGTGGGGGGAGCGGGTGGCCCCCTCTTATACCATGCCATGCGGGCGCCACTCCAGAGGGTGCCCGAGCCGGTCCCCTATGGATACTGCTAAGGGAAAAACTTCCGGCACCGGTGCATGTGTCTAACACACACACCTAATATGGAATGGACATGAGCAAGCACTCGAAGAAGAACTCACAGCTCCTCCTCCCTTGCTTTTCTAAGCAGGAATCACTGTGGGATATGGTTGAGTGGTGGCTGTTAGGAGATCACAGCTATTCCAGTCTCAACATAGCTCCCAGCAGGAATCAGCATAGACAAAAGAGCTAGAAAACAATTGCAAACAACAAATACATTCAAAATAGCATGGAAATGGTATTTTTCTGTTTCTTTTTATTTGCTTTTACCGTTTTCTAGGAGCTACTATGGAAAATGAAAAGATACGTTGCATAAAAGCCCACTCCAAAGCCGTACTCCAAAGGCCATGAGCCAAGGGAGGGTGTGTGGCTAGCAGGGTATCAGAACTCTTCTCAGACTGCAAAGGCACACACTCCTCTTCCTTTTGCTTTGCAGGGCACACCCCAGGGATGCACCAGGCAGCAGACCATTAATGCACGCCCTCGTTTGAGTTTATTGTGATCGTGAAATCCAGGGTCCCAACACCCAGCACTGACAGAAGTTTGGAACTGGTTGTGGCTCCAGTGTTTGCAGCTTACCTCCATCTCCAGTTGCTGGAAGACTGAGGTCTGGGATAAATCTTCAAACATGCCTACGTAATTTAAGAGCCTAAGCTCTATTTTCAAAGTGATTTAGGTGCTTAGGGGACTGAGGCCCAGAACCTCAAAGGTATTTAGATTGGGCCTAAGTCCCTCTGACTCTTGGTGAGGCTAAGGATATGTCCGCACTACAGCAGCACAGCTTCAGCTGCGTTGCTGTAACTCTTGTAGTGTAGACCCTTGTTACAGCAACAGAAGGGGGGGGCGGCGGCGAGTTTTTTCCATTGCCGTAGTAAATCCACCCCATCAAGAGGCGATAGCTAGGTTGACAGAAGAATTCTTGTGTTGACCTAGCTGCATCTACAGTGGGGGTTAAATCGACCTAACAGCAGAGCATGGGGTGTGAATAAAATGTAGGTCCACCTAGCACACAGTGCTAGGGTGACCTACATTTTAGGACCAAGCCTTAGGCTCCTTCAGGCCCTTAGGGCCAGATTTTTAAAGGTATTTAGGCACTGCTGAACTCAGCTTTGCAATGCCTTACTGATTAAGGAGTCTAAATGTAATTTTAAAATGTAATTAAACACTTAGGATCCTAAATCTCATCAACTGTCAAGGGGATTTTGGCTCTTAATGGCATAAAACCTTTTTGAAAATGAGATTTATGTGCCTGAATCAGTTAAGGATTGCAATGCTGAGCCTAGTAATGCCTAAATACCTTTGAAAAATCTGGGCCTAAATCATTTTTGAAAATGCAATTTAGGCTCCCAAGTCACTTAAATATTTTTGAAAATTTCACCCTGGAAACTTTTCACTTACCTTCTCCTAACATTAGAGCTGGACAAAAAATGCCAAGTATTTTTTGTAGGAAATTTTGAAAAAGAAAATCATTTTCTATGCAATATTTTGTTTTTTTTTCCTGCCAAAAACAGGATACCCAGTGGGGACAGGAATGCTAGCTTTATTGCCTCTTTTGTTCTGAGTGACTAAGTTCCTTATGGACATGTAGGGGGCAACAGAAATGCAAGGCTGGCAAGTCACTTACCTCCATGAAGCACCGTTATAAACATTTCTACCAGTAATCTAAAAAAAAAGCAAAAGACCAGTGACAACTTTCCCACTATCTTATACTGACACAGGAAAGCAATCCCTGAGCCTGGCCCGCTGCGAATGCTCTGAGTTAGGTGATTGCTCTTAACCAAGTTGTGTTCCCTAGACTCCTCCTGCCCTGTCCTTTGCTAAAAGCTCCTCCAGGGGTGCTGGTAAGTGGCTATGTTCTCCCAAGACAGAGCTGCAACGGTAACCAGACACCATGTTCCAGTTTGCCTGTGCAGGCCAAGAAAAGTCAGAACCGAGGCACAGAAGGAGTGAGGGAAACAACATCTAAGAGGGGTAGGTACCTGAAAAACAATCCTCAGGGGAAGGACCCTGAAATTCCTGCACATCCGACCAGGCAACCACCTTGTAAAAGCCAAACTGAGCACGTCTGTCCTGGCTGCCAGGTGGGGCCAGCGTGCCCTATTTCTCTCACTGATGACGCCACCTGTAGATACGCCATGCAGAAGTGCCCTGTAAACATTTGTTTGTGCTTAGGAACCTGCAGGGCTCAAAAGCCTCTTCCTGAGGCGACAGCTGAACAAATACTGCTTCTATCAATTAAAGGGGCCCGGTCCAGGTGGCTGGAATCTACTAGCAGGCACCTGCCTGTGTGGGTTGCCAAGGTATTATGCTGGCTCCCAGCCAGGCAGCTTTATCGTACTATACCTTACCTGGAAGAGATCTGAAGACACCTGGGGGTGGGGGTGGGGGTGGGGGGCAGGAGGAGGCTCCAGTCCTGCACTGCAGAAGTCAGACACATTTCACAGCCAAGCCAGACTCCATTTGCCTTCCTTACAGGCAGGGCTGAGGATGTGACAGATTTTTTATTTTTGAAAAAAGGTCATAAATCTTCAGTTTCAGGAATAGGTTTCCAAGATCTGGGCTGTGGGCAGCCACTCTAATCTCAGCAGGAATCACTGGAGGCACTGGTGTAGGGGTGCTGGATGCCTGGATGGGAGATCTCACTGCTACACACCAGCCTCACCCTCTCCCAGCAAAAACGCTGTCCAGAATAATGTAGGCACACTGGCTGCAGAGAGAGTTTGTAGCTACTGTAGTCCTAGTGTCTGGCAGCGGAAGTTGATCCTAGGAATAGTACTGGGGCACTGGATCAAAAGGCACTCCCAGCAGGAGTCTCTGCAGGAAAAGGTGTTGGATGTCAGGAAGTTGTTCAAGACTTTCCCAGCTTGACTAGAGAGTGGAGTTACTCAGTTTCACGTTAATTTATAGCACAAACAGTTGAAAAAAGGATAAGTGAGAGCAGTGACAATTTAAGAGAGGGAGATTTTAAATGTTCCATTGAAGTTCATTGCAAAATCCTTCCTTGCTAGCATGAGATACCAAAAACGAAGCTCAAATAAATAAGACTTGGTAGTTATGCATATGGTACAAGAGGGCCTCATGGAACAAGTGGGACAGTAACAAGGACCAGACTAGCTAAAATTCTGTCCATTTGTTTTCCTATTTCTTCATTTCACTTGGTTTTTGACATGAATAATTTACAATACAAAACTGTCATTTTAACCTAAGAACAAGAATGATTTGGACTCCCACGTGTGTTTTGGATCTGAAGTTTTTCAAATAAATTATTTTAAAATCCACTCCATAAATCACAGCAACTATTCCTCCCCCGCCCGCCGCTGGCATTTTTACCTTTTAAAACATTTTTTTCTTTCTATGTTTGAATTTCACCATTCCAACGTAAATTGCTTTGAGATCCATGGATGGAAAGGGCCAAGTTTTATTATTAATTAGCCATTTGATAACAGGCCTATGAAATTCAGCATGAGGGGCAACAATCGCAATATCCTCACAGATGTCTTTGGTATTTCCTGATCCACACTTCTTGGAACTGACATTACTGCTTGAGTTAATGTTCCTAAGCTATTAAAAATCAGACCAGGTAGGATGAAAGCAACCTTTTTTCCAGGAAAACAAATAACCTTAAGGGTGTAGCCTGCATGAGAGGCACATAATTTATTTTGCTGATGGGCAGGGATTTCCTACAATGTATGTGAAGAGTTTAATTTCTTACTCACTTTTTGTCTCACTTATTGAGAGTGGTACATTCAGAACCAGTGAACCAAATTAAGAACATTGATATCATTTTCAGCCCTGCATAATTATGGATGATTAACAGCCAGTAGGAATACATTTGAGTCTATGCCTTCACAGCTGTAAAGAATGTATATATGTCAGAACTACAGCATGCATCAATCAGTGTGCATATGAACATCTCCTCTGTACATGTGCGTCTGTTCATGAACATATGTATTTGTATCAAACTATATTCATTAGTGTCTTTGTTTCTGTGCATGTATTTATCTGCTGATATGTGCCCAAATAACCCAAAACATGCATGTGTGCGTATTGAAGGTTGTGTATCCTCATATATGCATGTCACTGTGTGTATGTACATGTATGACTGTCCCATGGAAATTTGGTGCACAGTGCTGTTCGCCCCAGCAATGATGGAACATCATCAGTTGGATGCTTTTAGCTGGTACAAAAGGATTGCTGGAGTCCTTCAGGAGATGAGCTGGTAGCCGTTGTGGTTTGCAGAAGATGAAACAGCTCAGATTCTGTGTCTTTAATTCTCTGAGCAACACAGCTCCTCTTAATTTCCAGCAACTGGGCCTGGTCTCTCTTCGCGGCCCAGGATTCTAGCTGCTCTGTGAAGTGTTGTGCTTCCTCCTCATGAATCCTGCCCAGTGTCTGCCATAAAAATGTAAAATAAAACAACAGCACACTCCCATGGAGTTAGACAGCAGCAACTGGCAGCTACATCTTTCCTGAGGCAGCCTGGTTTAGTGGGTAGAACGTAGCATTGAGAACCAGGAGACCTGGGTTCTAGTGATCTTGAGCAAATGAAAAACTGTCAATCACATGTCTGTACAATACCCGCCTTTGTAGAGCACACCAAGATCAAGGGTTCAAAAATGCTTTCGATGTGCAACTATTATCATCCTTTGCTTATAGGGAATCCATCCTAAGACCCAGATTCAGTGGGCATGTCTACACTGCAATCAGAGGTGTGATTACAGCACATACATAGACATATCTGAGCTAGCTTTCATGTAGTTAGCTTGGGCACCAATAGCAATGAAGATGTGGCAGCACTGAAGTCTGTGCAGTTGCTTTTTGAGTTAAGTGGATCAAAGCTAGCTCAGGTATGTCTACATGTACCGGAGTCACACCTCCATTGGCAATGTAGACATACCCACTATCGTACACTGACTATTTTGGTTACCAAATTATAACATTGGTCATCATCTATTAAAGATTCACAGCCACCTCCAGGAATATATTCCATGTGGAAGCCATTCCCTTTATATCCATATTTTTGTCCTCTTGTTTACTGAAAGGGACATATTTGCATAAAGAGAACCAGGATCTTCATTCTCCTGCTGCTTAATCCCCACTGCAAGTCACAAACCTTGGTTGCTTCATAATCCATCTCCACAGCAACTATCTGTGATGCTACAAACAGAAAGCTCTGACTGATGAACTCTTAGGAAATAGAAATCCTATATTCATGCAACTGCTCACTGTGACAAGATATGAAGGAAAAGAACAACAAGAAATGAGAGACAGGAGTAGGACTAGTTCTCAACTGAATGTTTTTCAAAGTTTTCTACAGAGGGCTCTGGAAAGCTGCAATTTCATCTGGAGTCTGTAGCTACATGCAATGTCTGGACTGTGATTAATTATACCTTTCAATACTTCTGTAGCAGCATAAAAGTTTGCAAAGTGTTTTACATGTTCCAATGAATTAAACCTCACAACTGCTGTGAAAGTATCACTGATAGCCCATTTTATGGATGTAGAAACGGAGGGAGAGAGAAGTAAAGTGACTTGTGCAAGATCATACATGGAGCCAGGCAAAGAGCTGGGAATAGAACTGAAGAGTCCTGATGCTGTTCCCTGCTCAAACCACTAGTCTACACTGCCTTACTGTTCTAGCAAAAGCTGATCTTATGGAGACCCACATACATGTTATAAAGTTATCCGACTTCTAGATCACACCATGCCCTGCTAGGGGCTTAGAGAAGTGTGGGTTCTATTAATAACCACGAAGTTCAATAAGCTTGCAGAATCCAAGACCAGCTTTCCTCTCCTTTTCCCTGTGCTTCAGCAGATATCTTGTTTGGCTGGATCTGCATAGGTAAATGTCTGACCGTCTGTTGCCACCTATATTCTGGGGCTAGTTTCCTGGAGCACAGGGTTGTCAGCCTGCATGAAGCAATGATGCCATGCCATTTGTGTCACAATAGGAGACTAAGTGATGGGAACACAACCGTACAGGGCAAACTGCATGATAAAAGACTTTATCCTGGAGAAAAAACTTTCCCCTTCTCTGATGAACTGAACTCATGATACTGGAATTGATGGGTCTGCAGGAAAGGAGACAACTGGTTCAGGGATGTCTGAACTGTTCACTTATCCTGGCTCTTCACCCTCACCTTTTGCAGCACAGGAGGCTGAATCATTAGGGGCTGCACCAAGGCGAAGGTGAGCTGTTGTGGACACCTCTGTGAAGCTGGTAAATGCACCAAGTCTATGAAAAGTGGTTCATACCGCAAATGATTCCTCCTGGATTCTGAGCTTCTGGTCCAGTAGTTCTTCCTCCTTCTGGCTTGTCAAGGCCTGCACTGTAAGCTGGAAGAACTCCTCATTTAGCCCATCCAGCATCTTCTCCAGCTTCGCAACCTTCCACAAGAAAACACAGGCTATTGAGACCCTTCAATCTAAAGAGCCCTCCAGTGTGCAACCAAGCCAACTGACACTCAAAGGAACTGAAGCCCCGATCCTTTCCACATGGAAATACACAGCACTTGGATGCAGAGGTGGAATAATTATGATAAAAAGTGTTGGAGAGCTCACATTACCTAATCGCAGCCTTTCCCAGCAGGAGTCCCTGCTGGGGATGGTTAGATGTGCAAGCCATGTGGGAGGTCACAGGTGCTGTAATACCATCAAGAAGAAAGAGTACCAGAGCAATGGCTGTGAGTACAGCCCCCGGGTTGTCTTACCAAGAGTGACAATAGAGAGTGGTAGAGCAGTGGCACTGGGGGGAGCACCTATTCTCTTCTAAGAGTTGGCTGGCTGTCTGTCATACAAACAAGGCTTTCAAAACTTACTAGAAATTTTGTGTGCCCATCTTTCAAGGGGCCAGATTTCCAGAGTGCAGGTGCTTAGCACTTTCAGACCTTCTTGCCCCTTTAGGATGCATTAAACCACGCTCCTCAAAACTGAGGCAATGGTGGAAATTTTAAAATAAAAGACTGGAAAATGTCATAAATTCAACTTCTTCAATATATAGGGGTCTAATTCTCCTCTCTCTTATGCTGCTGAAAACCAGGAGTAATTCCACTGACACTGATGGAATAACATCAGGGAAGAACTGATTGAGCTGAAGGAGAATCAGATTGTCACACGGTGGCTGGCACCTGTGAATGAAGCAGGTACAGCTCTCTTGCGCCACAATAGGGGCTCCCAGTTTGGCCAGTTAAGAGGGTGAGCAGCACCAGAGACTATAAAAGGTCAGGGAAAGACCTGGTGAGTGTCATTTAAGAAAATTCAGGAGACTGGAGGGGGATCTCTGAGGAAAGCTGTAGAGATCAGAAAGTTCTCAGTACACCCTCTCTGGAAAGGGGGAGGAATTATCAGGAAGCCAGTGAAGGGTCTAGCCAGCTGTCCTTCCTGAACCTGAGACAGTCAAGGCCAGAGAAGGCTGGAGGCTGAGAGCAAGAGAGGAAGATGTTTTCTGATTCCTCGAGCCAGAGAGCTGAAGCCAGTGGGCCAAAGAGGCTGCTCTGAAGAGCTGGGGCATGGTGAGGGATGCTGGGACTGGGTTGGAAAGCCAGGTCATGGCGGGGAACATGGGGGCTGGGCTGGAGAGCCGGGGCACAGTGAGGGACACCGAGATGTGATGAGGGATACCAGGGCTGGGCCAGAGAGCTGGGGCATGGAATGCCAGAGCTCTATTTGATGTATTACCAGGATTACAGTGTTGGTATTGTTATATGCGCGACTTTTTCTTCTGTAATAAATTATCCCCACAAGGGCCATTTGTACTCAAGGACACTTTGGACTATTTCTGGGTACTCTGAAGGATGGAAAGTAAGATGGGTGGGCCTGTCATGCCATGGCGGCAGGAGAGCATGCCACGTGGGGTCGCCCTATGATACAGGCCCACAGCCTATAAGCAACTGACCTCAATGCCAGAGGAATCTGCATTTCTCTTATTGCTCTCACCACTCCACTTCATTGCTCCTTTTCTCCCTGAACTTTGCATCATATCTTGAATCTCCGCCCGAAGCTGAAAACATCGGTAATGTTGCAATCTAGACACAGAAAACACAACATGTACTTCCAGTATGACTCCTCTGATCACTCTCGAGTCTCCATTTTAATTCCTTCTTCACCTGCAATAGACAGGAAGGCAGTTGGGGAAAGAGGATGAGAGAGTGAACGGATTCACTTGCAAACTCATCGCAAGCCTGGAAGCAAGTCTGATAGGGGATGTCTACACAGCCCAGGTCTAGAGATTTGAACTAGCAGGTCTTGTGCTAGTGCTGTAAAAACAGCTGTGTAGACAGTGCTTTGAAGCTGTGGCTCAGGCTCTGAATCCCACCCCTTTCCCTAGGGCCCACATAGCTTCAGTAGAGCAAAATCTGACTACTTCATAGTTTCCTTTCTCCAGAAAAAGCTATTACAACTAACAAAGCTACTCAATATCCGGCACATTCCAACTCTCCCTTGACTCTGGGTGGGTTTGACATATTTTGGGCACCTGTTGCAGGTCCATGCAGCATAAGTACACTGTGAAATTTGTCCTATAGAGAACATTCATGTAGCATAAGGGGTGGAACCAAAAGCAAGCAATGAGACTTCCACCATTTTTGTGTGTGTGGAGAAGACAGTCTAATAATGCTAATCGCTGGGAATTTCCCCCTGCTATTTAGTTTAAATATTCCTTAGCTCAGTCTCATCTTGTTATTCCTTCAATGGTCCATCCTATCGCAATCCTCCTCCCGCCTTGGTATTAGACCCTTCATGTACCTGTAGATAGCTGTCACATCACCCTCAAGCTACGCTGCCCATTTTCAGTGGTAGCTCTTTTAATAAATCATTGCAGAAAGCCTGCATTGTTATTTGGCTCATAGAACTCTTCCTGGCAGATTGAAGGAGAAGGAACTGCGACATCTCTCATCCTCATTACAACTTTACATTTATATAGCAATAATTTTAATAAAGTACTTTACAAATATCAATTAAGTACACCTCATAGCCCCTGATGTGAAATAAGTAAGTCATATTAGTTCCATTTTTTGCAAATGGGGAAACTGAGGCTAAGACGGGGTATTAGAACCTTAGAGTGCACAGACCAGTAGACCACACCTCTCTCACTGCATGCAAAGCATTCTCTGGGATCCTTTCCAGGGCTCATAGTCAGAAACTCAACTCGGATGCAATATCAGTGGCAACAGCTGCACCCATGGCTTTGATCTGTATCCAAATGCAACTTTGAAAGCAGAAGCAAAGTAGACTAACACAAGAGTAGGCGAGATATATACCAATTATCTAATTAGGCAAAAACTCAATATAGGAATGTACAGCACTTTTGCGCTGTAATTCCACATGGAGCAATTAATAGATTCACAGATTCAAGGGCAGAAGAGATCACTGTGATCGTCTAGTCTGACCTCTGATATAATACAGGCCAGAGAACTTCCTCAAAATAATTCCTAGAACAGATCTTTTAGAGAAACACCCTGTCTTGATGTAAAAATTGTCAGTGACACAGAATCCACAAGGATCCTGGGTAAATTGTTCCAATGGTTAATTACTCTCACCGTTAAAAATGTACGGCTTATTTCCAATCTGAATTTGTCTAGTTTCAACTTCCAGTCGTTGGATTCTGTTATACCTTGCTCTGCTAGATCAAAGAGTCCATTATTAAATATTTATTCCCTATGTAGGTACTTATAGGCTGTGATCAAGTGAGCAGTGCCACCCTTTAACCTTCGCTTTGCTAAGCTAAGTCGAGTGAGCTCCCTGATTCTATCCCTATAAGGCAGACTTTCTAATCCTTTAATCATTCTTGTGGCTCTTCTCTGAACCCTCTCCAATTTATCAACTTCCTTCTTGAATTGTGGACACCACAACAGGACACACTATTCCAGCAGTTGTTGCACCAATGCCAAAAACAGAGGTAAAATAATTTCTCTGCTCCTAATTGAGATTCCCCTGTTTACGACTCCAAGGATCACATTAGTCCTTGTGGCCACAGTATTGCACCGGGATCTTATGTTCAGCAAATTATCCACCACGACCCCCAAATCTTTTTCAGAGTCACTGCTTCCCAGCATAGAGTCTCCCATCTTGTAGGTATGGTCTATGTTCTGTATTCCTAGAGGTATACATTTACGTTTAGCTGTGTTAAAATTCATATAGTTTACTTGCACCCAGTTTACCAGGCGATCCAGATTGCTCTGTATCAATGATCTGTGTTCTGCACTATTTACCACTGCCCCAATTTTGTGTCATCTACAAACTTTATCAGGGATATTTTTTTCTTTTCTTCCAGGTCATTAAAAATATTAAATAGAGTAGGGACAAGAACAGGTCCCTGTGGGACCCCATTAGAAACACATCTGCTCCATGATTATTCCCCATTGAAAATTATACTTTGAGACCTATCAGTTAGCTAGCTTAATCCATTTGATGTGGGCCATAATTAATTTTATATTGTTCTAGTTTTTTTTAAATCAAACTGTCATGTGGTACCAAGTCCAATGCCTTTCAGAAGTCTAAGTATATTGCATCAACACTATTACCTTTATCAACCAAACTTGTAATCTCATCAAAAAAGATATAAAGTTAGCTTGACAGGATCTATTTTCCATAAATCTATGTTGGTTGGCATTAATTATATTACCCTTCATTAATTCTTTATTAATTGAATCTCCTATCAGCCACACCATTATCTTGCCTGGGATTGATGTCAGACTGTCAGGCCTATAATTATCCGGGCCATCTCATTTACCCTTTTTAAATAGTGGCACAATGTTCGCTTTCTTACAGTTTCTGGAACTCCCCCAGTGTCCCAAGACTTATTGAAAATTGACATTAATGTTGTCAGCTGTCAGCTCTTTTAAAATTCTTGAATGCAACTTATCTTGACTGACTAATTTAAACATGTCTACCTTTAGTACTGTATTTACTCGTTCATTAGCCCATTTGTTTATCAGCCAACCCCCCCAAGATGGATAGGAATAAATAGTAAAAACTGTATGACCCTTTCATAAGCCAACCCTATATTTCAGGGGTTGGCAAACTTTGGCTCCTGGCCCATCAGGGTAAGCCGCTGGCGGGTTAGGACGTTTTGTTTACCTGGAGCGTTCACAGGTACGGAGCCCCTCAGCTCCCAGTGGCCGCGGTTTGCCGTTCCCAGCCAATGGGAGCTGTGGGAAGTGGTGTCTGGGAACGGCAAACCACGGCCACTGGGAGCTGAGGGGCTCTGTACCTGTGAATGCTCCAGGTAAACAAAACGTCCTGACCCGCCAGCGGCTTACCCTGATGGGCCAGGAGCCAAAGTTTGCCAACCCCTGCTATATTTTAAAAGCTGGTGTCACAGGAAACATTCAAAAGTTTTGCTAGAATTATTTTAATGCAATCTAATGAAAAACCTGTTGTTGTTATAATAATAACTGAACAAATATGTATTCACCTTCAAAATTACAGTCAATATTTAAAATCAGTAAATGGATATTTAAAACAAGTAACTTAAAACAATATGAGATTTTAAAAAGTCTTAAAATCCTTCGAAGTCTGAATCAGTCTCTGATTCACCAAACAGTTCATTAAACTCTGCTTCAGTCACAGCTGCACCTGCATTGTCATTGTAGACTTCAGACTCAGATTCCTTCTCATCATCAGCCTCTGTTGTGTCATCACAACAAGATGTGGCACCATCTTCTGACCCGTCGAGTGCATTGCTGATACAGCATTCTAAATGATTTTTCTATCATTTCCGAGGGAATGGACACCACACGTCCTTGATCCACTGGGCGACCAGACTGATTTCTGGCTTCATAAGATTCCTGCCTTTCGTCAACTTTGCCATGCCTGAGCACATCCATTCAGACCACACTCTGCGTAGCCTGACTTTAAAGGGTTTGTTCAGGCAGACATCAAGCAAAAAAACTATCAAGACATTGTAGAACTGAAGTTAAGCCTCCAGGTATTACAGCCAAAGTAGTTTTCATATTTTTGGCCACATTTTTCACCTCGTCCATCTTGTGTGCCCTGAACATGTCCCAGACAAGCATAGCAGGTTTCTTGAAAAGTGCTCCTGGTCTCTTATTCCACACTTTTTTCAGACATTCAATAGTCCCACTTTCATTCATCCATCCCTTTTCGTGTGCACGTACGATGACACCAGCAGGAAATTTCATGTTTTTAGGCAAGGTTTTTCTTTTAAAAACAACAACAACAGGAGGGAGCTTTGATCAATTTGCCCAACATCATAAAACCACCGCACAATGGATTTTTTCATGGCCAGTGGTTTTAATTAAAACTGTTTTTTCACCAACACTGGTTACCATTCTGTTGCTCGGGAGATCGAATGTCATCGGTGTTTCGTCCATATTTCCTATTTGTGACGGTTCAAATGCATATTCCTTTTGATATTTTATAATAAACCTTTGGAAAGATTCGATTTTTTTCTTCCAGATCTCTCAACAGTTTTTGCACTATCTTTGTTCACTGACGAAGCCAAGAGACCATGACGGTTCATGAAGCGAGTACACCAACCAACTGATGCGACAAGCATTGATGGCATTACTGACTTGTATTTGTCATCTTTCGACATTTGCAGAGCACACAGACCAATTCCATTTCTAGTGCCAATGTACCCATTTTGTCGACATTCAACAACCCAATTATGTAGGTCTTTCTCCAGCTCAGGAAATGAAGCGCACCTCATTGGACATTTTTTCTTGCTTCTTGGCATGTCTTTTAGCGTTGTTTTATTTTTTCGCCAATCTCTTACTTGCTTCTCATTGGTACAGAATTCACGAGCAACAGTGCAATTACTGTTTGCTTCTGCATATTCAACAACTTTAAGTTTGAACGCTGCATGATAAGCAGACCTTTTTCTTTTGATTTCACTGTTGTTCATTTTAAATACTAGTATGAAAATAGATGATTATTATTGTAGTTACAGATTTTTAGGACTTTACAGAGGAATATCACCTGCTTTATCACTGTCAAATTATTATTGTTCTTTGTTTTATTTCAAAGCAGCCCTGTAGATTGGCATGTCTGTGGCGATAACAGGCTATTTCAATTTTATTAGAGATTCTATCTCTATATATTTTCACATTGGCTTAAGGCTTACGAGGTCCATGGGTAGAAATGCATGAAGAGATCAAATTACACAGAAGCGGACTGACACCATTGCTATAGTACTATCGTTCATTCTATCTTTCTGATTGGCTTGTAAGGCAGAGCATTTTGTGAAATGCATGGGTCAAACGTCATGCAGATCTGCAGCACTGCTCTTTTAGTATTCCGTTCAAACCAATCTAGTCCACTAAACAAAGCCTTTGCAACTTTAAAAGGCTGCAGTATTGACATAAATAAATGGGTCAGCAATCTTTGGCTCCCGGCCTGTCAGGGTAAGCCGCTGGCGGGTTGGGATGTTTTGTTTACCTGGAGTGTCTGCAGGCATGGAGCCCCTCAGCCACTTCCCACAGCTCCCATTGGCTGGGAATGGCGAACTGCGGCCACAGGGAACTGAGGGCCTCCATGCCTGCAGACGCTCCAGGTAAAAAAAATGACAATGTATTAGATATTCAATTCAATGATTTCATAGAGTTTAAAATCATCAAATTTTGGTGTAGACTCGTTTATAAGCTGACCCCCGCTCTTTGATGCATCACTTTTTCACCAAAAATATTCGGCTTATGAACGAATATATACGGTATCTCTTGTTTAACATCATCCTGAGATACTAGTGGAATGGAAAGAGTGTTATCATCATACGATGAGACTACTTCAACTGTCCTTTCCCAAATACAGAACAGATATATTTATTGAACAATTCTGCCTTTTCTGCATTATTATTGATAATTCTAGTATTTCCATTTGCTAACGGACCAATTCCACTGACAGGGTTCTTTTTGTTCCTCATATACTTAAAAAAAACCCACCCAAACCTCTTCTTATTGTCCTTAACTCTGCTGGCCATAGATTTCTCCTTGTGTCCCTTCCCTTAAAATTTGTTTCCACAATTCCTAACTTCTGATTTATGTTCACTACTATGAGTTTTCCCTTTTGTCAATTATCTCTCTATCTCTCTAGCTAGCTGCCTTTACTTCCCCTCTAAATTAGGTTGTTTTTTTAACCAAAAAAGCCTTTTTCCTTGACTGTGGAATTGTGTCTTTTGCGCCATCTAGTAAAGTGTTCTTAAACAGCTCCCGATTATCATCCACATTTTTCTGATTCAATTCTTCCTCCCAGTTGATATGGCTCATAATTGTTTTTAACTGTGTGTTGATCTCCAGTACCTCTCATGTTGGGATTTCTCAAGGAATTGGGGATCTGGTGACATTCGGATGCTCAGAAGTTCTTCAAATATTGTCTGGGAGTCAAAGCATGTGGATGGTTTGTCTTCTGCAGGATCCTAAAATGAGCACCAAGAGTAAGGAAACAACAGTGTAAACACCAGAGGGTCAATCAAAAGAGCAACGTTTCTTCTGTGATCACACTGTATACTGCAAAAGTCCTGCAGGGAAATTAACTAACTAACCTGATGAGGATTGCTGCCTCTCATTGCAGAATTATTGCCATTCAGAGTAACAGCTGTGTTAGTCTGTATTCGCAAAAAGAAAAGGAGTACTTGTGGCACCTTAGAGACTCACCAATTTATTTGAGCATGAGCTTTCGTGAGCTACAGCTCACTTCATCGGATGCATACCGTGGAAACTGCAGCAGACTTTATATACACACAGAGAACATGAAACAATACCTCCTCCCACCCCACTGTCCTGCTGGTAATAGCTTATCTAAAGTGATCATCAAGTTGGGCCATTTCCAGCACAAATCCAGGTGAATTTGTGTGGGGGGGGGGGGAAAAAAATAAATATTTTTAAAATTAAAAAGAGGGGGGGGGGGGGGGGGTTGTTTCATATTCTCTGTGTGTATAAGTTGTGTTTCCACGTATCATCCATGATGAGCTGTCTCCACTCATCTCAATAATTGTTGTCTCGCCACAGCTCCTTTTCTTTTGTTCTTTATCTCTACTGACTACACCACTGGTTCAGATCCAGTCTAGAATTGAACAATCCCCATGGTTTAGGACTCAGACCTGAGGATTGTGTGCTGGTTTCAAAAAAAAAGAAAATATAGGGAAGGTAAATGGCCCAACTTGATGATCACTTTAGATAAGTGTAATAAGTGTAATAAGTGTAATGAATTCACATCAAAACCATCAATCAGCCCCAGGTATGCTCAGGAGGTTCCTTAATGCATCAACAAACCTTGCATGAAATTTGAATTTGCAACAAACCCAGCTAAACCAGGCAAATTTTGGCTGTATTGGAGCACATTTCACACTGCTCTAATCCACTGTCCCCTTGATCTGCATGTGTGATTTTCACTGCCACTAATGGAAGTCACATAATCTCAACTACCTTCTCTACTGCTCCCCAGGAACACTGGAAAAAGGCATTGGCCAGAGCTGTGATGCCTCTGTTGAGTTCTATCTGAAAGCAAGAATGAGCACTGGCAGCTGCTGTCGATCCTGGAGAAAGACAAAAGTAGACAGAGTCAGACCCCATTCACACCCCTCATCTTTAGCGATCAGAGTCCTTTTAATCCAAACGTGTAACCTCGTTAGCCATTAAATAGCCTCTCCACTGAGTGCACATGGTAGCAGACAAAATAGCAGCAAAGGCAAAAGTAACCAAAGCATCTGTCCAGTAGAAACAGTTTTAGAAAGAATGGAGGATGACAGTGAGAGACACAGGGTCTCCATACACACTGAGGAAGTTTCCCCAAACACTGCAGTTGGGTTTTACAACTAGTTTATGTGAACCAGGTTTAAAATCAGTAAGAATTTGTAGAACAAATCCCCACAGTAGACAGGCTGATAGTGTCAAAGGGACTGTGACTGGTGGAACCACAGGACAGCTACAACTAGAAACAATAACTTCCTTCTCCTTTACTAATGCTAATTAGCAAGAGATTAAACAAAGAAAGAGAGAGAGAGAGAAATAAACACAAATCCACGCCTCATTGCAAAAACAGAATTACACATTGTAATGGCAAGGATGAAGTTGGTCAATCTGACAGTATAATGTTCAGAATGCCACAGTAACTTTGTACGTGTGTAATACATTGTGTTCCAATGGAATTCAAAGTATGTCCTACACTCTATAGGTCTGATTTTCAGGGATGCTGAGGACTGCAGTTGTGGTGGTAGGCGCCCATCACCATTGAAAATCTGGCCCTATATGTGTAGCCGCCTTCCAGTGATGCAAGGGGGTAATCAACAAACCAAAGACAAGCTGTAGTTGTGGGAGAACAAGGTTCACCAAGGACATTGGGACAAACCCCTCTTCTTACAAAAAGTGCCATGAGATCTTTAGGGCTTGCTTCTATTCTCACAAAAGAGAAGCAAGTCCTGGATGTCCACATCAGGAAGATGGGACCTTGGCTTTTAAGGCAAACTCCATGTTGGTCAGAAGGATGAAGGGCTGAGCTGAGCTTAATGGTATTTGAACCTATAGTTCCAGACATTTCAAACCTGATACTCAGAGTCCTGAGACAACCCCTCTGGCCGCCGGTATATGGAAAAACCACCAGCCATGTTTCTTTATGGGGAATGTCTAACTTGGATTGATGATGATGCTATCCTAAAGTTAATTAAAGGAATCAACCTGGATACTCAGCAGCCTGCCAACCCAGCTAGCAAATGTATGCTACTTTCACTATCCTTGGACATGTACAACCCATCTAGCATACACCTAGACCTATTTTCTACATACATATAGATATAAACAAAAGCGTAATTAGGTTCAGTGACCAGAGGGGGGAATCTTGAGATTGGGGATGATCTAGGAGCTTTGGGATTCAGCTCCATTGGTTTCAGATCAGTAGCTCAAAAGGAGCATAGAGACTGCTAAAACTCATTAGCTGAATTTATAGAAAGTGGCTCTGAAGCATCACTGAATTCCAAAGCTCTGCATGTGATGGGCGGACATTTCCTTGTTGTGTGATTTGCATAGTAAATTACAGGGTAGATGCATGCTCTCTTTCTCTTGCCAATGATCCACTGTGACGCACAAACACCACTAGCTGCTTTCTGCAGTGATGTAATGATAGGCGTTGGAGCTATGGAAAAAATTGTGCAAACACCTTTAAAGAACAGACCTGTTCACTCATCAGTTCTGAAGCTTGCAAAGGGATAGAAAATAAGAGTGAAATCAAGGCTAAATCCTCAGCTGGTGAAAATCAGCATAGCTCCATTGACTCCAAGATTTATTTAGACTGTAGGGTCTTTGGGGCAGGGACTATCATGTTGAATTTGTGCAGCACCTAGTACAATGGGGTTCTGGTCCATGACTGGGCACCATGTTAATACAAATTATAATTATAATTTTAACAGCAGGAGACCTGGCTCTCAAAGGATTCAAACACTCAGTGAAAGCCTCCCTTGTACTGGGCTGTGATCCTACTGCTGGAGAGTGCCCAGGGCCTTTGAAGTTACTCCTCTGTTCCTAGTTTTGGGACACAGTATCCAGGCCAGAAAGGGCCGAAGGATCTGGAGAAAGGAAATAACACAAGTGATGTCACGTAGAGCAGCACTGCAGGACTCTAGATAGAGCTGTGTCCAGGAGCAAAGAAAACCAAACTTTTCCCAGACAGCAAACTCTTACCAAGCAACAAAGAAATTATTGGGGCTATGAAGACATGCCTATAAAAGAACCTGTTCCTCACCTGCTGAGTCACAGATAGAGTATAAATAGCAGACACCCTGCTCCCATTGATTGCTGGCACTCATACCTGCTTTGATCCATGCCATGGCATTCAACAGGATGGCTATAAATTCCCCGGCATTCTCCAGGCGTGCTGAACATATATACAGGAACCTGTTGGTAGCATCATAGTAGGAATCTCCAGGGCTTTGGAGAGCCTCTTGGACCCTTTGGTAACTTTGGTCTGGGACTGTCTGAGCCAACATGAGTACCACAGCTGGGTGGGAGCAGGCCCTGCTTAGCAGGCGAATCACAGTGCAGCCAAAGCGGTAAACAACAAACTGGCGAGGGGACAAGCTGGCCAGATCTGTGGTGATCAGTGAATTCCTGGTGGACCTTGGAGAACTGTCACTCAAATATGCCTCTGGAAAAGAAAAGACACAGGAATTCAGGTAAGCAATCTAGCATCATTCCCTGCTCCCTGGAGCGGTCTTCTTCCCTCTGTCAACCAATACCATTTCTTGCTCCCTGGGGATGTCCTCCACCTGTAAACTAGCACCATCCCTCCACTATCCACAGCTCTCCTCCTTCCTCTGTGAAATTCTCCACAATAAGCTACAATTCTGCAAGCTATTTCCTTCCCATTATCACAGGCTTCCATAGAGATATTTTCTGGGGATGCACAGAGTGTAGGTGTAATGGCACCCTGCACAAAGGATTATGCCATTATAAACTGTTGGGTTCTTTAAAGCAGGCTGGGGCAAGTGAGCCCAGTATCCGCTGCCAAGCCACGCTTTTGTGGTCTCCATATACAAACTGTCACATGGTGATACTTCCCATTCCCACCCATCTAGCCATGATTGAAGGCTCCCTGTATCTTCAGGTTTGGCAGCTTGCCTCAGACATGTCCAGTCCCCAGAGGAGAGGTATCCTCAGTCTCACCTAAGCACTGTCACTCTTACTGTCATTTTCAGCATAGAGACCTAGTCGTAAATGGGCCCCAGAGGCTGACTTTCCCTCTCATCTTTCCTGGCCAGGATTGAAGCACACTGCCAGGGAAGCTTGCCCTTCTCATACCTATGCTGAACCTGTGGATCAACAGAGGACTTCATTCTCCAAGGAGGTCAATCCACCAGCTCTGACTCATGTTAAACTAGTTAATGAACTGTGGAGATATTTTATGTATAAGACTACGTAAAAGTCACTCATCTGGGCACAAATGTAGAGTGGACTTGGTAATTAATGATTCCTCCCCCCGACATCAATCCTGTATGTTTGCATTCTGCACCTCAAGGGGCACAGGCTTCAGGACACTCAAGAGGAATTTTGCTTCATTACCTGCAGCAGAAACAATAGGACACTGCTGCTGCTTCTCCAAAGCCTGCCTGATCTCACGCAGGGTCCTGGTGAGGGGGGAAGTTGCCATTAGACTCTCCACCTCAAGCTCAGTCAGACAGGCCAGTGTGGCCCTACCAGGCTGAGGACCTAGCCCTGGGAAACACAGACATGGCATGTCAGCTAGAAAAGCACCTCCAGGCCTGGAGAAAGGAGGTGGCTTCATGCAGATGGCTGGGCAGGTGGGCAGTTACTGCATAACACATTGCCACATGCAAGAACTGTAGTGCCTAGAGAGAATGCTTCTCCTGAGCCCCAGGTGGTAAGAGAATCATGGAGCTGATGCTCCTCCATCTAGATGGTGTCCAGTGGACATGCCAAACCCACAAAAAAATTGCAGAAATTGGTCTTGTTTTTGGCTTAATTGGCTTGTGAGTTGCTTGTTGGCTACTTTTTAGCTTGTTGCTTGTTGTTTGTTGTAGCTTGTTGCTGCGTCTTCTTCTTCTTCTTTTTTTTTTTTTGATTGGCTCCCGGCAAGCAGAGGCGAGTGGGGGAGTCAGGAGTGCACTGCAGGCCCACCACAGTCCCAGACTGCACACCGGGGGGATCTAGTCACATAGAGTGTGGGGGTTCTTAGGGGTTGGCTTGTTTTGGCCTTGTTTTGAAATGGGATTAGCTTGATTTTTGGCTTATTGTGAAAGTCGGATGCTTATTTACTGTGTGAAAAAGTGGGCAACTGTGGTGTCCGGTTCTCCAGACAGCATCCACCTAGTGGCTGATCAATGGAGCAGCACCCAAAATCTTTCACAGGAGGTGGTTGCTGAGTACATGGCTGCAAAATGGCTAGGACTGTTGTGGATTTTCCCCCACCACAGTATTGTTCTATGCACTGGGGGCGAGGGTCCATTTGCTGTAGGGCCTGTCTTGGACTGGTGTGTAATGGGAGCTTACTGGGAAATGCTCCTTCACCTTACCACCAACATAAAAAGACCTCCCTGTAAATAGTAATTATAAAATGTCCAAAGAAAATTAAAAAAAGAAAAAAAGTGTTGCTACCCAGACACTCTGGTGATTATTTTAACCAAGTATCTATCAAAGCAACCTCTTACAGCACCCCCTGAATTGTTACCGTGTCCACAGCTGAACCCATGGCTCTTACCTAGTTCTTCGCAAGTGACAAAGGGGCCTTTCCTATTGGAGCGTCCATGCTGCTGGAGCCCGCCAGGATCCTGTAGGACAAACAAGGGCCAAGTGTCATAGACAGAGACACGAGTCATTGGGAATAATACAGAGGTCCATTTTGGGTCAGCTGTTCTTCACCTGCCCTCGCTCTGCTCCTGCTTTCCTTTGACTGGCCAGGCTGGATTCTGCTGTCCCATCCTGTCCCTGTACATGCTGTGCTGGCTCTTGCTTCACAATTGTCTTCCCACAATGGACTTTACCAAGCAGGATTTTCAGAGCTTTCATTAATTCAGTTGCCTCCCGCCACTCAGCACCTAATGAATTCAGCAACAGCAATAATCAAGGATGGTTCCACACATTTATCAAGCCCCACTCATTCCCAAGTGCTTTAAAACCTATACACAAGTCTCATTTATCCACTACTGACGTGCAGCCAATGTGGCTGTGGTTTATAAGTGCATGGTAGTTTAGGACAGGAAGTTAAGAATGCTGTACTTACACTACTGGGAGAATGTACAGAAGCTCAGTGGAGTTAACGGAGCTGGGATCTGACTGGGGCACTGAGGTTTGGACTAACAACCTTAGTAGAGCCTCAGTTTTACATCTCATTTGAAAGGGAGCTCAGGAGACAGCCTAGTTCCAGGCTTGACTTGAGCTTTATGAATCCAGACCGCTGCTGATGGCAATAGGTTCACAGAGAATAGGTCCATCAATGGCTTTTAACTAAGACAGTCAGAGACACAACCCCGTGGTCTGGGTATCCCAAAGCCTCTGACTGCCAGAAGCTGGGACTGGACGATTGGGGATGGATCATTCGCTAATTGTCCTGTTTTGTTCATTCCCTGAAGCGTCTGGCACTGGCCAGTGTCGGAAGACAGGATACTGGGCTAGATGGACCTTTGGTCTGACCCAGTATGGCCATTCTTATGTTCTTAATACCTGTCTGTAACACTGTGCAACCAGTGCATCTCATCTCCAGCCCTTGTGGAAGAGTCCTACAGTTTAGAATGTAATAGGGCTAATATCTGAGGGTCTCTCAAAATTAGAACTCTGTGGAATTGAATGGAGAATTATAACATATCTTATGCCATTCCATAGAATTTAATAGAGAATTATAGCTCTGCTATGGAATCCTATAGGTTGGATCCAATAAAGCTAATGGAAAAAGTTGATAATTCCCTATTGAATTTCTTAAGGTTTACAGTAATGTCTATAGAATACGATTACATTTCTGTAGGACTCTTTTGATTTCATCCTGTTTGGTAGGTCTCTTCCCCAAAGGAACTCACCTAAGGAGCTGCCATCAATTCCTATGGGAATTGTGACTTGCAGTGACATGGAAAGCTGGGATATTGAGTTGTCTCTTCTCCCCATTTACATGAACCATGCCTTTCCTAATCATGCTGTGGATGGCTCATGGAGCACTACCTGCCATCCAATCGCTACTGCTCCCTTCCCTCCACTCTGGTTCTCTCACCTGTGTGGCCCATTGCTTGAAAGTCTCTGCTGGTCACTTCGTCATGTTGCCCAATGCCCATGGCTGCCTGGGTGCTCCCCTGGGTTCTATGCACAGAGATGCTTTGCTTGGAGAGGTCTTTCAGCTCATCAGAGTCCAGAGTTTGCACCATGTCCTAGTTACAGAGAGCAGCAGCATCATGCTTTACCTCTCTTGTATTCACTCCTCCCTTTCCCAGCCTCTCCAACCAAGCACACAGACACCACGGGCGAAATGCCACCTTCACATGCAGGTCCCATGCTGGCATCCCAGGGCAGAATTTGACCCTACATCACATGCATTTATAAGAACACTGTAGTATCAGGTGAGCTTTGTTTGGCTTAGAATAAGACTCCAAGAGTATTCTGTATCCCAAATGACAGGGGCAGCAGTGGGTGTGCATCTCCTGAACACTGGGAAGCTCCAGAAAGGATTCCAGAAGCCCCATGGCTGTGCCCAAATGCTCTGTAGAGCCCTTAGGGAGCAAATGCAGTGCAGCCCCTTGCAGAACTAAAACTGCCAGCCCATGTTCTTGTCTGTACAGTGCAAATAAATCCAGCACCTCTCTCCTGGACCAGGCAGTAGCATGAGACTCAGAGCAAGGAGCTTAGCTTTCAGCAAAAATGAAGCAGGTACCAGAAACATTTGTGGCTATGGAAACCACACTGGGCATATAAAATAAGCTGCGCTTCTGATCACCGTGACATGGGGCAGCCAAGTTCCAAAGTGCTACTTGACAGGTCACTGCTGAAAGGAATGTTGCATTGTGGGATTGCAGCCAGAGGACCGCTTATACTGGTATAGTTATGTGTGTGTCCATACTGCCACTGTGCTAACAAAACTATACTGGCAGGAGGCTCATGTCTCTCCCCAAAGGGAGCAGAAATGCCTGAAAAAGCAGAAGGTGTTGTTGTTCGGGGACAGAAGTAAGGGTGGACAACCATAAGACTGTGCCAAAAATGGATCAGTTTTGCTGGTACAACTTTCCAGCGCAGACCAGGCCTAACAGACGCTGAAAATCTAGCTAATAGGCTAAGTACCAGGGATCCAGAGTCCACAGGTAGCAAAAAGCTGGAGCAAAGAGTTTCATCCAATACTGCACTATTATTTAGCCAAGATCAGGCTCAGAGGTATTTCCACTGGGAGCAAATTCCAGAAGTGAAAGCCAGGAAATGCCGTTTGGCACCCAAGGGACTCCAGCTACATGGAAGTGTAAGGGGAAGCATTTGCCTGAGAGAGGTGGGCTCTGGGCACTTCCAGGCTCTGTAGTCACTAGCTCCCTGATCTTCACCCAGAAGTGGACTGGTAGCCGGTGCAGAGTGATATGTTCCTGCTGGTCTGCCCTGCTCACAGAGCGGACAGCTGTATGCTGCATCTGGTAGCCTTTCAAGGGTAGCTCCAGGTAGAGCATGCTGCTGCAGTCTAGCCTATGTAGAGGTAACAAAGGCATCGCTAACCACAATGAGATGAGCGCAGAAGGATGGAATCTCTTGCCCAGCTGCATGTCTCTCTGGCCATTGCTGCTACTGGGACTCCTCAGACACAGCAGCTATGCTGAGTAAATTCCTACCCCGTAAACTATGTATGCTACAAGTTCCAAGGTTCTGAGATCCCCTCCCTTAAGCTCCTCTCCATACTGACCATCAGCCCCTGGATCCTCTGGCAGATCCCCCTGTAAAAGGCCAACACATCCATCCTGTGTTTTGCCATCTGAGAAGCCAGGTGAAGGTTTTGGTCCTCCAGTTTATCATATAGGGTGCGGACGCTGAAATCTTCCAGGTCCCTCAGTGCGGGCTGCTCGCCTGAAACACAAAGTACCTCTCATTTCCCATTGTTGACTGAAAGGCCTGAAGATATTTCTCTCCTTGAGAGTCATCAGCTGAATCTCTAAGTGGCTATGATCTCATGATACACCATTTCATTTTGGGCCAGGTCTTTAATACCAATCCCAGCATGCTTCACAGAGTGCAATAAAGGGTAATGCGGGAGAGAGAAGTGTGGTGTGGAGGAGGAAAGGAGAGGAGAGTCGATGCGGCAGAAGATACAGGGAGGCTGTTGCACATGGCTGGAGCTGCAAGTGGCTGCAGAACAGAAGGCCTTTACCTAACAATGGCAAGACTGTGAGGGTCAGAACTGATGCTAGAGACCTGGAGGGAATGGATCAGAGAAAGATAAAGCCCACTGTGAGGGTGCCTGGATAAAGTGCTTTGAGGGTTCTAATAACTAAGAACCCGCAGTGGATCTGTCTTCTGAAATGAAAAGGGAGACCCTCATGGATCTGTGGATACGGGTGATGTAGTCAGATACTTTTGTATGTGAGAGGAGAGCTGTGATGTTCCGATGAATCGCACGTTTATTTTACAAAGCTCATTGGATTCACCACCACTGGCCTTTCCTTGTTTGGAGAACAGAAACCCAGTCTCAGAGGGAGTGCAGAAGGAATGCATAAATGGCCAGCTACAGTCGTTTCATAACTCAGCCCTGTACATCCCGTGTGTCCTTAAGTCACATCTCCTGCATGTGTCTTATTCTGCTGATCTCTCCCACAAGGAAAAAGAGACCAGCCTTTGTAATGCGCTTTGAGACCTGTGGCTGAAAAGTGCCAGTTAAGTGCTAAATGTCATTCATTCTCTGATATTACCATTGGGGTTGTGCGGTTTATACCACAGCAGCTTTTGCATATTAGTATGTTTGGACTGTTGATGCAGCGCCTAGATGGAATCATGCTAAAAATATATTTATTATTGTTTTTTAGGAGATATGAAAGAATGAATGCATGGATCCAAGGACCTGTGTGGCAGTGGAAATGACAATCTCTCTTAGAACAGGAGCCAGTAAAAAGACAGGCAGAGAGCACAGACACCAGGTGCTGTTTTTTCAGAACTTAAGGGACCTTTGCTGAACAGAATATGGAATCTTCTCACAGCCCATTGTGTCCTGTTAGGCTCTTAGTTTTAGTTTTTTACAGCACAACAGTTCCCAGAGCCAGTAGATGGTGCCACCTGCTGGGCCCTGAACTTATTGCATTAGCATGAACCACACCATGAGCCCATCACCTCTGAGATGTTGTCACTGAAAGAGGGGAAGAAAGACTGTAGGTTGCTGGGCACTCAGAGAACATATGAGCCAACAGCAGAATACAGGGCCCTCATTTTCCAGGAGCTTGGCTTTGCTTATTAATGTTGTGCATCTCTCCCTCACCTCAGATACCCTGAGGGCAGTTAGCCTCCTCAGTTTGAGGCCGGGGGGACTCTTAAACCCATTACACAGCTGGCAGGCTCCTGACCCGCACTTGGGAGAGAGAAAATGTTTGAATGGAAGGAGAAACCTATGAAATGTTTGTGTCTCTGAGCGTCAGTGCATCGCAGCCTGAGTGAGTGTGTGACCACAAATGTATGGGCATCAGCATGAGTTTCCAAGTGTGCAGGCACTGGGATACTATGGTATGGGCGTGGTACACAAATGAGAACAGAACAAAACAGAGTTGGTGGGAATGAGTATGAACAAATCAAAAGGAGAGAGTCTGGCCTTTGATAAAGGGCTTTACCTGGACCATGGATAACTCCTTTCTCTCCACCATCAGCTCCTCTTCCAGAACCCTGGGGACCGAGGGCTTCATAGAACTGAAGGCTGGAGGGAGAAAAGAGAGTGTGATGCATATCCATGGGTGGAGCAGTACACACACGCTCCATGCACCCACTCACAAGCCAGTGCAGGCTCCCAGTAGCAGCAGCAGCTGCAGTGTCACCAATCCAGTTCAGACGCTAGATTAACGTTTTTCTTGTTGATTCTGGAGTAAGAGGGGTATGGAGCAGAGAACCAGGCAAAGGGATTCATGCAAAAAGAGTGAGGTGATGGCAGCGTGCAGGGGATGCCAGTGGAGATGAGAATGGGAGTGCTCTGGAGTGCAATATGGGAAACCACCACCCTGTGGGGAAGCAGAGAAGTTTCATCTCTGTGGAGTTGAGGAGCCATCAGACTGTGATGTTGGACAGGAGCGCAGTGCCAAAGGGCAACAGGGATTAGCACCCCACCTGGCCTGTGCAGTAAGAAGCCTGTTTCCTCTATTGCTCTTGCACTCTATCCTGCAGGCCTCTATTTGTAAGCTCCAGAGCTAGTGGAGTCCCAGCATGCGGACAGACTCACCTGTCTTTAATGAGGATGTACTCGGGTGGGATGTGTGGCTCACCCAGGCTCCTCCACCGTGGCTTCCAGTTGTTCATAGGACTGGGGTTGGAAATGTGGGGCCTCAGCATGATAGCCAGGGTCATCAGCACAACCGTCAAGAAGCCCAGGACAAAAAGCACTGCTAGAAAGACCAGGCAAGATGGCCGGGTGAAGGAGCTATGTGTCAGCATCAGTGGCTGAGTGCTGCCACAGTACCTGGGATGGTACCATGGTGCAGAATGGTTGGGGCCTGGGCTACCCTTTTATCTAGTGTATAATTCGGGGAATCATGGAAAGGGTGATGGACTGGCCTTGCACATCCAACAAGGAAAACCCTAAAGGCCACCTGCAAATGGAATCAACAGCATCCCATTGCCTTCCTCCATTGGTACCGATGCCTCCAGCATCCACAGCAGGAGGGGCACTCACCATTTCTTATGCCCGGGAGAAGAGGGGCATGCGGCAATCACCACTGACATGCTTCAGAGGGGCACTGCCTTCTCCATACCCAATAACAGGGACATCTAGCAACCTCCATCCCCTTGGCTAAGCACTCCCTTTCTCCTTAGCCCCAACCTAGCCCAGAGGAACATTTAGCCACCCCACCTTCACTAATCACACTCAGGTAGGGAGGACTGCGGAATGATCCCTGTAGGCCTGGCATGCGTGTGGATGGAAGGGGCGTACAGCCCGGACAGCTGAAGCTGATGATGGAAGCTGGTGCTCACGCTTGCGGGCCGCACTTTCATGCATATTTCTGCTGTCTCTCTTGGCTAGTTGAGGGATAACAGAGCTAGGCCTCTGAGAGCCCCCTCCAGAGCTGTGCTCCTGAGATCAGACCTTCCTAAATTTTTTACAATGAATTTATTTCCTTCCACTTTATCAGGAAACACTAACAATTGGCATGCTGGTGCTGAGGGGAAGGTAGCCATTGATTACCTGCATTCCACCCATGGGGACTGGGGGTGGGAGGGAGGGGAAGGTGTCTGCTCTTGGTATCTCCCCCCTTTCACTCCTGCCTCAGGCTTATTCCTAGCTAGGGGCAGCAGGAAGCCTTGGGAGGGTTGGCTCCAGGAGGGAAGGGTACTGATGAGAACAGGAAAAGGCCAGGGGCTTGATGCTATTTCCAGAGAGGCAGACTGGTTTAAGCATTTGTAGCTGTTGCCTGATGGGCTTAAGCACCCTTGTCCCTCTGGTGCATCTGGGGATGGACTGGTGAGTGAACGAGAAGGAAGTCTCTGCCATTGATGCAAGAGGAAAGTTATGGGGACCCGTTACCTAAAATATAAACAAGATCCCCTGCAGGGGCAGGGGCTTACCACTGAAGGGCTATGAAGTGCATGGTGCCTTTCCATCCCTAACACAGCCCCTTAAAGGCCATAGTTCTACGAGCACCTCCTCACTGTCAGTGAACTTCTGCCCCACTGGGACCAAAGAACCCCTGTTGTGGCTGTTCCAGCTAACAATTTGGGCTTTCTGGAAGCTTGCAGAATGTAGCTTGCCATTCACATGCACGAACGATATTCAGCTCAATGTGTCTGTCTCTCTGCAGGGCGAGGCTACTGGGGGATGCTCCCCATGAATTACAACAGCTGACCCTTCAGGAGGTACATGAGTAGACTGGGACAGCCAAATTAACCCTTGGAGCAATCTCACTAATGTCAAGGGGTTTACACCAGGGATAGGTTTGGCCCATCAATGCATGATGCCTATAAAAGTCCTTCTCTCTGGATAGTGGAAAGAGAACCCTATTAAAAGGGTATGTATCAAATGGGAGCTCATTTCCCACACACAGGTACAAGGAAAGTCACCAACAAGCTCCTTTGGTTTAAAGTATCAATTTGCCTTGACTGCTGTACCTGAGATAGTTGCCCAGTCAGGGGCTAAATTTAGTGCCCGATGTTTCAGAACCCCATGCCTGGCCAGCTGGTATGGAGAGGAGGGCTGGAAGGAAGCGCTGACAGGGTCACAGCCCATGTTCTCCTCGTTCACAACCACGATCAAGATACGTTCCTGGATGGTGCTATCCCTGAAAACATATCTCCCAGGATCTAGGAAAACATGGGCAAACCTGAAGGAGAGAAGGAGGAAATACAGGCAGATCCAACTGCCTTTAGTGTTAGGATCTAGTCACTAGCTTCTCCAGCCCGAAAGCTAAATGCCTTATCTGGAAGAACCATTCTTGGGAGGACTTAATGTCCATTCTCATTCAGAGCCTGATGCAAAGCTCACTGAAGTCAATGGGAGGTCTTTCCACGGAAAGACCCTGCATCAGACCCTCAGTGCTGGATCGGTGCATCAGACCCTCAGTCCTGGATTTCCACATGCTGCTCCTTGCCACAGACCTAACCTTTCACTGAAGGAACCACCCTCCTCCAGGAAGAAGGGAAACGTACAACATATCTCATCATAACAACATCACTCAGTCTTGAGTTCCCTTCCACATTAGCATTAGGAGTTACCTGGAGATGTTGAGGTGAGTCTCCCGAATAAGGTGGTCCAGTCTTCGGAAATGACCAAAATCCCAGCCAGGATTGCTGTTGTACAGATGCTCCTTCTGATAGATGGGGTAGTGGCTGGAAGTGCGGTCTGGGAACGAGCAGCACAGAGTTAGCAATTCTGAGCCACTTGGTTAGGATGGATGCAATCAAGCTGCACTGTACTGAGCAATGCGTGGGACCCAAGGGGTATTACACCATTTAATGATAATACTTTGCACGTCACAGCATTGAGGGTCTCACAATGCTTTACACACACACACTAGCGAAGCCTCACAATCGGGGGTGGGGGGGTACTTTTATCCACATTGTACAGACAGGAAAATTAAAACAATATTTAAGTGACATATCCATGGCCACAAAGTGAGCCAGTGGCAGAGTCTCGAATAGAACCCAGGAGTCCCCTGCAGTCAGGCGTGTCTAAAGGTAAAAAGGCAGGGGACATGTAGAAGAGATGCAGGCATGCAGTACCAGCCCATAGTTTGGTAAACAGTCATACACGTGGTGGGTCTAGGCACATAGGATGATTAGACAGACGAGTAGACAGCATATGAATCCACACGACAAGACTCACTGCGGGTATGGATGGTGAGCTGGAAAAGGATGGCATCTCCCACATTCAAACACACAATAGGGTTGGGGATGCAGGGTAAGGGATGGGTGTCCTTGTAGGAGACAGTCTGCTCACTGCGCCAAACTCTCTGCAATGGCAGATCCAACCAAAAGTCTCCTGGGGCAGGCAGTGGAGAAAAAGAGGGTAGGAGTGGGAGCACTGCCAGGAAAGCACATGCCAAAGAGGCAGCATAAGACAGCATCTACCCCTCGACAATGTAAAGCCACTTCCCTCCCATCTTTCTGCTTTTGGGTAGGGTGACCAGATGTCCCATTTTTATAGGGACAGTCCCATTTTTTGGGACTTTTTCTGATATAGGTGCCTATTACCCCTCACCCCCTGTCCTGTTTTTTCACAGTTGCTGTCTGGTCACCCTACTCTGGGGCCCAACTCTGCTCTCACTGAGACCAGTGTCAACCAGGACTGACCCAACTGAAATCAAACATCTGCCGGTGGGAGAGGAGCATCAGGCCCTTTCTCGTCAGTGCATTGATCTGTGAAGATACAGAATCCTCCACTAGTTTCTTGGAAGGCTGGAGTGATCTCATAACTATCAACTACTTAATTCCCAGGTGCCCGAGGGGTTTGAAAGTGCAGCCAATTCATGTCCCTCTGAACACAGGGCCACATTCAAGATTTCCTGTAAAATGAGGACTCCCTTGTGTAATGTGGAGCATTTGAAAACAAATTCCCTCTGCCCCATGTAGCTCATAGGAAACTTAAGTCTATTTGCTGACTCTTCATCTTTACCGAGTTTTCATGTCTCACCTGTGAGGAATGTATCCAGCATGTCTGTGCTGGAAATAATGAAACCAAATACCCCAGTGGAGCCAAACAGAACCAAATGCACCTGCTGGCTCTTCTGCACATGTTCATCTGGGCCCAGAATGTTTGTCACCTCCTGCAAAACAGAGCAGGCCCTCAGGAGGACAGAGAATTACCAGTGATACTATTAATATTGGAATCAGGCTACCTCCCATGTCCCAGGGCCACCTCTACCTTTAATTAATCTGCCTATGATTGTCTTAGTGATTCTTCCCCCCAACATTCAGTCACTACCATTCAACAAGGATTCATCATCCTCTCACCTACGCCGTATTCCATGTCCTCTGAACAATATGGAGCCACTTCCTCCTTTCTGTGCACAGTCTGGCTCCTCCACATTACACCAACACCCTGCCTTCAAACCCAGCACAATCCCCTTACCTGGCTGCAATCTATTAGCTCTCTCCAGCCTCACATCACCTGGGGAGCAGGGCCCAGCCTGTCTCTACTCACTCTGTCCTCTCCTTCTTCAACACTCAGGAGGAGCTCTGAATGGATGCCAAGGCTCAGAGAGATCTGTGGGGTGTTCAGCAAGCACTCTCGGTCGCACAGCTCTTCGGCAGAGATGTACTGCTCACAACGACACCTTGCCAAGGAGAGAAAGTGTCTTGGTTACTTACAGTCACTGGGAAAGCAGCTGCAAGATGTAGATGGTCAGACCAGCTCCATTATTCTATAATCTGTACAGTCAAGTGGTCAGTTCTGTAAAAATGGAAAACAGGGATTGCCAGGGTTGATCACATGCAAGGTCCATCTACTGCAGTATCTCCGACAGTGGCTAGTACCAGGTGCTTCATAGGAACCCCGCAGCAGGCAGACACGGGATAAGCTGCCCTCTGACCTGTGTCTCATCCTGGTCTCTCATAGACATTAGTTTAAGTCCTGAAGCATAAGGTTTGTATCCCTTCCAGACTTTTTGCTGAGAGCAACGCACATAGTGATTCAGTGCTCTCCCGCTACGTTTCTATGCAATCTACTTTTTTACTCTCTGGAGGAGTTTTTGAGGTACAGTAGTTCACCCACACAGAAAAGGATAATGTCCTACAGATAATGACTGACTTCTATATTCAAGAGCCTCTACCTGAAACCATGAAAGAGATTTAGACCAAAAATGAAGCATCTCTATTAAAAGGATGAATGAGGAGTGAACTCTGAATTCATCATCAGTTTTGGTCTTAATTTTCAAAAGTGACCAAAGATTTTCAGAGCTCAACTTAAGACAGCTCAAAGTGCTGCTCACTCGCCCCCTGAAGATCAGGGCCCTTTCAGAGGTCTCTAGTTGGGCACCCATATTATTAGTTACTTTTGAAAATGTGAATGCCTTGTATTTATGGTTCTTCATTTAGCAGAGTGAAGTCAGTGTTAGTGAATGGAGCTGGAGACCCAAGGCCAATATTTAGCCACAGAAAAAGTCCTGCAAAGGGAAAGTTTTTATACCCATTCAGCCCTGCCATGGAGAGACACTGCCCCCATCTCCCCAGCCCCCTCTAGGGTGGGACTGATTGGAGTTCACTCTCCATGATCCATTCAACAATTGGGCCCACTACTGAACTTTCCTACAAAGAGGCCAGCTGTGATGTGGGCTCTTCTACAGTTAGGAAATGGGCTGAGGACATCACCTTGTTTCACACAGCCCACACAAGAGTCACACCACTTTCATCCACAACTAATCTGGGACAGATTCAAACTATGAACTGAGTGTGAAGTAACTGGCTACATAAGCCATCACCGATATTCTGAGCTAGCCAGAGTTTTCATAATAGGAAGGTGGAGTGAGACTTACATGCCCAACTCTGCACTGAGTTCTCCGCCCAGCATACCACAGAAGGGAGAGCAGTCATATAGTTCGGGGGAAATGCATTTGCGTGTGGATGCCAGACGGACTTCCCCAGGAGCACAGCGCTCCTCCACCTGCAACAACAACATGAGCACACACATGTGAGATAGGGTCAAGCAGTTACACCATGGCCATGGCACCATTTGAACTGTCTCCACCCCATCCAACAGCCAAACTCCAGCATTGGAAGGGTAACCTCTTACCCAGTTAACACTGTTACAAAAAACACTGGTCAGAACACAGGGAGGAAGAATAAGAATGATTTCACTTCCATTACAGTTCTCCGACCAGCTGTAATTGAAAGGTGCCATAATGACAACACCAGAGACATAAGTCCCACAGATCTGGCCTCTGTTACCATAATACATAAGCACCTCACAACACCCTGGGAAGGGAGAGAAGTATTATCCCCATTTCACAGAGTGGAAAGTGAGGCACAGAGAGACTTGTCCAGGGTCACAGAGGGATTTTGTGGCAGAGCAGGGAATTGATCCCAGACTGTTGAGTCCCAAGTTTGTGTTCTAACCACTGCACCATCCTCCCATGTGTTACATTACCCATCCCCTGAGCCATTCAGTTTCAGTGGGCACAAGGGCTGTGCTGCAGCAATCTTACCTGAGGCTGGCAGTCTTGGTCACTGTTGGTGTCAGAATTTTTCTTGCCTCTCTCATCATAGTAAACGTACCCTGCTTGGCAGACACAAGAGCCATCTGACTCCTGAAAAGCCCGGTTCAGCCCATGGCAGCTACAGCTGCTAGCCCCTTTGGAGACAGCAGCAACAGTGTCATGGAATTAGGTTTCAAATCAATGGAAGGGAGCATCTTTTGTGGAACAAACTGTGCCCACAAAAAGGGAACTCTTCCCATGTCATCTGTTCCCCATGGCTTCATGCCATATCTGTGATGTTATTGACATGCCCAAGTGCGCAGTCACTTTATCCTTGGAAGGCTGATACAGCTATGTGGCGGGGGGTGGAGGGACAGCTTGATTCAGCTGCCATATGCAGTCTCAACTCCATCATCAGAAAAGTTCTTGTGGCAGGATCGTTTGCACTGAGCGGCAGGAGGGGCCCAGTTGGGGGTTTTCAGAAGTGACAGATAGACAAGCCCTCTTTTAACTTGTCGATTGAACCATCTGGGTCAGGATGGGGCCAGCTGAGGGCTCTGTGGATCGCCGGTCCCACCCCACTAGGGGTGACTTGAAATGCTAGAGTTATGCCGCACGGCAGACCCCAGACTGTTATCTATTCTTCCCTCCCACTTGTACCCCATGGGACTAAATCCCCTCAGCTTCCACAGTTTGTGTGGGGCAGGAGGCAGGTTTGAAGGCCGTGCACTCAGTCTCAGCTGGAGGACAGACCAGGGGGCCATTGGGGATGGGAGGCAAACACAAAGCATCACAGAGGCCCCAGTTGGCTGTCGTGTTCCTGGTTGAGGAAGTCATTCATAATAAGCACAGAGGCCAACGGTTTGGTGTTTTACCACCACTCTCTAAGCAAGCAAGCCAGCTTCCCCTACACAGGGCGTGACTCACCTGGCTGTGAGAAGGAAGAGCTCCCGCAGGGGAAACACCCTGTCTGAGCATAGAGGTGGTTGAAGGAGCCGGCAGGACAGGCATGGCATTCCTTGGGCTGCTTTGCCAAGCTGCTGTTCCCGTGGGTCCCTGGGGGGCAGGGCATGGGTGCAGGTGCCCGGAGAGGGCAGTAATACCCCCTGGGGCAGGGCTGCTGGAGATAACTTGCACTGCCTGGGGAAAGCAACGGGGGCATTTCAGACACAGAGACTGCTGTCCCCTCCACTGGGGAAACACTGAACAGAATGGGAAGGACCCAGCCCAATGCAATGCTGGAGACAGTCAAGGGGATGAAATTATTCAACTCAGATGGAGCCAGTGGCACCCAGTGTGGTGTATGCGTGAGGCTCTCCATGCCCTGCACAAGTAACTAATGTGCCCAGCTTGCTTAACAAAGGATCCCAGTGGAAACCTGCCATCAGCTCTTTGAAAGATGAGTCTTCCTCTCCTCTGAAAGCCAACAGTGTCACTTGGCAAGTCCTGAGTGCCCTCTAACACCCAGATTCACAGCGGGATCCCTTGTAATATACCAGGCCTCCCACAACCCAGACAGACAGCCATGTCCCCTATATCACCCCAGCTTTCTATTCCATGGAATCCCTGCTCAGTTACCTTGTGGGCAACTGAAGCCTGATGGGCAGGGCTCGCAGGATGGGCTGATGAGGGAGTCACTACGGTAGGTGCCCGGATCGCAAATCCTGCAGCATTTCTCAAAGGAGTCCCTTGGGCCAGTCACATTCAGGGCTGTGTACCCTCCCTTGCAGAGCAGTGGATGGGCACTGCCTGGGGGGCAGTAATAGGGGAACACACACCTAAAGGGAGAGACAAAGGCAGGAAGCAAGGTGAATGGGAAAAGCACTTGGCTGCAACTCCTGGTGGCCAGGCTGGAAGGGAACAAGTCTTCACAGCATCCTAGGATACAGGCAATGAAGAGGAGGAGAGGGAGGAGATAATCCCCTGGGAAGGCAGCAGTTAAATGCCTACCTGGGAGAAGATAATTGCTACATTTTAAGAAAAGTGATAGAATGGAACCTGCTTCAAATGGAGTGAAGTGTCTTTATATAATCAGTGAAAGTCCATTCAAATGCAGTGAAGCTTCTCTCACTACACTATAAACAGAGTTTCACCATAACACAGTTCCCTGAAAGCAGCTGCCAATGCACCTTCAGCTGTCTAAACCCTAGAACTACATGGAGAGTGACGCTTTGCACAGATATATTCAGAATGACCTTCTGCACTAGCAATACTGGACTGGATGTGAAAATAACACATCATACTAAATTTGCAAAAGCACCATTTAAATTGGCACCCTTGGAAATGCTCAGACATTTCTAAGCACACAGTTCTGGATTACAGAGTCATGGCTCATACGCAAACTCTGTTTTGCATGTGTATGCTGATACCATGTAGACATGCAAATCTACATTTTACAGCTTCCCAGAATGAATTTCCAAAACAATGAAAATAAAAATTCAGAGGTTAGCTCAGTGCAAATTTAAAAGGGGTCTCATCAGGCCAAATTCTTTCTCCCTGCCCCATTCCCCTCCCCAACCTCAGGCTGACTGCTACAAATTGAGGATCACCCTAACTGGCCCCAATAGTTTACGTCCTACTATTTCAAAATCTGCGATTGTGACGGAAAATATTTTTGAAACGTTTGCAAAATGCATGAAGGTTGTGACTAAAACCTTCTGATTTTACAGCAGGTGGATTTCAGAGTATACAGAGCTGCTAGGACCCTTCACCAAGAATGCTCCATACTCACAGCTGCTCAGCGGTGTTGTACTTGGATGATCCTTCCGGACAATAATATCCACCTGGACACATGGAAGGGACCCCTGTGTGGAGCCCACAATAGGAGCCACCCCTGCATATGGTTGGATTCACTGAACCTGACGGGGACATAAGAACTGGTGATAATGTGACGTTCCCAGGGAGCAGCAGAAGGAGATGGGGGAGGGGGGATATTTAAACCCTGTGATCATTCAGTGGGCAAGACACGTGGTTAGGATGATGGAGGACAGATCAGCTCAGTGTTTCACGGACGGACATCCTTATGGTGCCCAACCTCATGGCCAGCCAAGGAACCGATGGAGGGATAACACTGAACAAGACGTAAGAGCTCCTAACGTGAATTACCATCAATGGAAAAAATATGCCATTGACAAGAGGTGGGGGGAAATTCTGTGGTCTATAGCGCCAGGGAGGAAAGTACCATCCCTATATGCCCCACCTTGTTCACTGACGGACACAGACCCATTTGCTGGAAATCCATCAACTTGCCTATTGACTTAAACTTTAACACAGAAAGGGACTGGCTCATGTTTGGCTGCTGCAAGGCACCTGCTCTTCTCCAGTCCCAGCTCATTCTACTTGGGTGTCACAATCGCAGCAAAACTCTGGATGGGATTCCGGGGGTGATAACCAGGAAGGGCCTTGGGATGCTCAGCCTGCCCACAATGTCACCTCAGGGTGAGCGGCACCCATGAAGCTCACTGCAGGGAAGCGATCACAGGGTCATCACTGCCTGCTACAATCAGGAGCCATTGTGCTCAGTGTTGTGCTTGGCAAAAAAGGACAAAAAACAAGAAGCCTGGGCATGTCACCTGGTGGGCACTCGTAGCCAGGTTGGCAAAGAGCTCCTTGGACATTGGGCAGCCCCGTCTCTGCTGGGTCCGGGCAATAGCAGCCAGGAGAGCAGGGGTCACACTCTTCCAAAGATGCTGCACCAGGCTGGGTCCTGAAGGTACCAGGTGGGCATAAAAACCTGTCCCCTTTACCTGGGCACCAATATCCGGGGGGGCAGGGGTAGTCCTCAAAACTGGTAAGGCCTGGCGAAGAGACAATGAAAAGAAGGGCTGTGAAGGGAAAGGGTGGCAAGCTGCCCAGGTTCTACCGCCTCCGTGAACATGAGTGGCTCATACAGCAGACCCTGGAATTTCCACCCCCTCCTGTCTCAGGGATTGATCCCACTGCAATGGGAGATTTGCATCTGACTTCAACAGCAGCAATATTTGGCCCTTGGCTGGCAGCTCACCTGGTGTTTGGCAGAGATAACCTGGGGGGCAAGGCTGGCAATCTGCCAGGCTCTGTGCCCCTGGGGCTGGGCGGTAAGTGTGCTCGGGGCATTGCTGAGGTGCCAAGAGAGTGACGGGGTCGGTGAGATTCACGCCGCCACAGTAGTGTCCAGGGGGGCATGGGTAGCTCACTGGATCCCCTGAACAAACAGAAAACAGGAGCATCAGCAGAGGTACTCTCACTCTCAAGCCAGAACCTTCTTCCCAAGCCTCCTGCTGGGCATCTCTCATTGGATCCTATTCAAACACCTACATGGACAGAATCCAGCCACAGACAGCACCCCTCTCTGGAAGACTAGAACTACAGAGCACAGGGGAACTGGAGATTGAATTTGGTTTGGGGCCCTTCTCTAGACCAATGACTCTCAACCTGTCCAGATGACTGTACCCCTTTCTGGAGTCTGGTTTGTCTTGTGTACCCCTAAGTTATCCCTCACTTATATACTGCTTGCTTACAAAATCAGACATAAAAATACAAAAGTGTCACAGCACATTATGACTGAAAAAAATAGCTTACTTTCTCATTTTTACCATATTATTATAAAATAAATCCCTTGGAATATAAATATTGTACTTACATTTCAGTGTATAGTAATATAGAGCAGTATAAACAAGTCATTGTCTCTATGAAATTTTAGTTTGTACTGACTTTGCTAGTGCTTTTTATGTAGCCTGTTGTAAAACTAGGCCAATATCTCGATGAGTTGATGTACCCCCTGGAAGACCTCTGAGTACCCCCAGGGGTATGTGTGCCCCTGGTTGAGAACCACTGCCTAGATTATAAAGCCCTGCTTACATTTACAGAGCTTCAAAAATAATACAAATTAATAGTAATAATAAAAGTATAAGGTGCATAAAGTATGTATTTATTCTTTCCTCTGCAGTATCCAGCACTGGTCACTCACTGATGAAGACAGGGTACCTTACTGGATGGACCATGGATTTGTCCAAGCTTCCTGTGTTTCATTTTCCAGACCCCTACATCAGTACCCACTTGACTGGCTCACTGATCTCACACACACACTTTCCGCTGTGACACATAATCAGTTATTCCCACTGTCTCCCGAATCCCAACCTGCTTTACACCAGTGGCCAGGTGGACAGGGCAGGCAGTCCTCTCTCCGCCTCGCCCCTGGGACAGCTCCAATGGTGTTGGGGGGGCATGGTGTGGGCACCTCGGAGCCTTCCTTGCAGTAGAAACCTAAGGGAGAAACAAAAAAATGTTCTTTCTGATGGGCAAGGTGACTCAGTGGCTATCTCCCTCTGACACTGCATTAGCAGCTGCAGGGCTTTGGGTGAGCTGTTCGCACAAAGAGCCACAACAGTCACATTCAGAGCTTGCCAGGCCAACAATCCAGCACTGTGAATTTGCACCAGCAGACACTGGCATCATTATGTTCCATCAACCACCTCCTGACATTAGCATCACCTGACAAGTCAGAGGAGGGAACTGACAGTGGGCAGAGTCCAGAGCCCCAGGAGTCCCGCTCCAACATAAAGCTAAGGCCAGAGGGCTGGTTATCTCTCCTGGCAGCTGAGTCAGAAGAGCCCACACTCTGGGACCCGATCTCCAGCCCAGGGTGGATGGTTTGGGGGTGATAAAGCCAAAACTAACCATGCAAAACACTAATTCAATGTCCCCTTTTGACACCAAGGCATTCCAAGACATAACCAAAGAGCAAAGCATGATGAATTATCACGTAGGAGATCAGAGCTTAGGACTCAAGGCTCTTGTTCTGAATTCAGCACAGAACAGGGACCAGCATGCAGACAGCTTGCTCAGCCCCTTAGGGCAGCACTTATTAGGACAAGAGGCATTGGAGCTGGACTGGGGCTGAGACACAGAGTTCAGATGGGCTCTGGGTTTGGGCACCAGGATTGCTTGGATCTGGGATTTTTGGTCAGGTATGTCTTTGTTCAGAAATCAGGGAAATGGAAGGAGCTGATGAGGAGGCACTAATGAATGCAGCACTTTCAATACAGATAAAGATCCCCTTTACTCATCCTAAACTGATGGCACCTTCAAAGCAGGGGTCAGAACAGGTCATGCAGAGATATCAGACACTTGCTCATTCAGAGTCCCTGGCTGGTTAAAACCAGATATCTACTGTACACTTTACATACCACTGTGATTCTCACTCACCTGCTGGGCAGAGACCCGCACGCACTTGCCCCCAGCGGCATTCAGTCAGGGAGCTCCAGGAAAAGTCATGGCCCTGGGGAGTAGACTCAGAACTCCCGGCCTGGCAGAAGTACCCAGCAGCACACTTCCCCTCCAGCCGCCCGCCCCTGGTGTAGAAGAGAGCAGTGGGAATTTACATGGGAAGCTGGTGGAGATGTGCTGAAGGCAAACACTAGCTCATATGTTGGACCCTGCCTGCAACGTACCCATTGCTGGCAAACTGAGGACTTTATAGCCATAAAAGGCGCAGGTGGACTGTGGTACTGGGCCCCCATTTGATAAAGGCAGAAATTAGAGGGGAGGTGGGCTCCTGAGCTGGAATGCTGGCTCAGACACAGGCCCTTTCCGTGACCTTAGACAAGTCACTTCAGGTATAATTGACAAGGACATTCAGTGAGACCCAGGCTCCCAAGTGATAGTCACTTTTCAAAATGGGTCTTAGGCTTCTAAGTTGCTCTGATGCCTTTAAAAACGTTACCTGTCACCTCTCTCTGCCCCAGTCGACCATCCCCTCTATACGATGGGGTGACGATGTTTACTATCCTTGAGAAATGGGCCTGAACTCAAACATGGCAGCCCAAAACTGCCAATGGTTTGCAAAGTTCACTTCTGCCTACAAAATTTGTGCCTGGGGCCCATCGCGATAGACCCCCCCACCATGAGGCTATTGAGCACTAAATAGCTAACGTTCATATAAAGAGTCAGTGAAGTGCTAAGCAGAATCATTTTCACTTGCTTTCTGGGAGCAGAAATAATCTGCAGAAACTACTTTAAGCACTTTTCCATACTCCAAGACTGAATGAAACCAGCAGACTGTCCCAGCTAAGTCCTCAGTTTGCTTGAGGAAAGGCCAAAGGGTGTTCCTGAATTTTCTAGTAATGTCTATCACGACATGATAAATGTCTATAAAATAACAAATAGTCTACAGAAGGGAGACCTGGCGCTTATGGTCTCCCTCTCTTGTAGCACAAGAACAAGGAGAGAGTCTCAGGAAACTGGAGACAGTATCCAAAGCAGGACAGTGCAGAGGCAAAGGTGGAGGGCTCCCTCCACACAGCTCTCAGTGGCACAATCTGGGCTGGAATAAAGGTTTCAGTATGTATACTGGGGTCACTTCACTAACTACTGAAGTACAGCCACCTCTGGGGTGGAACAAAGTAGCTGCTCAACCATGCACAACAATGCAGCCCAACTATTTAGGGCAGGGAGGAAGAATAGCAGCTTCAACTGAAACTACAGAGGCAACAGCCAGAATAAGGACCTGCAGTAGTGACCGGGTGAACAGGACAGACATTCTCTCTCCTCCCTGAGGCCAGTCATGTCTGGAGGGGTGAATGTGCCATCAGGACACGGAGCAGGAACCAGTGTACCTAACACAGAAACATGAGAGTAAATATAAAGCCAGAGAGGGCCTTGAAATGCTTTACAGTACTTCTGTCATGCAGGAAGCCCATTATTTGCAGTAACTATACTCTTTTGAATTGTCCCACGTCTCAGGGTGACAAAACCAGCCACATCACCAGCATGCTGTCACTCACAGGGCATAATTATTCACATGCTCTGTGCTGGCATGGAATTACTCCAGGTTATCAGGGTCTGATCAGTGCAGAGGGCATTGCAGAGCCCTTAAGAGCAAATCTCTGCACCCTGAACTCAAGGCATCACCAAATGAAGAAGGGCTCTGCTTGGTGCCTACCTGTCTGTTCACGCCCCAGGGCAGTTCCCCCATACCTGCTCTCGGCTTGTCGTCTCACACATACTTACACCACTTCTTCTCTCCCCTGTTCCCCGTCCCACCCCAGGTTGGAGGAAGGTATGCACAAGGGGCCTGATTCTTGCCTGCCTGCCACCTGGTCATTCACACTAGTGCGGAGGGAGTGCATTGTGATTGGATAATGTTTTACATCCAGATCACACAGATGTAAATGATTCCACCCGGTACAAGGCAAAAGTAAGTATGGCCCAAGGTTTACTCCACTTCTGCTCCCCCATTCCCCAGCCTTTAGAAGAATCCCTCCTTGTTTGGAGTGAGACGCACTGACATAGGGCCAAAGGGAAGACATATACCCAGCAGAGAAGGGACAAGGAACGGAAGGGGAAGTAGCAGTCGCAGTGTGACGGGGAAGGGCATATACTGGGCACTTGCTATACAGCCAGGCCAGGAGAGCAGTATGAGCTAGTGTGTACTGCTGTGTGTGTGAAGGACTATCCCATACATACCTTCAGGACAGTAGGTGTGTGGAGGGCAGGGTTGGGGGTCTCCTGCAACTGCCTCTTGGCAGTAGAAGCCTGGTTGGCAAGGAATGCAGGACTCAGAACCCCTGTTTGGCTGGTATTCCCCAGTGGGGCATGGGGCTGGGTGGACAGACCCAGAGGAACAGAAGTGACCCTAGGAATCAGAAACAGAAGGAAGAGAAATGCACAGAGATCCAAACAAATTCAGGGTCTGTTTGTAGGGCCAACTACTGGAGCTGCTGAAGCCTGTGGCAAAACTCCTCTTGACTTAACTCCTTTTGACTTAACTTGACTTAACAGAGGCCCGTGGCCTCTGCAGCTTCTCTTCACATGAAAGCTGGAAACTCTTTATCTTAATGTTAACTGGCACTGTTGGCTGTCTCCAGCGGGCAATCCTGGCAGAGGTGCCAAAGACTGAATGGGTATGGAGACTCAACCCCCAGTCAGAGGACAGTACCTTGGGGCAGAGGAATGCGGTGGGGCTGAAGGAGCTGAAGTTCGCTGGGCAGTAGAAACCCGCAGCACAGGGTCCTGTAGGTGAGCTCAGACCGATGCTAGCACAGAAGAATCCAGGATAGCATGGCACACAGCTGTCCTGGGAGGAGCCACCTGGGTTGAGGGGTGGGGAGAGCTAGAGTTACAGGGGAATGCAGATGGGGAGGAAGAGCCCATCTGAATCACAGTAACATCAGTGTTGTATTTGCTATGATAATTGTATTGCAATCAGCTGGCCAGGATGCACACCACTGCCCCCAACTGGCTGGAAACAGAACTGCCCTACTGTGTGTCATAGGCACTACACTGCTGACCACTAAGGGAGAATGTCCCTTAATTCAAGTGACAGGGGCCTGTGCTTTTGTAGCTGACAGGTCTGAGTTGCATCTCTGGTGTTGTCCTGGATTTTCTTAGCGGCCCTGGTGTCCAGCATTGTGACCAGCATAATGTTCCCAGGTAGCTACATATTTGTTACCGTATGCTGTGCAAGTCAAAATTAGGCCCCACTGCTCTGTGGATCCCAGGAGAAATCCATGAGGGGAGCCGCACTCACCTGTGGCATTATTCAGGGTGCCCACTGGGCAGGCGACTGGGAACTGAGTGCCCTCCGGACAGTAGTGTCCAGGTGGACAGGGCCCATTGAGTGGGAGCCTGGGTGTCCTGTGTGGGATGGCATCGGCAGCTCCTCCTGAGCAGTAATATCCAGCTGAACACAGACCTGCCATTGGGAAAAAGAGGCTGCTCAGGGTTCAGCCCATGGCACTTAGTTCCAGCGAGGTCAGGGGAAGAACTACCCCAGCTCCAGAACTAGGAAGCTGGGCCAGGACAAAAGCAGCTTTCTACTGTCTCCTCTACAGATAGCATCCACAAGGGGCTCCCCTATGTCCCCACCTCCATCTTCTCACTTCCTGGACCCTTCTATTCTCGCCTGACCTCCCCTCCCCCAGTCTCTACATCCTCCCCTGCAGAGATTCACAAAGACGCCCCCAGGCCTTTCTTTCATCTCCTGGTTCCCCTTGTGACAATGTCCTCTGGAATGAGCTCAGTTTTTCCTCTCTTCCTTCATAACTCAAACCTTTGCATCTTGGCATCATCTTAATTGCTCTGTGCTAGAGAGAGAGACAGAGATGAGCTGAGGAGACAGCAGAGAAGGAGAGAGCACTGGGGGGGGCTAGACAGAAAAGAGAGATGGGTAGAAAAGAGTAGTAAAAGAGAGAGAGAGCAGGAAGAAAGGAGAGAGAGAAGGGGGACAAGAAAAGGAATTGGGAGGGGGAAGCTAAAGGACTCGAGATGACAGATTCAAATCCCTTTACACAAAAACTTGATTAACAGAATGACAGAGCGAGGAAGTGAATGAGAGTAAGAGAGAGGGAGGGGTTTGGAGGGTTCCTTTAACTCTCTTCCTCTGATCTTTTAGGAATCTCCACCACCTCCTGGCCTCATCCAGCTCAGAAATCCCCACTCCCTGCCCTCCCCACATGAAGCAGGTGTAAGCCTCAAGGACCTCCAGTGCCTGGTGGCCCTGGGTCTACCAGGACAACTTACCATCTGGTTCCCAGTTAGCATCCCCTCTGCAGTACCTCCCCACTGGACACAATTTGCATGCAGCGGGGGACAGTGCCCCATTCAGATTGTTCATGGTACCTTCAGGGCATGGCAGGGGCATTGCAGCCTGAGCTGGACAATAATAACCTGTAAATACAAAGAGGTGAATTAGGCACTCCTCATCAGACAAAGCACCTGCCTTGGAAACCTGGCTCCACTGACAGTTAATGGCAAAACTCCCATTATCTTCAAAGCAGCCAGGATTCCACCCCATGAGCCCTGGGCTCATTCACAATATTTACTGCCCTTAAAAGAAAGGAAGGCACTGCTGGGTCTGGTGCACGGGGTGGGTGAGCAGCAAAGGGGAGCTGTGTGCATTTCTGTGGGCTCCCCCTCACACACTGCACCTTCCCCTCTTGTTCTGCTGTACAGCTGTCTGCCTTACCTCTGGGGCAGCTGACTGGCTCCACAGTGGCAGCATGTCTGCAGGCCATACCAGCCGGACAAGGGAGGCAGGTGCTTGCTCCAGGCATAGGGCTGAAAGTGCCTGGCTCACAGGGTATCTCCAGTCTGGTGCCAGTGGGACAGTAGAAGCCACTGGGGCATTTGTAACCACGAATCCCATCGGAAGGGCAGGGAGCAGAGTTTCCTTCATGGCAAACATACCTGTGAGTGGGAAGAGAGAATTCAAAGAGCTGAAACATGGGCCTCCAAGCACTGCTCTGATGGAGGAAAGGGAGTGGGGGGCTAGGCACATTTGGGACTTTTTCTTTTCAGTGAAAATGACTGGTAAAGCATCTATTTGTTTCTGATACTGCAACTGAAGGTATGGCTACACTTGGAGCTGGAGGTATAAATTCCAGCTTGAGCAGACATACCTGCGCTAGCTCTGATCCAGCTAATGTGCTAAAAATATACCTCCAGCACTCAGTGTAGATGTACCGTAGTGCCCACAACATGCCCCCAGTTTTTATTTAAATGAACAGGGCTAAACTGCTCAGCTTCCCTTGTCTTCAGTCAGAGTAAGGGTGCAGCCACTGAGCATCAGGCCATGTTCATTTGGGTCCCTACCTTTGTTTATGTATTACTGAGTCACATTTCTGCTCCACTGCTCCACAGAACACCAATTCCAAGCTTGGGCACCCCTAACAACTTCTTTAAGCTACATCTCATAACAGCAAACAGACTACAGTAATTACCTATGGATATCACTGCACCAGTGGTGACATAAATACAACAAGCATTTAATAAGCTCGACCAATTAAATCCTCATTCCCCCACAACCTCTCCCATCTCCCTATGGGCTAAGGCGACCACATGGACCCTGCAGCATGCCCTAAAGGATAACGACCTCAATCCAAAAGGGGACTGACTTCCCAATCTCCCCGAGAGAGGCTGTCCTGCCAGAAGCCGTCTCTCTGATACCAAATGGGGTCCAGCTTCCCCCCATGTGGGTGCTTGTCACCTGATCACGTCACCTCTTAACTTTCTCTTCAATAAACTAAATACATGGAGCATTTTCAGGCCCTCACTGTAAGGGAGGTTTGTGAGATGGATGGACAATGGCCTAAGGGCATTTTTCCATCTGCAAAGTCTTGGATTGTAATGTTGCCTTCTTATTGATTATTGCCCCCCCTTGTGGGAGAAGAGTTTAATGCAGGAGGAGAAAGGAAAACAAAAACAAAATGTTCTGTGTTGACAAATGGTACATTCCTTTTGTGATGCCCAAGGAAAGATCTCTGGGCTAAATCATGAGTTTGTAGCAAACTAAACATCTCTGTATTGAATTTAGTGCTGGTGGAAGGCATAAGATTGACAGCCATGGAGACTGAAGGCTTCTGTACCATCTACAGAACAGACAGACCAAGTGCAGGCTTCATAACTGACCTGAAAGGACTAGCACCCCTCCAGGAGTGAGAAAAGTATGGTCTCTGGGGTTCTGTTAATCCTTGACATCTGTTTGGAGATTGTCAACAAGAGGGCCAGTTGTGTCACTGGGCCGGACTTTCTGTGGCCCTGCATCTTGTGCAGTCATTTACACCAGTGCAAAGAAGGCTACCAAATGAACCAGGTGTTGTGTGGTTGCAAGTTACACCCAGCTGGTATAAACGATTACACACAAGGTGCAGGACAACAGAGATTCAGACCCAATCTGTGGTTTGAACTCTTGTGGTTTGAACTCCTGTCCCAGCAGAACCGGAATGTTATCACAAATGCGTTTTGCATAGGTCTGTGAATAGCCACCTGATGGCAACGATATTTGATGAGCATCAATTTGGGCTGGATTCTAACTGGTGACCTAGGAGGCAAAAGCTCTATATCCTGTTACCAATCTACGGGGTCCTCTCAGTCCTGTGCCCCTATTTGTCAATGATGACATGTGACTGGGTTCCCCAATGTTACTTCCAAAGGAGGCCTGCAGGTCTTGGTTTGTCAATATGAGAAGGAGAATGACCACATTGCCACACCCCGCATGACACGGCGCTGTCTGGGACAGATCAGACAATCCCGCCTGGCCGCAGTACTGTCCCGCTGGGCAGGGCTGGCATTGCTTCTCTGCTCCCAGGCCCAGGGAGGGGGAGTAGGATCCAGGAGGGCAGGGCATAGGATGGCTTGTGCCGCTGGGGCAGAAATGCCCAGGGGGGCAGATGTCATTTCCAGGCAGAGGTAGGCCAGCAGATTCCACCTGTGAAACAAAAAATAGAGAAAAAGAGAGGAAGAGAAAATTAACACATAGGAAACATGGCTTTCCCAGGTCGTGCTGCAGAAAGACTGGAAAGCATGGATGTGAGCTGAGTGTTGCAGGTCTGCTCCCTCTGGAGCTCTCAATGCAGGACTGGACTGGCTTAAAAGCGGCCCCTGGCATGTTGGTTGGTCCAATGTTGGCCAACATTTGTGCCATGACTTAGCCAGTGGGTTTCTAGGCAGCACAGCACCCAGGTGAGAGGTGCAGGAATAAAGACATGGCAGGGACTGATTCCAAGGCATCATCACATCTCAGCAGCAAGGCCACCGCCTACTCTTCTCAGCATTTATCAGGAGTGGAGCTGCCTCCCAATACCAAGGAGCTCACCCGCAGCATGTGAAACATCACAGTACTCTGCTGGAACGATCCCAAACACTGCAGCTTCCATTGGCATTACTGGAGTGTTGGGGAGTGATTACTCTAGAACATTATAGTGTTATCATTAGTAATAGGATAGAAGCCCTTACTCCCTAGTTCAAACCCAAGATCACTGCATTGGGGATGCCATCGTGGGCAGCCAAGCCATAGCCTGGCATTCATTCACCTTGTGTCTGATGGGGGCTGGGTGGATGGCTCCCCAGGTGCAGTAATAGCCCGAGTGGCAGAGCCCCGATGGCTGGGACAGTGCTGTAGATGAGCAATACATGCCTGAAATGAGCAGAAAAGAAATCCAAAGTGAGGGGGGGTCTCCAGAGCTCCTCTATGTTGTATCTGCTGAGAAAGTCAGCAGGGAGTAACTGAAGGCAGAACTTGACCTTTCATCTTTCCCCAGAGTCTTCCCTCAGATGCTCTACAGATTACTTGTGCCAGACCTTTACTTACTTGGTGGGCAGGGCTCACAGTCAGATTCACCAGTGGCACCAGTCTTGGGTCCAAATGTACCCCTGGGACATGGATGTTCTGTACCAAAGCTGGTGCCGGGTGGACAGAAGTACCCTTCAGGGCACAGCCTGGGTGTCTGTATCCCAGAACCTAGAACACAAAGAATGGCAACTTGCTCTGGAGATTTCATGATTGCTTTTCTTGTGACTAGGGAGTTTTTATGTGTTGACCCTAAACTCCTACCAGAACATTAAGCCTTTCTTGACCCACTGCTGGCTCAGCTAAATGCAGGATGTCTCAGCTCTAGTCCTAAATTCACTGAGCATTATGTAGAGGATGCCACCTTCCTCCCAAGACTGGGCAGAGTCAGGGCAATGCGTGAAATGCTCATTGTAAGTAAATCTTGCTGAGTGCTTTGGATTCTGTGAATCGAAGGTGCTACAGGAATGTCCATCATCATTATTACGTTGCTATATTTGACTGGCTGCAAAGCTTCATGGCTTGAGGATGGCAGAAATGTCTAGCGTTGTCCCACCCCTACTGGCCTGCTGCTTGACACTCTGACAGGTGTATTTCTCCTTCACCCAGTGGCGGAACTGACCTGCCACCCTTCCCCTCTATACCAATGCATTTTGTGCCCACCTGGCAGAGGCCTACTGAAGTGAATAAGGACACTCTGAAGTCAATGGGAATTGCACCTGTGTGTCTCGGAGAACTTGCCCCATTGTGCTTAACCGGAAGACACTGTTCTCAGCCTTCCCTCAGCAACAGACTTAAAAAAACACAGCCCTCCCCAGAACCCCCTCACTTTTGCTGGATGGTTCACAGAAGAATCCTGCTGGGCAGATGTCACATGATTCTTTCCCTTCCTGTGTCTGGTGGGTCCCCTTCTCACAGGCCATGGGAATGGAAGATCCTGCAGGGCAGGAGAAGCCCCGTGGGCAGCGATAGGAGAGAGGAGTGGCTGAGGTCTGGCCTGGTGGGCAGTAGTAACCAGCAGAGCACAGTCCCTCTGCAGCAGTTTTTCCTAGCCCTGCAGTTATGGAGGAAGAAGAGCCTTTTGGTTCCCATCCTATCGCTCTGGTGCCTGACCTCAACACATGCCCAGTTCAAATCAGGCAACAAATGTTCTCCACAGTGAAAATCCAGCCTCAGAAAGTCAGACGCTTATTACTGCATCACCCAGGCAAGCCAGTTACTGCACCAATCAAAGCAGAGCTTTGCTATGCTGTAGCTGTCCTGGGGAAGCATGGGGTTCTGGTTACAGCTTTGAGTTGGGATCAAGGAAGTCTGAGTTTCATTTCCTTCTCTCCCACAAATTTCTTGTGTGAACTTGGGCAAGCCACTTCACCCCTGGTTCCCTATCTGTAAAATGAGGACAGTAATCCTTCTCTATCTTGAGGCCAGGTGCAGGAGGGCAAGTGAGTTAATGCGTGTGAGGTGCTCAGATATTACAGTGATAGGGGACAAATAAATGCCTGGGTAGACAGACAGAAGGCGCAGACCACACAAACAGTAGTAGCTATCTCAGAGCAGTAATATGATCCTTCACTTACAGTAGCTCATGGCTGCTAACCAGTGTCAAATACCTGCCTGCCAGGCTATTTCTTGTCCCTGGATTATGAGGGAGACATCTCTGGCACTGAGATCATACAGTGCCTTTGTCTTTCTGTTGGATCTTTATTTATGATATTGAGGAAGTCCTATGCTACCTCACTCTCCTGAGCCACACCAGATATTTCATTCATGACTCTGGCACTGAGTATGTGAGCAACGTGGTAACAAGTGTCAGCCGCTTTTTAAGGGTTTAAACCCCAAGGGGGCCGAGGAAGTGTGACCGGCCCAAAGTGGTAGTAAAGAGAAACTGGATGAAGCTGAACCAAGGAAACCATTGTCATACCAAGAAACCCTTCTGAATGGTGAAATGTCTGAGCCTGGAAGAGGCACCCAAGGGAAGTGTTGGAAGACACATCACTTGAGACATGTAAAACTAGGCCGGACAAATACCCTATAGGAAACCACCCCGCACTGGCCAAAGGAATTGGGCTATTGATCTAATGTGATTATCTGCAGTTATAACAGGTTAGATCCTGGAATGTCTGTCAAGACAATTCTGCAGGCTGGGAAGAGCATCTACTCCCACTTGTCTGCTACTCCACCTCCTCCTCCCCAAACATCAAACAACACTGATGAAGACTCATACCACTGCAGAAATATCCAGCTGGGCAGGGCTGACAGTCTGTTAAGTGCCATTTCCCACTGTGTGGGTTGAGGCTTCCAGCACCACATGGGATTGGGGACTCAGTGCCCTTGGGGCAGTAGGATCCAGGTGGACAGTGTTTCTGGTCTGGCCGTGTGGATTCCATATCACAGTAATACCCAGCATAACAGGTTCCTGCAAAGCAGAGAATTTCAGGAAAAAGACTAAGAAACGTGAATCTCAGAACTGTCAGTGCGTTGGTGGCTTAGCTGGTCTTGTCTAGAGGGTTTTGGTCTTGAAATCCAGCTCTTAAATTCACAAGGATTTGTGAGATTTCTGTCTCTTCCAGCTTTTAGTCTGGCTGGGGATCTTCCAACTTTAGTTCCAATTCAATCCAAGCTGGAACAGGATTCAGAACATGACCCTTCCCAGCATGCTGGTGTCCTACAAATCGTAATGGGCCAGATCCAACCCTAGGTTAGCTACCGATTGGTGATGCTGTGGAATAAAAACAACGGCATGAATCTCATACATACACATACAGATCCATGATGTATACTACTCACCTGAAACGCTGGCCAACCCTTCTCCTTGGCAGAACTTCCCCCCAGGGCAGGGCAGACAAGCATTGTGGGATGCCATCCCAGACTGGGGTAGAAAGGTGCCAGTGGGACAAGGCACTGGGCTGCTGCTACCCAGTGGGCAGAAGTGTCCTGCTGGGCACAAGTCTCCAGTTTCATCGTTAACAGGATTAGGTACACGTGCTTTCAAAATGCAGTAATACCTGGGCAAACAAGGACCACTCGGGATCAAGAGGCCTGGTGAGGAGGAGGACAAAAACAAAAAACAGAGGCGTTATGTAGTTCACAGGTTTAGGGCTGCAAAAACTGGCAAAGCCATGGCATCTAGATTAATTTAATGTCTAATGCCCCATACAGTGCTCTCCTGCTCCTGCACCACACTGTGATTTATCCACAGAGGCATTTAGAGATGGGGCTAATGAAGAACCTGACATCCACCTGACCAAGGAGAAAGAATACAGGATAAATTAATCCCAGACCCAAACCAACTCTGGTTCAGGATTTGTAATCCTTCACCAACTGGGTCTGGCCAAACCAAAACCATCTTTGTCTTTGCCCATCTCTATTTATCTAGCGGAGATGAAGGTTTAGAATGACATTGGAATCTTCTATATCTAGACCACTTTTCATCTCCAAAAATCCCGCAAAAGACTGTGCAGGTATGGCTTCACCCACTGCTGAAATGTGGCCACTTCTGGGGTGAAGCACAACAGCTGTTTACCAGGACATAGTATCACCACACAACAGTGCAGGAGAGGGACTAAAGAAGGATAAGTATATTCAATGGGCAAACAGGTATCCCAGTTCAAACAAGCTAATCAGGGGTTAGTTTCTAAGGCCATATTCCCTGTTGGGGTTTCTCTCTCATGCATGAAATCAAGACCTACTGTCTTCATTCCAAGTTCAGTTGGACCCTCCAAGAAAAAATGCAGGATTTTCCCAGCCTGAACAGGGAAGATAATCTCCACCTGTCTGCTCCTTACCTGCATCTGCACAGAATTTCCCCCCAGGGCAAGCCCTGCAGTCCTTGGAACTGCTCAGCCCAGTCTGGTTACTGAAGGTGCCCTCAGGGCATGGGTACTGCTTGGCAGCTTTAGTTCCTGAGAGGCAGTAGTACCCAGCCGGGCAATCTGCTGGCTTGATCGCTCCATGTGAAAAGGTCTCCTTGTGATCTTGGATTTGGACTTCTGGGTCACAGAACCTACCAATAAAAGGCCAATTAAATGGAATTAACCTGTCACAGCCCACAATTCTGCCAGGATAAAGAAGGGTCATTCTCCATGCAACAGCCGTAGCCTGTGACTGCAAGACAAGGCAATGTGGAATGCCCTTCAGGAAACAAATGAGGACTCAGATGAAGCCTTTCTGTGGGAAGCTGTTATCTTTGGGACCATTTTGCACCTCCCTGGAGACAAGTCTACAGGATGACAACTCTGTGATGAAGGGCTTATAATACAGAAATTGATATAATGAGAAGGAAGGAGATACAAGGACACGATCAAGGAGACCAGCCATGTATATCAAAGGATATAACAGAATAGCCCAAGGCAAATCATCAAGAGGGGAATTCATATGTTAATTCCCAGTAGAAGAACCAGGATACTGGAGCAGGCTAAATGCATTCCACTTACTTTCCTGCTGGGCATGTCTTGCACCGGCTTTGACCAGTCTGGTCCTGGTATTTCCCAGAAGGACAGGTTTTGGGCTCTGGACTGCCTGTGGGGCAATAGTGACCAACAGGACATATATAATCTAGGAATAAGAGAATGGATTGGATTAATGCTGAGACTGTGCATAACTCCTGTGTGCTGCTGCATAGGGCTGTAATGGCCAGCCGTAGTAAGGGACAGTGTCAAAGGGAAAGAACTCGCAGATTTAATATGGTGAACGTTTCATAAAGAACTGAAGAGAAATGGGTATGTTAACAGCTTTATCAGACACATCCAACCAGGCTGGAGGCCTACAAGGGGCTCACTAAGGAACAGCTTCAACGGCCATTGAAATTCTTCCTCTGACTTCACTGGGGATAGAGTATACCCTAAAGCTCCCGAAGCCAAGTCCTGACCCACAATGGGCCTTATGAAAAACTTAGATAGGTTCTTCAGGGATTTCCTCTTTCATTTGTTCCAGTCCATGGACACAAAGGGATAATCTTTGCATAATTATAGCCACAGGTAGGGTAAGCTCTTTGAGGGGTCAGGACTTTGTCTTTGTTCTGTGTTTGTCCAGCACGTAGCACAAAGGGGTCCTGGTCCGCAACTGGGGCTGCAAAGGGCTACCACAATAGAAATAACAATGAACAAACTGGACAACCATACAGATTCACTCCCAGCTCAGCTCAGCAACTGAGAGTCTGGTGATAGTGCTTAGGTGGCTTTATCAGAACTGCTCACAGCTCCCCCGTTTGGCTAAACTGGGTACAGTACTTAAAGGGACATACCTCACAGTAACTAGCAATTTTGGAACATTTCCGTTATTGATACTTTCACTCATTTCCCTGTGAGAAGAGTCATCCAAGAACTTTCCTACCTGGATTAAGGCCTGATACAGACCCCTCTGGGCAAAACCAGCCTTCCTTACACAGCCCCTCTGGTGTACTTTGACCTCGGTGGGAACAGAACCACCCTGCTAAACAGGGCTGGCAATCTTGTGCTGATTGGCCACCATGATGGGCCAAAAAAGAGCCTTGAAAAGAAAAAAAAAATACACACTAACATTCTCCCAGCATCCTGAATGTGCCTGGATATCCCGGGGGGGGGGGGGTAGGGGGGTGGAGGGGGGGATTTGGGAGTTGGGGGGGGGGGAGGGGAGGGGAAGGAGTGCTGAAAGGCTGGAGGGAGAGTTCTCAGCAAGTCTAGTTCCAGCCTCTCTGGCCAGGAGATGCTGAAGGGAATAGTGTATGAGCATTGGCTGTGGTGGGCCGCACAGGTAGTGCAGTCCCAGTCTTCCCTATGATGGGATGGTATCGGAGGTGGCATTTGAGCGCTAGTTGCTGGGTTGTTCATATCCATTCTGGTGCTACCTAAGGACTGGCAGCTCTGGTTTACAATATCTACATGCCAATACCAGAAAACTAAGCAATCCAAAAAGTGTCTCTCTCTCGCCTTCCTCTTGCCATAATCCTTATGCTTTGCTAAGGAAGGTGTGAAAGACCAGTTCCCATTGTTTGTAGGGAAAGGAACTGAAACGGAGGATTTTAAATGTTTTCAGCTCCCTGTTGCTTTGCCACATTTCCCCAGAGTGGCTTGGCAAAGCCATCTCTCCACCTCCTGGAGCACAGCTGTTATTGGGTGCACATTTAGGGCTGGATGCTCCTCATTTAACAGCCTCAGAGTAAAAGCTAAGATCCCATGCTGACAGAGGCCACCCCTTAGGCACTGCTGCGGCATGCTTCAGTGCCACACAGCAAGAAGCTTTAAAACAATGTCAGGAACTCAGGTGTCCCACAAGGCATCAGGCAAAGGAAAGAAGGGCACCCAGCAGCCACTGTCTGATCTACCTGGGGGACATGGAGATGGAGAAGAACTTCCTTGGGGACACACATAGCCTGGAGGACAAATATTTCCCACTGCCCCGTCTGTTGGGTTGGGAAGCGTGGACCCCCCAGTGCAGTAAAAGCCAGCGTCACAGGGACCAGATGGTGCAGCCAGCTCTGCAGATGCACAGTACGAGCCTAGAACAGGGAACAGAAGGGAGACTCTCTTACAGGCTCCTTGTCTCTGTGCTTGTCCCACTAGATTCCCAAAGCACTTGAGCTGCAATAATGTCATAGCATACATACATAACAACAGCCAATAGGAGACAGCAGCAGTCTAGTGGTGACAGCACCAAACTGGGAGAGTCAGAGGAGTTTGGCAGGGTGGGGGAAGGGTTTGTATCAACATTTTTGTCTCTTTGGCAAAAAATAATATATTCTCTCCTACCTGGGGTACAGGGAATAGGAAGGGATGAGCCACCAGGACAAAACGTTCCTGCTTGGCACAGTCTGAAGGACCCGGGAGGTGAAGCTTCTGACCCTGCTAATGGAACGGACGGAACTTGAGAGAGGCAAAGGAACATACAGCAACAAACAGAGCCTCACTCCCATGTCCCAACCTCTTCTGCTCTCTAGATACTTACAGCACATGACCTTCATCACCACAGTATGTGAAATGCACCAGGTGGGTGGAAATTCCTCCCTATGCACATCCTCCCACAATGCAAACACCCACCCAGCCTCTCCCCAGGGAAGTGATCTACTCCTGCCAAGATCACAGACCCATTGCAAACACACATCCCCACCCCAAACAAGGGGTCTCGTTTCATTTCACGTGACTGCATGAAGCAGCGTCTTTTCCTCTCTCCACTCTGTCTTTTACCAGCACTGCAAAAAGACACCTCATGGGCCCTTTTCTTCAGCTGGGACTTCTTGACGCTTTTGTAATATCACCACGTCTAATAATAATAATAATTGAGTTCCACTGCTTCCTTCAGTGCCGGAGTGTGGATTACTAGAGATATTGGCTCGCCTGATGCTGATCCGGGTGGACAAAACCATCCAGGCATGCATGGTCCGTCAGGACTCGTCAAGCCTGATTTGGAGCAGACTTTTCCAGGGGGACACAGCTGGCACTTGGAGGCATCCCTCGTGTTTAAGTCCTGGCTGTAGGTTCCTTGTGGACAGGGATACTGTGTGGCAAACTCCGTATTCCTTGGGCAGTAATGTCCTAGGAGGGAGACGACAGTTTTCCTAACAGTTAAGAGATGCTTGCAATATCTCATATTGTTAGCAAGGGCACTGGGGTGCCCTCTCCATCAGTTTCCGCAAAAGAACTGATCCCAGGATACGTCAACCAGTCCATGGTATGACTCCTCAGTACTGTACAGGAGCTCCAGCCAAGGTGGAAGCATTCAGTGAAGCTGATAGCGCTTTACCTTCGTGCTGAGCCTTACAAAGAGCTGCTAGTGCCCCCAAGACACTGTTCCCCACATTCCCTATGGTGTAACTGCAGCTGCACTCACCTGCGGGACAGTCTGTGTAATTGGTGGAACCAGCCTTACAGTAAAAGCCTTCTGGGCACTCCAAACACTGCACCTTTCCCCAGAAGGGGCTGTAGCTTCCTGCGGGACATGGCTGTGCTCTACTGCTCCCCACTGTGCAGTAGTGCCCTGGGGGACACGGCCCCCCACTGCTGGTGGTCTGTGAAGACAAAGTGCTGTTGTTACAGAAGAGGTTCCCACTAATCTCACTGTGGCCCAGAGATCCTCAAATGTCTTTAGTCTCCTAACTTCCACTGATTTCAATGGAAGTTACAATACTAAATATCTGTGTGGATCTGGGCCTATCTGCAACCTCAGAAGAAATGTATCTTGCAGCAGGAATACACCAAATCTTAATGGGGAGGACAGCCAGCGTGACGGAAAATGCTTTGTTCATCATTCACTTCTGGCCAAACCCTTCTGCTATAATCCCATCGTAGCTCACAAAATGAGCAGGGGAGGTGCTTGGGCGGCTGCCAAGGAACACCAAGGTTTGCTGCAGGAAGTGGTGCTGGTAATCTGGTAGGTAGTCCGGCCTGTCCTCAGAGTCAGCCTGGTGCTGTGCTGCTGGGGTGGGGGAAAGGTACTGAGGCATGAAACCAAGATCCTGAGCCAGGCAGTCTTTAAAGTTCATAAGGTATTTTGTGTAAGAGCCATGTCAATAGATCCAGTGCCCTGTCCACATTCGAGTTCTGCAGACCTCTGTAATGCCAGCTGGAAATGGCATTCTTTTTCACTTCCTCTCATGTTGTGTAGTGTTGCTGTGTGCTGGTAAGAGGGTCATGAATTCAACCCCAGAGGTGGATATATGTCAGCACTGGGTGAATAAGTGTTGTGTATAGTTTGCAATGTTCTGGGATTCTTGGCGATGAAAGGTAAAAAATTTTATTCAACCATCTCTGTCCACTCATCAAAAGAGGACAAATGGGAGTGAGGCAGCATGGATATGAAAGGGCTGAACTATTATGGACATGTTTTACACCTAGAACAGAGAGGAGGTTGGGTATGTTTGGTGTCTCTAGATTCCTTCAGCCTTAACAAACTAGACGTATATGTCAGAGAAAGGAAGTTATGCAAACAGTCTCAGAAATCCACAGAGAAGTTTGTCTGGGTTAGAATTCTTCCCCTCACACAATAGCTTTTGGGCATGGTACTGATGGTGGGGCTGACAGAACAAGCGGTCAATGGCAAGGACAAATCAAGGGGAGAGGGTTTCATGTAAGAACTGCAAATATGGATGCCTGATGCCCCCTGCAGGCGATGGGTGGTGGGACTTATGGCAGGAAGAGAAGAACTATATGGACATTTGGTTCTCTACATCCAGAAATTCTGGGTTTCACAATGTTATAACCCAGACACAGCTTACCATGGAAGGTCTAGGAGAAACAGCTCCTCTGGTGCAATAGAACCCAGCTTCACAGACACCCGCAGGAAATATGAGTCCAGTTCCATTGCAGAAATATCCTGAAAGAGAGAAGAGGCATAACAGCACGTCTATGGTGTTGGGATGACAGACCGATGGACAGCAGCAGGTGAAAACTGAAGAGTAAATCCCACATAAAAAGCAAGAGGTCTGGCTACACCCACATACACGTTACAGGAGATATTTCCATTCAGAATAGCTTTAACATAGAACATACCTAACATGCCTAGAGAGACAGCATGCATTGCACCACCAACACACTCCAACCCAAACCATTCTGAAGGGGAAAGAGAGAGTCAGCCTCTGACACTGCAAAACACTGGAAAGACCTTCTCCTGGGGTGAGGAAGTGGGAGACTTTATCCTCTCTGTGATCCTTTTTACCTACGTATCCCTGAAAGAGCAGTCACTAATTGCAAGCCCTAATGATTCATAGATATTAAGGTCAGAAGGGACCATTATAATCATCTAGTCTGACCTCCTGCACAACGCAGGCCACAGAATCTCACCCACCCACTCCTGCGAAAAACCTCACCTACGTCTGAGCTATTGAAGTCCTCAAATCGTGGTTTAAAGACTTCAAGGAGCAGAGAATCCTCCAGCAAGTGACCCGTGCCCCATGCTACAGAGGAAGGCAAAAAACCTCCAGGGTCCAATCTGCCCTGGAAGAAAATTCCTTCCCGACCCCAAATATGGCGATCAGCTAAACCCTGAGCATATGAGCAAGATTCACCAGCCAGATACTACAGAAAATTCTTTCCTGGGTAACTCAGATTCCACCCCATCTAACATCCCATCACAGGCCATTAGGCGTATTTACCATGAATATTTAAAGATCAGTTTCTCAGAGGGCTTCATGAGTGCTATAGTCTGGTTAGAACCTCCTTGATCCATCTCTCATTAGTGTACCTGCGTCACAGAGGAGGCAGTCTCCCATCTCAGTATTCTTGGTAGAATTGCTATAATAACCAAGAGGGCACGGCTGCGGAAGAGCAGATCCCTTAGGGCAGTAATTTCCTGCTGGGCATATATTCCCCACCAGGCCGCTGGTAGGTGTTGGGGTGGCAATCCCTGCACTGCAGTAATATCCAGCTGAACAAGGTCCTGTGACACGTGACTGTCCTGCTAATGCACAGTAATGACCTGAAAGAGCAGTGCATTGGAATCAGTATTAGCAAACAGTAACAGGAGGGTATTTAAAAGAAAGGGTGGAATATTTATACAAATAAGAAAAGTAACTGCATCAAGGTGAGGTTCAAAAGGTTTAAGGGATATCAGCCTTCATGACTCAGGCCATAAGTCAGTCAGGAGATGAGGTCTGATGATCAGCAGACTAACTAAACTGTAAATTCCCTTTGTCCTTTTCTAGGCATGTAAAGCACCAGGCACATATATGCTGCTGTGTAAATGGATTATAAGTTAATGACGAAGTTCCCCCTTCCATATAGTAGCATTGTACATAAAGGTCCATCATGGGGCAAAAGGGTAAGTCCTCCCTCTGAAGTATTTGGCATTGGTCACTATCAGAGACAGGACATCAGAGTAAATGGACCAGTGGGTCTTTTCTAGGTTGGTCATTTTTAAGAGGGCGGCTTCCCCAGAACTCAGCTCAGTTCTCCATGCAGCTGAATGTGGCTCTGTTTCAAACTTCAACAAGTGATCTAATGGCAAAGAGCTTCCTAACCCATTATCAGTCCCCTGAGCCACCCAAACCACTCCTGAAGTTGGAGCATTTTGAAACTCACTAGCACACACTGTTCTTATGCCATTCAGGGTGATGTTGACTAGGATCCTACCTGGATCACAAGGGATACAGTGAGAAACATGACTGCTGCCAATCTGTGGATTGTAGGTCCCCCTGGGGCATGGGTATTGAGTCGCTGAAGCTGTACCAGGAGGACAGTAATGACCAGCTGGACATTCACTCCCAGCAAGAGAAGAGGAATTCTTAGGACAAAAGAACCTGCACCCATAAGAGGAAAGAGCAGAAGGAGGGAAGTTAAAACTCTCAGGTCAACACTCCATCCATATGCACACTGACGACTCAGTGAAGTGAATGACTTGTCCGTGTGCATGCTGCACTGTACTGGATAGGCAATATATCAGATCTGCTCATGTATATAAATACCTTCTCTTAAGTGTTTCCTCGTGCTGAATGCACGAAGTGTACTGACTATGATGGCATAATTGCCGAAGGCATAGGAACATAATAGCCTTAATTTCAGCCATAAGACACTAGGGATGTGATTTCATCAGCTTCTAGATGCTAAGCAAGGCCAAACCTGGTCAGTAGTTGGATGGGAGTCCTCCAAGGACAAGCCAGGTGCAGCAAGAAGTGGTATGGGTGACACCCTGGGACAGGAATAGACCAATATCCCAGCATGGTGCTAGCAGACATTGTTTATTGGAAGAAACATGAAAGTGAAGTCCTTTATCACCTAGGGCCATGGCCTTTTTATTTATTTATTTTATTTATTTATTTTGCACAACCATTGGTGGTACTAGTGGTTTCCTGGCCAGCAGCCAGTTTCAATTACCTTCTGCTCTAAATCCTGCCACTGTAGGGGAAGTTAGCTCACCTAATTTCCAATGCTAATCATTTGTGTAGTGTTGCTATGCAGCTGTTAAACAGTTGCTATGCTCCTTTTCAGAGATGGGTGTACTTCAGTGGGAGGGGAAGTAATTCTTGTCTGCCACATATTGTATTGCTCAAAGGTGGCTGGGAACAATAATTATGGCAATGATCCTTTATTTATACTGCACACAGTAATGAGCACTCTCTCATTCTTACCCTCTAGCACAGAGAAGGCAGCTGGCTTGCCTTTGTAGAGGGTTATATGACCCTGCTGGACAAGCCAGTGGAATGGATGTGCCCCTGGGGCAAAAATATCCTGAAAAAGAAAAAATAAGGCAGAATCAGCAGACTCTTTCAAGGTCAGGACTAGAGGGCAAATTCTACCCAGGATTTACCATATCCTGAAACAGGCAATGCACAAACCCTCAGGCTTTGAGAAACTCTAAGAGTAGTGATTTCTCAGAGCTCCTTGCAGCCTGCTAGGAGTTCTCTTCTTGACCTGCTGAACTCCCAGACTCTGCTGTGGAATTTGCTTGGATAATTCTTACTCAGCAGGCTAGTAACCAATCACCAGTTAGCTTGATATGAACCAAGAGCTGCAAACAATCTACCTGTGGGACAGGGGCCTCCGGTCTTGTCCAGGATGGGAACACTGGCAATGGTGGACCCCAGTGTGCAGTAGAACCCTTCTCTGCATTGCCCTGTAGGGGCCTGGAGGCCAGTGGAGTTGCAGTAATGTCCAGGTAGACAGGGGGAGCACTGGGTCTGTGAGAAATCAATGGGAACATTCACATTCTCACTTCTGGAGAGATAGGAAGGAGTACTGCATAAAGGGATCTGGGGGTCATAGTAGATCACAAGCTAAATATGACTGTAACACTGCTGCAAAAAAAGCAAATACCATTCTGGAATGTATTAGCAGGAGTATTGTTAAGCAAGACACGAGAAGTAATTCTTCCACTCTACTGCACGCTGATTAGGCCTCAGCTGGAGTATTGTGTCCAGTTCTGGGCACCACATTTCAGGAAACATGTGGACAAACCAGAGAAAGTCCAGAGAAGAGCCAAAAAAATGATTAAAGGTCTAGAAAAAATGACCTATGAGGGAAGATTGAAAAAAACGGAGTTTGTGTAATCCGGAGAAGAGAAGATTGAGAGGAGACATGATGGCAGTTTTCAAGTACATAAAAGGTTGTTACAAGGAGGAGGGAGAAAAATTGTTCTCCTTAACTTCTGAGGATAGGACAGGAAGCAGTGGGCTTAAATTGCAGCAAGGGCGGTTTAGGTTGGACATCAGGAAAAACTTCCTAACTGTCAGGGTGGTTAAGCCCTGGAATAAACTGCTCAGGGAGGCTGTGGAATCTCGATCATTAGAGTTTTTTAAGAGCAGGTTAGACAAACTCCTGTCAGGGATCTTCTAGATGATACAGAGTCCTGCCATGAGCGCAGGGGACTGGACTAGATGACCTCTTGAGGTCCCTTCTAGTCCTATGATTCTATATGAATCTTGCCTCTGCCACTGGAACCTCAGGCAAGTCATGTCATTTCGTTGAGCTTAAGTTCCTCATCTATGCAATGGCAGTAACATTCCCACCTCATAGGGATGCTGAGAGGCTCAGTAAAGTGCTTTGATAGCCTCAGATGCCACAGGCTCTAACTCGGGGATATTGCGGTGTTCTTCTAAGGAAGGATTCAAGTGATTATAAGCATTTAAACAGTCTTCACATGTCTGCTCAGGCAGAGAGGCGCTAGGTGGAGTTAAGCTCTCTAAGTGCAGAAGCAACATTGCTAGTCGCTAGTTCACCCTGTGCATTTTCCTACCTCTGAGCTCAACTTGATTCTGGTGCTGAAGGTTCCCACAGGACAACGCTTGGGGACAGCAGTGCCCTTTGGACAGTAGTGGCCTGGAGGACAAGGGCCAGCCTGACCTGCAATCAACAACAGAGAAAGATGTTCAGCTGATTAAAGGCTATGGATGGAAATGAATATAAAAGGCATTCATTGCTTCTATAATAGCCATGGTCTATTCAAGTCAGCAGCAATTCATCCGTAGATTCCCCACAATTCCTTAATTCTCTCCCACATGGGACAAAGCTGAGCTACCATACAAGGTCACTGAGCCATTGTGGCCTCAGAGCTCGAAAAGGTGAGTAGGAATCTGAACTTTGGGGTTCTGCTGCTAGCTCAGGGAGTGAGCGTGATCTAATGATGAGACCAGGGGACTGAGAGGCAGGATACCTGTGCTCTATTCCTAAATCAGGTTTAGAGTGTCTAGTCGTTGGGACTGGGAAATAGGACTTGGAACCCAGGAGTCCTGACCTTTAACTATTGCTCTCTGCTGCTGAGGACAGGCTAGATCAGGTGCTGAGTCATTTACTCACAATTCACACATCTGGGGTTCAAACAGCAAAAGGGGCTTTTGAATGGGGCCAGAAAGGGGAATTCTAAACAAGGGGCTGAACCAGGAACCTGAAAAGAACTAGGCCCAAGGGCTCGACTCTGAAGTGGGCATCACCACAGGGCCACTAGACTGAACACATACAAAAACCAATATTGTTTTAGCAAAGGAAAAAGACAGCACCTTGGAGCCTGGCCTCTGGGTTGGGCCTGTCTGATCCCTGTGCACAGTAGTAGCCTTCCCAGCACTCTCCAGTCACGTCTGTTGCATTATGGTACAGACAGAACTTCCCTCCATCACAAGTCCTGCATCCAGTGCTGTTCTCCAGCCCTCGCTCAGGGCTGTAGGTCCCTGGTGGGCAAGGCTGCCAGTCAAGACCTGTTCCTTTGGGACAGAAGAAGCCTGAAAGGAGAGCACCATCATATTTCTGGGTGGGAGAGAGACCTAAAGATGACAAATCAGTAACTGAGATTCCAGCAATGGGATCCACATGTTTTTATAGATTCACTCGGGTCACTTGGGCTGAAATTGTTGGACTGAGCATGAAGCTGAAGGAACAGAGACAGGACTCATACCCTGGTTGATTTTCCATGGCCCAAGATCTCTCCGGCACACAGGGGCTTAAAGAAAGTCTTTGGAAAGCACGAAACAAACTAGGCATTTAGTGAACACACGACTCACCTTTAGGGCACAATTGTGGCTTCTGAAGAGGGACACAGTATTTACCCTCTGGGCAGGTGTAGCACTCTTCTCCATGTGTCTGTGGCATGTAAGTGCCAGGGGAGCAGGGGATGGGACTCTTGCTTCCCAGGGGACAGGAGTGTCCCACAGGGCATGGAGCTCCTGAGAGGCCATCAGTGGGTGTCGGTGTTCTGGCCCCCGCAATGCAATAAAACCTGGAGTAGCAAGAGCAGAAACAAGAGCCATCAAACACAAACAACCTCGAGTCAAAGAAACAATCCCCCTAAGGACACAGGTGGATAACTGACTGAGCAGTGAGCGTGAGGAATACTGGATCCTCTTTATACCTAGTGAAGGAGAATTTCTGCAGATCCCAAGCCCTGTGTTGACAACAAAGGCACACTGACTGCAGATAGCTGTTCTTATTCAGGGTCCAAGAGAGTGTGGTCCCTTCAAGTGAATAGTTGTGGGTTATTCATGTCAGACCTATCTCTCATTATAGTGACAGAAGAGAAATGTGTACCGTACTGTACTTACCCTGGGCTGCAGTGTCCTGATGGTGCTACCAGTCCAGTGCTATTGCAGTAATGTCCTCCAGGACAAGGCTGGCATCCCAGCAGATTCTTATTCCCTTCGTTGCTGGACCAGGTGCCATGTGGGCATAGAGATGGAGTGAGTGTTCCTGATTAGATAAAGTGCTTCAGAGTCCGCTCAGTATCAACATGGGGAGAAGGCAGCAGACCACACAGAGGGGCATTGAAGTCAGAGTGAACTGGTCATAGACATTCGATTGGCTAAGCCTGATCCAGGAGCAGAGCGAGCCCAACACAGCTTTATCCCACTGAAGTTTATGAAGTGGCTATGGGATAGCATAGGAGTACAGGCTACAGAAAAGGTGAGAGGAAGCTGGTCCAGTTAGGGTGCTAGACTGGGACCTGAGTTCAAGTCCCTACTCTCCCACAAAGCTCCCTGTGTGACCTTAGGCACGTCACTTAGGGTCAGATTGAAGAGTTAGGAGCCCAAATACCTTTAAAAATCTGGGATTTAGCCTCTCTGTGTCTCAGTTCCCCATTTGTAGAATTGGGATAATAGCACTGCCCTACCTCACAGGTGATGATAAATACATTAAAGATTATGAGACATTCAGGTACTATGGTAATGGGGCCATATAAATACTAAGATAGTTAGAGCTAGCAGCTACTGCAGTTCCAGACTCTCTGAGCTGAAGGCACTGTAGGCAACAGTGCTGGGGGAGCTGGAATTCCAGTGTCTCTCTGCAGGAAACACTGCAGGGAAATTCCAGCTCATGCTTCACAGGAATTTAGAAGAATTATGTTTAGAAGAATTATGTACCTGCAAGACAGTAATGCCCAGGAGGACATGGGAGCCCTGTTACTCCATCCATTGGGTCTCTTACTAGGGCATCTCCCTTGCACCAGAATCCTTCAGAGCAGTCCCCTAGAAGGCAGGATACACATTTATACATATAAACGAAATTAAATGAAAATAATGAGGATTTAAATATAAGTTCCAGGACACAGACACAAAGTGGAAGCCTGAGTTGGAGCAGTGATAACTTTCCCTATGCTGATTCATAGAATACCAGGGTTGGAAGGGACCTCAGGAGGTCATCTAGTCCAACCCCCTGCTCAAAGTAGGACCAATCCCCAATTTTTGCCCCAGATCCCTAAATGGCCCCCTCAAGGATTGAACTCACAACCCTGGGTTTAGGGGGCCAATGCTCAAATCGCTGAGCTATCCCTCCCACCCTTGATTCAAAGGGCCATCTCTAGGAATGAAAGGGGAGTGCAATCAAAGTGGTTTGTTCCATCCTTACCTGCTCTGCTGAGCCCAACAGCAAAGGATTTATTGTTACATAGACACCTGCCCATTAGGGTTAGGACTGAAACTATGAACTAATTTCAACTAGGCTACCAAACAGCTATGAGCTTGGGCAGCTACAAGCCCTGGAGACAGTCATAGAATCATAGAATATCAGGGTTGGAAGGGACCCCAGAAGGTCATCTGTCCAACCCCTTGCTCAAAGCAGGACCAATTCCCAGTTAAATCATCCCAGCCAGGCTTTTCAAGCCTGACCTTAAAAACCTCTAAGGAAGGAGATTCTACCACCTCCCTAGGTACGCATTCCAGTGTTTCACCACCCTCTTAGTGAAAAAGTTTTTCCTAATATCCAATCTAAACCTCCCCCACTGCAACTTGAGACCATTACTCCTCGTTCTGTCATCTGCTACAATTGAGAACAGTCTAGAGCCATCCTCTTTGGAACCCCCTTTTAGGTAGTTGAAAGCAGCTATCAAATCCCCCCTCATTCTTCTCTTCTGCAGGCTAAACAATCCCAGCTCCCTCAGCCTCTCCTCATAACTCATGTGTTCCATCCCCTAATCATTTTTGTTGCCCTTCGCTGGACTCTCTCCAATTTATCCACATCCTTCTTGAAGTGTGGGCCCAAAACTGGACACAGTACTCAGATGAGGCCTCACCAATTCGAATAGAGGGGAACGATCACTCCTCATCTGCTCCTATGCCCCTACTTATACATCCCAAAATGCCATTCCTTCTTGCAACAAGGCACACTGCTGACTCATATCCAGCTTCTGTCCACTGTCACCCCTAGGTCCTTTTCCCAGAACTGCTGCCTAGCCATTCTCCCTAGTCTGTAGTGTGCATTGGGTTCTTCCGTCCTAAGTGCAGGACCCTCACTTATCCTTATTGAACCTCATCAGATTTCTTTTGCCCAATCCTCCAATTTGTCTAGGTCTTTCTTATCCTATCCCTCCCCTCCAGCGTATCTACCACTCCTCCCAGTTTAGTATCATCCGCAAATTTCTGAGAGTGCAATCCACACCATCCTCCAGATCATTTATGAAGATATTGAACAAAACCGGCCCCAGGACCGACCCTTGGGGTACTCCACTTGATACCGGCTGCCAACTAGATATGGAGCCATTGATCACTACCCGTTGAGCCCGACAATCTAGCCAGCTTTCTACCCACCTTGTAGTGCATTCATCCAGCCCATACTTCCTTAACTTGCTGACAAGAATACTGTGGGGACGTGTCAAAGCTTTGCTAAGTCAAAAACAAAACCCTCTTTCCCTTCATCCACAACCGTAACTCACATAAAAGCGAAGAAGCAAACAGGTATCTTAAAAGTTAAAGCATCTGCATCTGAGTTCCATTCCCTCCAACCATTCAGCCTGGCAATTTTACTTAATGGAAGGAATATTTCCTTCTTTTTAGGATAATCTGATCAGGAAGGAAAAGGATGGGCCACTTGTTCATTTCAGCCAAATATCCCAAGGCACTTTACAAAGTGGATCTTACCCAAATTTTACATGGGAAAAATGAGGCACCAATAGTGGAATAACTTGATCAAACTCACAAAGTCAGTCAGTACCAGAGTAAGAAATAGAACCCAGGAGGCCTCACTCCCAGTCCTTTGTTCTAATCATGAGGCAACAACACCCCCAACTAGACACACAGAAAATGCTCAGACTGCCCAAGGATGAATGGCAACATACCTGTTGGGGCTGAGAGACCAGGAAGCTCACAGTATTTTCCAGGTGGGCATCTCTCACATTCCTGGATATTTTTCAGCTTCTGCCTGGCACCAAAGGTACCTGGCGGACAGCTGTATTGAGTGCCCTGTTGTATCCCAGGTGGGCAGTAAAAGCCCTGCGGGCATGGGTAAAGGGTGAAATCACTGACTGGCCCTTGGCTGCTGTCACAGTAATAACCTGAAGGGAAGGCAGAGGAAGAAAAATCAGTTTAGTTACTGGGAGATATTAGCTACTAAATATCTACTCATCTACACATGAGAACTCCATCAGGCTCTCTTAGGAGTTCAAAAGCTTCCAATTTGCCATTCAAGGAAGAAATCTATAACTGATCTTTAATTATTATTGATCTCAATTACGCCACTGCTGGAACAGGTAGACAGTTTTCCAACCACTACATATACAAAAGAGATGTCAGAAGCCAGTGGTGAGCAGAGCGTGGGTCACTGGCCATCACGAGAGCACTTACTGATGTTCCCCAAGAGAGCTAGCTGGTCACATGGCGCTGGTTCCTCCTCCTTGCTTCCAGCTGCTACATCCCATTAAAAGAAGGTGAAAATACTCTGCACCTCTCCCTAATGTCACTGTGTCATGTAAGTCAGGGTTGCCTTTGCCACAGGAATGCTCATTGATTGGCAGTGGGAGAGGAGGTGGAGTATGAATGGGGTCGAGAGGTGGTGCATGACACAGAAAATGCAACGGGGCAGGAGGGGGACAGCATGAATGAATCTCAATATTAAGATGTGGCCCGCACTACGAAAGCCCATGTCATAATCTATAAATTGCTGGGCTGTGTTGCAGTGTTGATCCTCCCACAATGAATATGACAAAAACTGCTCCCTTCTGTAGAGCATATCAGATTGGCTCCAGAACAGGATTATATCACACACTAGCAGCTAAATATAGCTACACAATCTACATAATCGATATCTCTCCCATGTCTGTGAGTGTGCTGCTGTCGAGGCACTGCGACATAAACTCACGCTCCTACCTGAGGGGACTATCTCATGGGTTCATGGCCCCATGTTGTGACTCTAGGCATCCCTGTATTCACACCCTGAACACTACAAAATTTGCCATGTGAGGTACCATTTGAAAACTAACATCACACTGGTTATTAATATTGTAAAGTGTGTGTGTTAATGTTATATGTGAAGTTGTGAATTCCCTCTATATCATGTTACTAGAACACGTTTAAGGCCAGAAAGCCTAGGCTAGGTAAAAGTGATAATCTAGCCTGTCCTAGACAAATGAATGTGAGGGTTTACCTCAATTTACATATTAGAGTAAAAAAAAAAAAGCATCAAGCAAATCTGGTGGGGGGTTATCCTGCTCCTGAACTTGAGACACAGAAAATCGGCATGGCACTTGCACCACAGAGACACAGGAGACTGAATCCCCATGAGGCCTTCATGACTTGTAAAACAAAGACATTCCCTTTGGGAATATAAGGAACAGTGGGAGGCTCCATTTTTATCCTTCACCTTAGGAGACAAAGGAATCAAGTGATTTGATCTTTGTGATGGATCCTGGCCGGTAAAAACTGGAAAGGAAACTGTGGGTGAGAGAAACTATCTTGAACAAAGGCTGTAACTTGCTAGATTAAGTTGTTGTCTTTCAGATGTGTGTTTTCACTTTTATTTGCTTGTAACCATTTCTACATGTATCCCTGTTACTTGGTAACACTTAACATATGTCCTTTGTTAGTAAACCTGTTTTATTTTTGCTATAAACCACCTCAGTGTTGTATTTGAAGGGAAGGGTGTGTTTACTCCTATTAAATTAATAATATGTAATAGACTGACTTTTAAAAGAGCAGCAAATTTAATATCTTCTGTGACTGCACAGTGGTAGGGACTGTGCATTGCAGAGAAGTATCTCTGAGGAGCTTGGGGGCTGGAGTTCATGGATTTTTACCTGCTAGGTGAGGTTTGGGAGGATTTTAGTGGTGAGGAAGACAGACAGTTGTATCAGGGAGCTGACACACAGCCTAATCTCCAGCAAAGCTCATGCATGCTGAGGCATACAGGTAACAGTGGCTCACAGCTCTGGATATCCCCAGCAGTGTGTTACAATGTATCTACAGTTTTGAAAGTACACTACAAAAAATCTGATCTGTGAACTGTTATCTGTGAGCATCCTTACTTGAAGCAGCAGCAGAATCAAGCCATCTGTGGGGATCACCCCATAGGGATGGGAAAAATCAGTTTGGATAAAGCCATAGTTTTTGCTCATATGCAGAATCAAAGCTGAACCCAAATATTTTTTGTATAGGCTTCAGAAATGTGCTGCTAACTTTACCACTTCTGGTTTCATTTCTGAAGTGCCAATAGAGAGGCCCCTTCTAGTGATATTTCCATATAGGACCAGAAGTTGGTTACCCAGTGAAAGCAGGTTAGAGGTCCATCAGGCCTACCAGGTAGCCCCCTAAATAGAAATCCAGACACTGGAAGGTGGTGAGAGACCACAGGACCTTCCCCCAGAAAGACACTTGTGACCAGGTAAGGAATAGAGATCTCTTGGGGGGAGGTGCATCGCATGGGGGACAAGAGGGAAAGTCACACATACTGGGAAAAAGGGTTGACTATGATTCCAAATTCTTGGATATTTGTCTGGACTGAAGCCCTTCTCTGAACCTCCTGTCTATATCTCCATCACTGAAAGGGAACCACCTCTGGCTTTTCACCACTAAATTAGTGAGTAACACCCTTGCTTGTACCAAGTTCCTGGACAATTCACATATGCCTACGCTCTGTTCCCCAAAAGCCGCTCCCTGTTTCCTTTGGGCTCTCACCCATCTGTGCCCCTGGAATCACTCTTGCCCTCTACTGGATGCTGCAGTTTGCTCTCACGTGCCTTACCTTCCCAGCACTCTCCAGTGGGGGCACTGAGGCCAGAACCTTCACAATAAAATCCAGAAGGACAAAGCTGGCACTGAGAAACCATGCTCTGCCCTAGCAGGTTGGAAAAGGTACCAGGTGGGCAGAGCCTGGGCATTGTTGACCCTGCAGCTGGGAGAAGAAAAGCAAAACATAACAAACTGACTATGAAACAGTCTAAAGGCTGCTGCCTTCAGGAAACAAGGAATGAAGGAGGCCAAACTGACACAGAAATAATAGAGTCAATCTCTTATAAAGCACTTTTCACCCATAGGTCTTGAAGTGCTTTACAAAGCCCCATGTTACAGGTGGGTAATCTGAGTCAGAAAGGGGAAGGGACTTGCTCAAGGCCACACAGCAGAAGAGCCAGGAATAGAACTCAAGTCTCTGATTACCAGGCTGTCCTCTATCCACCAGTCCACTCTGCCTTTCAATATTTTGTTGCAAAATCACTGATGAGCAGGCCAAGCATTCCTGGCTCAGGGCATTCCAGATACTCACTGCAGTAGGTGCCCAGGGGGCAGATATTCCCAGTAGCACCATCCATTGGTTTAGAGCTGGCTGCTCCTCCTGTGCAATAAAACCCAGCTGCACATTTCCCACTGGGTTCAGACAGCCCTGGGGGATGGAAAGGACAAAGGGGCTCAACCTGAGGCATAACGCTGCGACAGTGGGGTGGAAGCAGCAGGAGCACGTGGATCAACAGCCTGCAAGGCAGCAGACTCAAATATTCCCAAGGGGGCAGCATCAGAAGAGATAGCTGAGCCGCATTCTCACACAAGAGCTCTGGCTGATCCACAGGGCTCAACGAGTCATAAGCAGCTTTGTGCCCCTGAAAAATATGAAGCTAATAACAGCTTGTGTTAAACACACCAAAATGGTATGGAAAGAACAATAAAAGCAGCTGGGAAAAAATGAACCAAGGACTGTGATAGCAGTATCTCCAGCCCCAGTGGAAGCAGAGAATGAAATGAGTCTGATGGGACATCCTGACCTTTTTGAGCCAAGAAGTTTGGACAGCTGGGCTCAGCTTCAGGACACTTTCAAGTGTTTATCCAGACAAAACCTTATGAGATTTGAACGTTGCTGGCTATAACCACCAGGAGGCTCAGTGACTCACTCAAGGTCACACAGTGAACCTACGGCAGAGTCAGGAATAGACCGTAGGTCCCCGGGCTCCCTAACAGGAACTCACAGTGTCAGTTCAGGAAACAAAGACAAATATCTGCACCAAAATTCTCTCCTTCAAACTGCCCCGTGACAGCTCAACCCCAATTTGCATGGCTGTATCCTCACCTGACACCTGGCAGTAAAACCCTGGAGGGCAGGGAATGGGCTCAAGGCTGCCCTCAGGGCAGTAGAACCCAGCCAAGCACTTCCCTCCGGTGGCTGTGGCTGGACACAGGCAATTGGCATTGGTGTAATTATCCAGGTCGAAGGGCTGTGCGGTCCATGCAGCCGATACACAGAACCAGCCTGAGCAATGAACACACAAACAACGTGGCTGAGAAAACAGCAGCAGCGGAGCCCAAAGAGTTACCACTCTTTGGTAAAAAAGGGATTAAAGGGTAATAAAAGGGTGTATGGTACACCACCTTGGTACAATAGTGAATCCACTGTGCACGAAACAGGCCAATGGTGCCAAGGTGTACCACCATGGTGTAACAGTGAATATGGTGTGCATGTGACAGGCTGATGGTGCAACAGCATAACACCAGCATGGTATAAAGATAAATGCAACATGCATATAACAGTGTAATGGTGCAACCATGTAACACCACCATGGCATATAACGATAAAATCTATAATAACCCCAAACTCAATCCTTCATTGCCTGGGCTAGCAGAGACTGGGAAGGCTGCAGAGAGAGCTGCTCTCAGTCTCTTGAGTGGGAAGGAACAATACCATCCAGCCACTTCAGGTGGCTACACAGAGAGACTCTAGAAGGCATCATGTCTGGCCCATTTAGGCAAGGACCAGCCAAACAATCTTCAGGCCTTACTAAGAGGAGACCATTCTCCGTGCCCAGTATGCACACAGTGCTGCTCCTGCTGGGCTAAACTCTAAGGCCTGAATTCTCATTTGCATTGAGGCTGGAGTGCTGTAAAGAGCCCTTCACATAGAGGAGGATCAGGTCTTTAAAGCCTACATGACTTACAGAGCGAGTGCCCCTGTGTACAGAGACAGAAGAGCCATCTCAGGGTAAGGGCAATGTGCACACGTGCCGGCACACTTGCTTGCATCTACACATACACGCAGGGCATGGGAGCTAGTTGGGAAACTCATAGGACCGCTCCACCCTTCGGAACGTGCAGCCAAACTGACATGGACTCACCTGCATCACACTTTCCTGACACGGCTGTTAAATTCTCCTTTCCACAGTAGTGCCCTGGGGGGCAGGGCAGGCAGCTATCCAGGCTCTGGGTCATGGGGTCAGGGTTATAATAACCCCGGGGGCACGGAAACTCTGTGGCAAACCTTGTTGCTTAGAAATGAAGAGAGAGAGAGAAAACTTTTCCTGGTATTCATAGGACTTAAATACAATTCCTGCTCTCAGCTCTTACATTATAACTGAACACTGCCCCTGCTGGTGTGTCTCAGCTCACCCTGCATATGGGGTACCCAGTCAGTCTCTGGACTCTGCTGAGGTTGCAGATAAGGGGGATTCAAGTTGTGTTAATGATTTGTGTGATCCAGATACTTGTTCACAAAGAACTGTACTGAGACCACCTAGCTCATTTCTTGGAAGCCACTGTTGCATTGAGAATGTAACTATTTCAATCTGGCTAATGGCATGTTTAGGACTCCAACTCCGTGTCCGAGGAGCAGGGCTTGTTTCTTACCTTTGGGGCAGTAGAAGCCAGGTGGGCAGGGGTAGGTATGGTAGCTGGTGGTGTTTTCAGGACAGTAGTAGCCAGCTGCACAAGGCGAACATGCAGCTTGTCTGGTGAGGTTGTTATAAGTTCCTGCAGGGCAGGGAAGGGGATAGCTGGTCCCTTCTGGACAGAAGTGGCTCACAGGGCAAGGGCCTCCGTTGTGCCATACGTCTGTGAAGAAGAAAGTGAAAAGCAGTGGGAACAAAGGCAGGAGATTGCACCCAGCCACTGGATGTTTCTCTTTTGTTGTGGCCATTGTGATCCCGCAAGGGAGATTGAGAAGAGGAGGTGCCAGGTTAGAAAATTACCAGACACCACTCTCCAGGGTATCTGAGCTGTGTAAACAATCAAAGCAGTGTGCACAGAGTCCTTCCTTACAATGTACTTCACAGGCAAGACTGAGCCAAGTCTTACCTAACATTTAGCCTCCCTACATTTTTCCATGAAAACATTTTCATGTGTTAGCCTCACTTGAACCAGTTCTGGAGAACGTGGAAGGAGATGGAACAGCCATCGGGGAAGCTGAGGTTCTAGGCCTAGGAAATTATTTCTCTTCAGAGAGCATGGAGTACAAAGGCAAAGATGGGGGGAGAGTGGGACACCTTCATTACTGGTGTGGAGCCTGTAACTTAACTCTGCTGCAATGCCCAACATACACAGCTATTGGGATAGTGTAGACCAATGGAACATGCTTCCCATTTCACATGTGCATGTGTTGTTTCAAATACCCTTCCCTAGAGGGCAATGGGCCTGGCTTATGTGAGGGCCTGGCCAAAGTAAGATATACAAAGGCATTAAGTAGATAAGAGGAACAAGCATAGTGAGAGGGATCTGGCAGCTGAGTGGACTGCAGACAATAGCTATAGCAAGATGCAGGGGATGAGGTCAGCAAGTGAGGGAGTGATTAGAGGGATGGGGGAATCTTGGGAAATCAGGTCCTGTTCCCCAAGGTATATTTAGACCCAGTGTGGCCAGGTGGCAATGCTTTAGGCAAAGTCAAATGCCCGATAGTGAACTCCGTAGGCAGGTGAAGACACCACCCACAGTGAATCACCCTGGCTTAAGGTTTATCGTACCTTCACCCAGTGACATCCTCACCTGCTGGGGATGAGGAGAAGGCTCCAGATAGGCAGTAGTAGCCAGCTGAGCAAGATCCTGAGGGAGCCACTAGACCGGCTGAGCTGCAGTAATAGCCAGGCGGGCACACAGTGCAGCTGGACTCCAGCCAGAGGTAGAGTCTGGGGAGACAATTGTGGCATAGCTGGGAAAGAGGGCAGCTAAGGCCAATGTACCCCATTTGCCACCAATACCTAGCACCATGTGCTGTGATAAATATTCCTCTTTGCAGGAGCCACTTTGCTCTTTATATCAATCTAGGGACAAAAATCACACTTCTCTGATCCAGAAACCACAACACGATATAGCTGCACTGCTTCTGTACCACCGCCACAGTCCCACAACCTACCCTCCAATATCATAAATCACATCACTGCCCAGAGCTCAGCATCCAGTACATTTGTCCATTCATTTTTCCATTCACATGCTGTCCCCAGTGTGGTTCCGTCTTTTCCCTGTGCTTCATTCTGTACAGTCTTGCAACTACACTATCAATGTGCACCAGCACTGCAAACAAGCCTCAGCTTATGGGGGACTGAAGGAAGCCTGAGGCACCTGCATGGTGAACCATACAGAACTGCACTCTGCGGCTTGAAGAGTAAGTATGAAAAACCACCTAGAGGAGAGAGGGAGAGACTACAGAAGCAGGATAAAGAATGCATATAGTCCACCTGCCCATGGGAAAATTAGGAGAAAGAGAGAGCTTCTGTTTTCAAGCCAGCATGACCACAGCCAAAGAGTTCACCTGTCCGAGAATGTGCCCACAGGGCATGGAAATGGGATGCTGGTGCCGGCTGGGCAAAAATGCCCAGATGGGCATGGGCCTCCAGTGCTTGTATTTGTGGCTCCATCAGGGTTTGGGACACTGGCTCCTGTATTGAAACACAAAGGGAAAACAAATCCTGAGTGACAAACATTGCAATTCATTGGCCACTTTGGCCCTTGTGGCCAAACTGGTCTTTTACAGGTAAAGTGTGGCTTGCAGAGCCCCCTACCCCCTGTTCTCCATCTACCAAACCGGGGGGAGGGCAGCTCAGGGCTCCTGCCCTGTGACAGGGCTAGGGGCTTCTGCCCAGTAGGGAGGGGGTCTAGGGGCTTCAGCCCCACAGGAGGCGCCTGCCAGGGCTCGGGGCTTCAGCCCTGCTCCTGCTGAAGCCCTGAGCACTGACAGGTGTCTCCCACGGGGCTGAAGCCCTGAGCTCCACCACCCTGCTGCAGAGCAGAAGATCTGAGCAGGTGCATCTGGCTCTTTAAATTCTGAAGATTATTGTATGCAGCTCAGAGGATCAGTAAGTTTGGCCACTCCTGGCATAAACAAAGATATGTACTGTGTTTAACACAAGCTTTCCTTGCATTAAGATGCAACAATCACTGATGGAGGCTTGTTTCTGAATATTCCATGTGGACTGGACTCCGTCCAGGGGAAAATCTTAGCCTTGGACTCAGTATCAATAAAATATTAATGAGAATCTCCCGAGAGAGAAAGAGAGAGAGAAAGCGCATGGGTAAAGATCTGATACTAATCTAAGGAATGGCCAGGCCTAACAACCCCACACAGTAAAAAATGAGTTCAGGCCTTTAAAAACCATGAGAATTTAATTTTTTTTTAATTGGGTTGATTTGATTTGTTTCGGTTGCACGTGGGTCACATTTCAGGCTTTGCTCCACAACCATGGGGACTAGAAACTTATTTTTTTTCTAAATCAACACTGAAATTCTCATGAAATCACATGAATCCAGGACCAGAAGGCTTAAGAAAAACATCAAATATTCTGGACATTGGCAGCACAAAGACTCATCAGTGAGAAACCCATGTGGTTTGGTAAACAAAACCTACAGAGTGTTTTGTATTATACAGAAGCACTGGCTCTGGCCAGAACCCAGAGCTGCTGCTGCTCCCCTCCCATCTTGCAGCCCCATGGCTCTGAGATATCTGAGTTCTGATTCTTTATGAGTGTCATCGCAGAGAGGCCAAAACATCTGTTCATGCACCAGAATCAACCTCCCATACTTTGCAAATAATTCCTGTCACTTGCCAAGAGTTGATACATCATTTCTAGCACCATCCTGCCAAGTAAGCACTGATAGTCTAAGAGATTACACTGTTTTTCATGCCAACACCATCATGCCAACCTCATGCTCCAAAGCCTCTCTGCCATCACCTCATATTAATGCTAATGCACCAGATTCCTATCACAGTGCTAACATGCCAACCTCACACACCAGCCCACTTTGCCATCCTCCCATCCAAAGCTTCTATACCTACCTCATGCCTCAGCAACCTGACGGCAACCTCTCTTTCCAGGAGGGGGCAGGACAAATTAGACAGAATAGAACAGCTCAGGGAAAATGGAGAAGATAAGGACCCCGTTCTCTTCCTCCCTTTGCCCTTGGGAACGCTAAGTCAAGTACCTGCTGTGCAGAAGAATCCTGGCCAGCAGGGGCCACTCGGAGAGGATAATCCCCATTCTCCACAAAACATCCCTGGAGAAATACACAGGGGAGAGAGGATCATTTAACTGGAAAGCGCACTGGGAAATCCAGCATACAATGTGCACTTCTGAGCAGGGAGAGGGTGAATCAGTGAAAGATCCCATCATAGCATCATCACAATTGGAAAAGCATCTTTCCAATTTAAACTGTGCTCCTGTGAGACACCAAGGATGTTAGAGCATACTTATTTCCTCCAGGGCATTAGCAGACATTGGTTCACAATGGGGACACTACAGATAGTATTTAAGTATATTTTGATAGCATTGTTTATTTTACATTTGTTTCCTGGAGGTGAAATGCATTCATTAGGGGTTTGGGACAGTGGCACCAATTCAAACATTTCTTGGGAGGTGGGGGAATTTCAGTCCCTGCCCTTCCCAGCAGGAACCCTATTCCGGTTCTTGCTCATCCCCCCCACCCTCTTCCTGGAGGGACCCCCACTCTCCCTTGGGCTTGGAGTTTCCCCTCTCTCTTACTAACACAATGCATGAGCTGGTGCCCCAGGAGTGGGGCTCTCAGAGGACTCCCCTGCACTCTGCTGTACTGGAACCGACTCCCTGTGCACCAGATTGCAACACCATTTGGCCCAGCTGTGACGAAGGGACAGACAGGTCAAATTTGAGTGGCGTTGCAACCATGCAGCAGCAGTACAAGACCACTGCTTAAAAATGGTCAGCCCATGCCCCACCCCACCCCAACTCAACAGCCTATGTAATTGTGAGAAAGTGCAAAAATCTTGGGCGGGGGGCTGCCCGCTCTGAACTCCGAGTTGGCACCGCTGGTTTGGGAAAAGAGCTGGCACGTGGAGCAATCTCTCTCTTACAGAGCGGTCTGCAGGATGGGAGAGCTGGAGAGCTACTGCTCTAAGAAGTTTCCTTACCTGCAGGGCATTGCTGGCACCTCTCAGCCTGGCTGATTCCATGAGATGGGTTGTAAGTCCCAGCTGGACAAGGGTAAAAGCTGATTCCAGTCTTCTGGGGACAGTAAAAGCCAGGTGGACAATGTTGCATTATGCCGTGCTGACAGTGAAACCCAGCTGGACATGGGAAGCATTTGTCTTGACCTGAGAGGGCAGTTCAGGAAAGGAAAGAAAAAGCACCACTGAATGGACTCACTTCTGTAGGACTCTTACTTGCCTGGTCCTGGACTTGAAATAGGAGGACTGGAATGGTATTTTCTTTGCTTTCCTGGCTTCACTGGTCTTTATACCTATTAGAGAGCTCATGCGGCAGTTTGTTCTAACAAGCTTTCCAGCCCTGGTTTGCAGGTCCAGGAAGTTTGCAGAAGCATCTACATTTCTGAGTGCTTACTCAAAAGGCCAGAGGCCACTGTAAGGGGATTTCTTTCAGATCTGCCCATTGGATGGATTCACAATGAGGAAATCTGGTTGAATATTTAACAGCTCTGTTGTTATAGAACAAGAGCTGCTGCTGTGCTTCTGGGACTTAGGCTGATGTAGGAGTGTCACGTATGGAACATTGTCCTCTGGGACACATCACCCCAGGACACAGTGAAACAATTGTCTCCCCGTCATGATGCAGCATCCTCATGACATGAGAGTGCAACAGCCCTGAAGATATTTGGGGATGTATTTTCGTGTCTTTCAGCCCAGCTTGCAGGACATGGGACTGCCCACTCCAATCAGAATAGGTGGAGACCCTGCTTTGACTTGCAGGGTTATTCATAACCATGCTGTAGGGGTTAATGCTTGTCACACTGCTAACTCCTAGGTGGCACAGCTCTGCTGGACTTCAAATGGTGTTCCGCACACTTATGCCAGCAAGTAATTTGGTCTGGTAGGCATATTGCACCGTAATAGAGTAACAGGAGAATAACACTGGAGCTGTGGAGTCCAAACTGGATTTCTAGTTCCCTCTCAGTTAGATGGTAGCTCAAGCAAAGCAGCCCTCTCCCCAACTCCTGACCTGTTGCATTGCTGTATTCCCCATCTGGGCACGGGGAGGGTGCTGCTGAGCCGGCAAGGCAGAAGTGTCCTTTGGGACAGAGATCCCCCGTCACAGCATCCAGTGGTCTTGGGGTCTGCGTCCCTCCTGTGCAGTAATAGCCTGAAAGCAGAGAACGCAGGGACTCCATCACTCACCTTGTCTTGCTGCAGGAGTGGGAGGGCACTCAGCAGAAAATAAGAACCATTATAACAACGATGTGAGTGAATTGGCTGGTAGTTGGAAAAGCTGTTGACGTGTCTCACCTGGTGCACAAAGTCCTGCAGGGGAAACCTGGCCTGCCACATTGCAGAAGAACCCAGGGGGACAGGGTAGACACCAGCTGGCATCCTGGGCTCCCCTCCTCTCGTTCCAGGTACCAGCAGGGCATGGCATCTCTCTTGGGTGTTTCGTGCCAGCAGGGCAGTAATATCCTGCTAGGCAAAGATCACCAAAAGGAAGTCCCACCTGGAGCAAGGAAAACAAGGTGGATATTGTGCCTGATGCACTTCACGCTGCGTTAGCAAGTCGGGCTTCACCAGCCAGTGCAATACTCACGGGTGAGGTGCTGTTGGACCCTTGGGCACAATAATATCCTGGCTGGCACAGACCCTCAGGAGTGGCCAGACCAGCTGTGCTGCAGTACATGCCCGCCGGGCACGGTTTGCAGGATCCTGTCTCCATGGCACCGAGTATGTCCATGTAAGTGCCCTGCAAAGAGAGAGCTATTGAAGCCCTCGGAGGGCAAGAAATCTCCAAGGAAGAACTTCTAGATGGAAGGAAACACACTTGGCTCTTACCGCTGGACATGGGAGAGGCAGGATACTCCGAGCTGGGCAGTAATGCCCTTTGGGACAAGTCACAGGTTCAGCCAGGCCTGTCTGGTTGCAAAACGTCCCCTCTGGGCACTCTCTGCACAGAGACTGACCAAGGACCTAGAGGGGAACATAGCAGGAACTGAGTGTCAGAGCCCCTGCTCATTCAGAATGAAAGTTGTGAGCAATGTGAAGGGTGGAACAGGTGTCACAGGCCCACCTGCTGTTGTGGATAACACCATGTGTCTGGGTAGCAACAGAAAGGGTACGGTTTACAAAGCAATCTAAAGACATCAGAGCAGATCCCTGTCCTGGACTGCAGGACATACTGTCCCGCTTCCATCCCACACCAGACATGGTCAGAATCTAGTCTGTTGCAGCTGGGTGAGTGTCAAGCTTGAGAGAAAACCTGAAGCCATCAGAGTTTCACTAATCTGGTGCTAACATCTCACACATATCTGCTCCCTGATTCAGATTCTGAAGGCTTCTATGGACTCAGAATAGTCTGTAGCTTAGTTCACTGCACTTACAGGCTGGAAACTCCCAAGAGGGCAGGGTTCTGGTCTGAAAGCTCCTGCCAGTGAATAATGCCCCTCCATGGCCACATGCTGAAGGGCAGTTTTGGCAGCTCCAGTACAGAAGTAGCCAGGTTTGCAGGGTCCAGTGGGAGCTTGGCTGTTTGTCCCATCACAGTACAGCCTGGGGTTGGGAAAACACACATCATAAGTAGAAACATTTCCTTTTTTCACAGGAAAGCATTGTCTTAAAACAATAAATGCCCCACTAACTGGCTGGAATCACAGAGGATTCACAGATCCCATATATGCATGGATCTTGTAGGGATAATGCAGGACAGGCCATCCTTCATCCAGAATTTAATTATTTTCATCAAGACAGTAAACTCTTACATTTCACAGTTTGATACTGAGAAGAATAAAGCTTCCTTCCCTTAGTAACTGTTAGGGAAACGTGAACCAAAACTTTTCAGTAGAGATCAGATAAGGTCACAAAAGTTCAGATGCCTTCCCCCCACAAACCTCAAACTCCTAGCTCCACAAGCCTGGTTTGGAAAATCTCACAAGAGAGATATTCTCATGAGATTCCTGGTAGATTCCAACTCCTGGATGGAACACAAATACCATCAAATACCTCTCTGTTATATTGTCATGTATCTTACTGGCTGGAAACAGGGTGCACAGGAATGTAGTAATGGACAATCCCGGGGTGGAGGGAAGGTTTGGATTCACTCTGAGCTTTGGGTCTTGGTGAGGGAGAGCTAATATTTTATCCAGACTTGTTGTCCCATTCATAATAAATTATAAAGGAAATTGATTGGGCCACCAAACACCAGATGCTTTTACTGACAGCATTTACTAGAATACAGAGATGCACCTATCCAAAGGAGCATCAGCCTTAAGTTTACATTCCTCACCAGTGGCTGCTATGTGTCACAGCCTTATGATACTCTATTTTATGTATGCCCACCCACTAATATCTGACAGCAGCTGTGTGTGTCCTAGAGGATGAAACACTTATAATTTTTATTAGAGCCATACACTGTCCTTCATAATCATCCATGCAGTTTCACAGACTCTTAGACTCAAAGGCCAGAGGGGGGCCATTGCAATCATTGAATCTGCCCTCCTGCATAACACAGGCCAGAGAACTTGCTAAAATAATTCCTAGAGCAGAGCTTTGAGGAAAAACATCCTATCTTGATTTTAAAATGGTCAGATGGAGAATCTACCACAACCCTGGGTAAATGGCTCCAATGGTTAATTATTCTCACTGTTAAAGATGTATGCTTTTTTCAGTCTGAATTTGTCTAGCTTCAGCTTCCAGCTATTAGAAACCATGGTGGTCAATGGGAATGCCACACATTGAACGATGGGGTTAATACCCTCACCCAGTCTAAACAACAAAGGGTATCGACCTGACAAGGACTAGCATGAATTGGGTGGAGGGTCTCTAGGTCATGGCATCATGCACTTAGGATTCAGCAAGCCAAACTTTAAGCAGGTGACGAGCCAATGGGATCAGTCTCCCGCTGTAGGTTCCTCACTGCAGGTCCCCTGACGATCACATGGCCTGGTTTATAGCAACGGGAGAGCAAGCACACTGCAGCCTTATAAAACTGAGCAATGTTCTTCTGCAGAATGGGAAACTCACCCAGGTGGGCAGTCCAAACACTGCTTCAGGCTCTTCAACCCACTCACATTACTGTAGGTCCCTGGAGGACAGGGTGTAGGTAACAGGGAGCCAGGTGGGCAGTATGCTCCAGCAAGGCAGATATCACCTGTCACACCATCTGTGGGCAACTGAAATTGGAAAACAGATAATTTAACAATTACTAGAGAAAGGAGTAACTGTATCAAATGAGACGAGTATGTTAAAGGGGTGCACTGATTTAGTCCTAAGTCTGTACAGACCCTTACAACAATGGAAGTTGTTTCCTTTTCTTTTTTTAATTCCCACGATATTATTTTTTGTTTGCATGTAAACACTCCCTTACCATGTTTACAACCTAAATATTGCAGCACTGTGCTAATGCATGAGAGCTAGAAAGAGAAACTGACTATAAAGAAAGGTGATAATGATGAGTCTCTCTCTGATGTCCAAGCTGAGAGCAATGCAGGAATGGACAGAGACCATTACTGGTGAAAAGGAAAGTAGATCTGAAAATCTTTTCACTTTCAATGATAGATGGGCCCAGATTGGCACATGGGAGTCCAAAGCTCTGAACACTGGAGAAGTTCAGATCTGGGTCTAAATCTGGGGCCTAATTTTGCCTCTTGGGCTTCTCCATTGAATCAGAACCCAGAATTCAAACTTCTCAAAGTTTGTGGCTGTTTGGATCCTTGTTCTAATCTAGATCCTACCTCTCCAGCTCAAGACCATATCTAGTTTGAATAATAGATAGCATTCATCAATAACAGAGAGAAGAAAATGCACTGTATTCATGGATTTTTAAAAATTGAATAGTGTTGCATGGGATGGTAACTTGAATGAAACTATGCCAGTTTACACCAGCTGAAGATATGGACAGCTCCCGATATTTAGCCTGACTGACTCCCTGTCCTTTCAGTTACAAGTGCTGAGACTGGGATCACAAGATCATAGGACTTGATCTTACACCCTTCTAAGTCACAGGCAAATTTCCCATTGGCATCACTGGCAGCAGAGCCAGCCATGGGCACACAGTGGGGAGCGAGGGCTGCCGAGCTAAGGCTCCTGGGGTACGTCTCAACTGCATCTGGGAGCAAGCCTCCAAGGCCAGGTAGACAGACTCGCTTTAGCAGGGTTGCACTGGCGTGCTAAAAAATAGCTGTGTGGATATTGCAGCACTGGCAGCATGGGTTCACCTGAGCTTGGACCTGGGGGTAGGACAGGCTTCAGCTTGGGTATCTGGGCCCAGCCCTGACCAGCGCCACAACATCCACACAGCTATTTCTAGGGAGCTAGCTTGAGCCCGCTAATGCAAGTCTGTCTGTGCGGGCTGGGGAGCTTGCTTCCCGCTGCAGTGTAGACTTACCCCTGGAGTCGTTCCCTCGTGGGCCAATGATGGAGAATATGGCAGAGGAGCCTGGCTTTGAGGAAGAGGAACTTAACACACAACTTACTGGTGTCACTGCTCTGCCCCGGCAATGGAACCCAGCCTCACAGAGGCCACTGGGGCCTGTCTGTCCTTGACCAGCACAGTAAAACCCACCTCCACATGGGCTGCAGTCCAGGGGCGCAGCCAGCTCCTTTCTGTTACCGTATGTGCCCTCTGGGCAGGGCTCAGGACGGGAGCTGCCTCTGGCACAGTAAGAACCCTGCAAAACAAAGCCAGGTTCTCACAGGGCTAAAAGCTCTTACAATAAACCTGGACTTGGCCCATCTGCCTCCCCTTTTATTACAAAACCACCACAGAACAACTTACAGCTGGGCAAGTTTTGGGCTGCGTCATGGCAGGAGAGTCACAATAGTACCCAGCAGGACATGGTTCGCAAGCGTTTCCTCGTTCCACAGCAGAACTATCCCAGTAGAAGCCAGGAAGACAGGGAAAAGAGAAGGGGAATCCAGTCCCTGGGGGGCATGTGTATCCTGGGGGGCAGTCTCCAGTCTGGGAAACAAAAGACAAAAGGGATGGTCAGTCCTGGGATTATCCTTGTTGTTTCAAGATGGGATGGGTGAGTCAGTTCAGCTACAATAAGAAGTGGCTTGAGCTTTGGCCAGAGTTGAAAACTTTAATTATTATTGGAGTTGAGCAGAAAAGGCAAAAGAAAAAGAAAATCCGATAACATTTTTTAAATTAAAATTTCCCTGTGTTTGTTTGTTTTAGGGGATCAGTCAAAATGTTGATGAAAAAAGTCAACAAAATCTCAAATTTTGAAAAATGTCCAAAAAGTTTGTTTATTTATTCTTAAAAAGAAAAGGAGTACTTGTGGCACCTTAGAGACTAACCAATTTATTTGAGCATAGCTGTAGCTCACGAAAGCTTATGCTCAAATAAATTGGTTAGTCTCTAAGGTGCCACAAGTACTCCTTTTCTTTTTGCGAATACAGACTAACACGGCTGTTACTCTGAAACCTGTCTTT